ATCCTTGTCCTTGTCCTTGTCCTTGCAAACGCACTTATGGGGATCGTGACGATCCTCCATTTGGTCCTCGGGGCAGCGGCATATCTTGTGTTCTGGATCGAATTCTTTGCCCTCGTCCTTGCAGATGCACTTATTCTTCATACGATCAAAGTCGGCGTCCTTGCCGCAACGGGGGCGGTGGTTCTTGTTATCTCTGGCCTCGACGTCATGAAGGTCGGCTTCGGGGTTGGGAAGTGCAGTGACGGAGCTCAGGGCAAGAAGTGCGCCCAGGAGAAAGTGTTTGAGAAGCATGGTGACCGATGGATGGTTTGATGAGATAAAGCTGTGATAGGTAGAATATAGAATTTGGCGGGTCTCTCTGCTAACTGCTAATAAGAGAACCGCGAGAGTGAAGATGCTCGTATCTCAGATACAGAGGCTTCAACATAGGGGAAACAAAACCATGAGGTAGAGAGGATTACCTCTAATATATACCCCTTAGGTAGTCATCGACCGTTAACTATCCATCTACCGTGAATTCAGCTTGAGTTCTGCATCTATATTTAGAATTATCCTGCACCTCCGGAGTTGACTCTCCACGCAAGTAAGATACAGTTTATGTCATTCTTTCGCGAGTGCCATTGAGTGCCATGCCGCCTTCATCGCAACCCCACCATCTTATCGGATACGAGGTCCTCCGGACAGACTGTTGGTCCGACAATGGGAACGGATAGTCAAGCACCCGTCTCTAGAGGGTCTGGATCAGTCCAAAACTCCTCCAATAGCTTAAATAGAAAAATCAGTATTTGTGCCCCTTTAACAGACAAGGGCTAAACAGAAGAGGAGGGATCGACAACGGAGCCGGTGAGTTAACACGCCGAACGAACATCCTTGTTGTCGAATGAAGCTAACTTGACATCATAGGCAAGCGCGTTGAGTAACACACACTCATCTATGTTGTTGATGGCTGTCGTTCGAGTGAACTAATTGTGACAAAGAGGCTTCGGCATACTGAGTTTCCGACTGCAACTGGAAAGCATGAGTTAGCACACGTAAGAAGATCCTGATGACCACTGGTTTGAAGCCATCGACTTTTTGTTAGTATCCTCTAACAGAAGTCGACAACTGCACAATGTCATACTCTAAATGAGCTAGGAGTCTATCGGGCACACAACCATCATTAATGTCTTAGGTGCTTCCCCGCTTCAGACCCCACCAACCATACGATTTCCCCGCACACTATCAGCGCTGTCAAGCGCGGCGACACCATTCCCCGGGGTCCAGATTCCCGGAGCTGGAGCCTATGGGATGCCCGTTGCAGCTTGTAGTTTCTTTTCCGTAATTCAATCGCAGCCTCATCTAAGGGCTTGAGTCTGACAACAAATGGGAGTTACCTGGTGTACTTCCAGTTCACCGACCGTCCGGATGTGTGGGGTTGAGCGAGTTCCGCTTCTTACTATAACGTGGTTAATAAGCATACTGACCAGACAAGTATAATGACCACTACCCTATACACCTTAAACTTTAGCTTTTAAAAACTTATAAAAAGCTTAACTTAAGCCTAAAATAGATATAATTCTAATAATATATAACGTACACGATAAGCAAGTGGATCAGACAAGTGAGTGGATCAACCCACTTTTCACCTTAAAAGCGATTTTTTAAATAATTCTTAAAAATCGAAATCAAGCTTAAAATAGCTAGGATTTTAATAGCTTATATATAAGTCCTAAAATCAGCTATATTAACTTCCCTATATTTTAAAAAGAAATCCCATATAGCTATAAACCTTAAAGTCTATTTACACTGTAAAATACACTGTAATTTAAGGTTTTTTAAATAAAATAAAATATTTAAAAATATTTAAAAAGTACTTACTTATATAGTTAACTATACTATTTTAGAAAGTAATTTTACTAGATTTTTAGCTAATTTATTTAAGCATTAGAATACTATAGGGTAAGCTATTATTAGCTGCACAGTATGCTGATCTACTTGCTTGTCTGATCCACTCGCTTATCGTATACGTTATATATATCTTAAAATAAGTTATAGTAATATTTTTACAGATTTTAAAAAAATCCTATATAGTTATAAACTTTAAATTCTAGTTATAAATTATAAGATTTTCTATATAAAATAAAAAGTTTAAAATTCTTAAAAAAATAATATACAAGTATTAGCCATATTATTATAAAAAATACTTATATCAGATTTCCTATTATTTTATTTATAACTTAAAAGTACTATAGGGTAGTTTATTTTTAGTTACATTGTGTAGTGGTTAATATACTTGTCTGGTTAGTATGCTTATTAACTCTGGCTCTGGCTCTTGACTAACCAATCCCTCTCAGAAGGCGACCTGGGTCATGACGACACTATAACGTGGTTGGAGGGTCAGAGACCACGGCTGAACGGTCGGGCCGTGTAAAGGTTTGTGCTATGAGGGAGCTAAGACTTGGCCTTGATGGCAGTGGAGATAGCATCTGATACTGAAAGGTTTTGGTTGGCCAGCTAAATCCGGATCCTCTTCTCTGTGCTTTGGCTTCAGATGTCTACTGGAAATCAGGATATCTAACAGAATTAGAAGATGCAACATCCGAGAAAAAGCGGCAGGTCACGGTCCACATTTGCACCGTAAGTATAACCTTGTACTCTGCCGTAGTCTATATTCCAGCATGTGTGTCGCCAGTCGAGAATGCAGAGAGACAGTGCTCGGCGGGTGAAGGGTCTCACGGGAAACCCTGGCGGCCGCCATCCGGATCGGTGGGTGCCGCAAGCCATTTTAGCAGCTTCTTAATTAGCAACTACCTGTTCACCGGCTTTGCAATGTAGCCATCCACCGCCTTCTCCAGACAGAGCTCCATGTCCCCCTTGAGTGCGTAGGCGATCATGGCGATGATCAGCAGCCACACGCCGCTCTTCCTGATGCGGACTGTTGCCTCGTATCCGTTCATGACAGGCACACTGATGCGAAGTACCGACTCCTCGGTGTTACGACCCAAGATGGGAACGGTATGAAGATGATTGCCCGTCATGGTCAAATGGGAAGAAGTTGGTATCTCTTTGGACATGTACATAGCGTCATCTCCACCTTGATGTATACATTGATCAGCTGTGAAGAGCGCAGTCACATCCATATTAACTGCTTAAAATCCTCCACTTGAAGCGAACTAGATAATGTATCGCGGGGTCTAGAACAGTGATTACCGTAATTCTTCGCCGGCAGGACTCACAGCTAAGTCGAGGATATATCACATTGGCTTGTTCTCATTCAAGACATAAAACGACAAATTTTGCACTCTTGAATTCGATTGGTAATACATTAGAAAATTTGTGTATATGCCCGAAGCACTATGAGCACTGCGCTTTATGAATATGTACTGTGAATGTCTGAAACATGATTTGATCAGTTGTCACCGTCAACATCGTAAGGAAACAACCATCCGTTCTCATCGTTGTACTCGTCCTTATGAGTGGTTCCATGCAGAACCTCATATCTCTCCATATCAAATTCATCATCACCAGCCTCTCCATTAATGATCCTACCAATTCTATGACCAATTTCGCGACCCTCGGTGTATCCACCATGGACAAAGCCAAAGAATTCAGCTGAATTAGCCTCGCCGGCAAACCACAGGCGTTCCAGGTTGGCACGTATATTTTGGTGCTTCTCAAGAGTCATGCCTACAGGCCAGTTGCTATAGGATCCATACGCCCAGCTATACATGTCATGTTAATTATGGATGGGAAATTAGGTACAAGGGGCTGTTTATCAACTTACGGTTCGGTGCTCCAGCGTGGGTAAGTGAATGCTGTAGGCTTATGGACCTTCTTATCAGGGTACATGGACTGCAGGACCTCCACGACTTGCGCTTCGGTCTCCTCGTCCGTTTGTCGCTCGACTTGGTAGGCCTGCTCGCCAGTGACTGTCGCGAAGATGATGTTGGATCCCTCAAGGAAACCTTTACCATTGAGCGGCTGAAACAGAGGATAACGTCCACGCTCAATGGGGTCGGCGTAGAGCTGATACTGGGCATCAGTATCCCAGAATGACTCGTTGAATTGCATAAAAATCTTGGTGTATGTACCCATCGCAAATTGGTCGATAGCGCTCTGCTTCCAGTGAGGCAGCTTGGGTTTGAACTCAACGACGTCCTTCTGCAATACACCGAGAGAAAATGTACAGATAGCATAGTTAGCTTCTATACAGCCACCATCCTTGGTTGTGACCTTGACGCCCTTCTTGTTATACTCAATACCTTCAACGGTAGTCTTGAGGAGGAGTCGTAGATCGTTCTCCTTGAGGAAAGTTTTGGCTTCCTGCTTGAGAAAGTAGTTATAACCGCGCTGGTCGATAACTAGGTTGCTGACATCGCTGAAATAACCAAAGGTAGCATTGTCTCCAGCGACGCCAAAAACAAGACCGCTCTCATCAGGCGTCCAAGCAGCCTCAAAGTCCCATCCCCACCAATCTGCTGCCTGCGCATACATATCGTTCTTATCTGGTCTCCAGCCTCCAGTACGAAGACCAGCGCGAGCAGATAGGTCCTGGAGGTTATCCAGCAAGATGTGACCGGAGTCGCCTGACGCATTCTCAAAAGCGGCATCTAGCTCGGCGATTTTGTCGGTCCAGTTCTTGGCGCCCTTGTGGTCAAACGTCTTGAGGGCATCGTAATCGGCGTAAGTTGTCTTTAAACCGTGCTTCTGCGCCAATCTCCAAATGGGGTTCTCGTGCGTCTCGAGCGATCCGATGCCTTCCACCCAGTTGGCACCTAGCTCAATAGTGTATGGCTTGCCGGTCTTGGTGTTTCGGCCAAATTGTTGACTTCGCAGGCGACCTCCAATATAGTCATTATGTTCAACGATAAGGAAGTCGGTGATTTTCGCTTGGGTCAGGTTCTGAGCTGCAGCAATACCAGCAACACCAGCTCCGAGAATAGCAACCTTGGTCTTCCTGCAGGTTCCTTTATCTCGAGGTGGGAGGCTGACTGCGTCGGCTGCGGTAAAGAAGGCTGTAAGGACAGTCAGAAGCTGTGCTGGTGATTGCTTCATGTTGGTGGTCTTTGGTAACGGGAGTGTCCGAGATCAACAGTTCTGAGAGAGCTAGGAGGAGGGAGTTTGGTTTTGTACGAACCCCCCGGGGAGTAATTAAACTATCGCACGCTCTATCACGCCGAGCATACGTAGGCCGCGATGATTCCTTAGCTTCGTTCGCCCAACTTCTCCGGTGGAGCCGAGGAACTCCCCGCCCCAATGCTGAGCCGAGGCCATTGTTGATCACAAAAAGCAAAACATCCGCATCTCTAGCCATGGCCAGGCGGGCTTTCGCCCCTGAAGTTATCAAATTTCAGATAGCGTAGGCTGTTGGTCTTGTAGCACCCGTTAGCTCGTCGGTGCTATTACCTAGCTAAGTAGGTCCCTGACGCTGCTAATCGGAGACAAGATGGCATGACTCGCGCTAATTAGTTTTTCAGGTTGGCTTGTATCGGGTCCACCGAAATCTACATGCAACAGTTGCGATTCGCGGAGCTCGAGAATTGGAGATTGATCTAATCCACATCCGGATTACCTTGGTCTCGAATAGAGTTTTTGCTGGATTGCGCTCTGTTGTTCATTACGGAGTACCGTTCAATTTTTAACCCACCAATTCCATGTCGTGCTGTTGCTCTAACCGCGCCGCTTCCAAGCTCGAATTTGAATGTGGCTCGAGACTGATGAGCGCCCTTGAACTTGAGAGGAAGAAATACCATTATGTGCACAGTCTCCAGACGCTGAGCTAGTTGGCTTGGCATTTGCGCCAAGTCGCTTCGGGAGGATCAGCGGCAGCAGCCCGAGGCCAAGTCTGCAGGAGCTAAGGTTATCGATTTCGATTTTTACAGGGGCGGTGGGTCTTCAGCTCCCAAAATTATGAAACTAGAGTTTTGATTTCTCTTATCGTTTTCCGCCACCTTTATGTGCAAGTGCTCGAGCTCCTCCTTTCCAAGCCTGGGATAGCGCCCTGCACAAGGTACTCGCTTAGCCCAGCTCTAAACTCTATCGTTAATTCTATTGGTTATTTCTTAGTTAAACCTCAATGGTTAAATACATTGCAGACCCCTCAGTCCGTTTTTGTCCAACCTCTGCTGCTGAACCATGTCCCTCTTGTCTTTGTTTGCTTCTCAGTCTAGTTGTAGAACCAAAGCCTCGGGTCGCTCTATCGAGCGAGTGCCTCAATGGATAACAATACTTCAATTGTATGTTTGCCGAGTCTATGTAATCCGGGCTTTTCTTTTTCTGTCTTTTCCTCTCTTTTCTTTTTGTCGTAACTAATTTCTTCAGGGTATCCAAGCAGTACTGCTTATTTTAGCACTAGTGGTACTGGTCCTACGATGCTGGGCGAATTATCTAATGAAGCAGGCTTTATTCAGCGTGCCTGATATTCTCGCATGGCTGGGTTGGGTTTTTAGCTTAGGATGGTTTATCTGCTCGACTCTTGCGCTTCGAATTCTTATCGATAATCCTGCAGTTGGCTCTGAACTTATAGTTAACTCAGTAGAATACTTAAAGGTATGGCAATGCAGTAGCTGCGTGAACGAGAATCATAATGCTGACTATGTGCAGATAGTATTAGTAGCGGAGTACTTTTTCGACACTGGGATTTACTTCCCCAAGATATCTATCGTCTTGTTTTATTGGAAGCTAATTCCTGGGATTTTGGGATCATTGAGACGCGTATTGCTTGCAATCTCGATTTATCTTGGTTGCGCTTTGCTTACATCAGTGCTTGTAAACACTCTTATTTGCGTACCGTTTTCTGATAATTGGTAAAGTTAAATGGCATGACTTGTCTAATCATCTGACTGACGGGTATCAGGTCTATCGAAAACCAGCTAAAGTCAGCATGGAACTCATATGCTTCTTTTTGTGTTCAATGGGGTCTCAACTTCTCAACGGATCTACTTAGTATGTTCAAAGTACCTGCTACCTACTTGAAGGAATTCATTTAACATGGCCCTGAATAGTCTTTTTCTACCCCTTCTTTCTGCTTAAACACTTAAAGCTTCACAGAAAACAACAGATCGCCCTTATTGGGATCTTTTCTTTAGGTGCTATCACGTTGATAGTTAGCCTGTCCCGGTTTATTGCATATAATGCGACTGATTTTGAGCTTGACGACCAGTCTGGCAGTATGTCTTCGCTGTCCTTGCTCTATAACATTCTTAGGCTAACCTAGCGCATAGATACCTTATCTCTCGCCGAGATGAGCACTGCTGTTATCGTTGTGTGCCTCCCTGGCCTTCGAAGATTTATTATGCGATCTAAAACATCTACAAATCGCTCCTCGTCGAACCAGCCCAGCGGCTACGGTGTCCACACAAAGATCACCGGGAGAGGCCAGAATACCGACACATCTAAAGGACAAATCCCGCCATCGCAGTACGCTAAATGGGGCGTAAGAGATGATGAGATCGAGTTGGTAACTCACATTCGCGTTTCCCACGAACTGGTCAATCCAGATGATACTCGCAGCGCGAGCGGACAAAGCGCAATCAGTCAGAATTTTAAAGTATAGTATCACGAATATCTGACTCTAGCGTTGGAGGAAATGCAACGTGTATGACAAGCGAAGGGGCCAAAGAACCCCTCATTCCCCGGTCTTGAGTGCTTAATTAAATTCTTAACTACCATGCCGATGTCAGCGCCCAACCAGACTCGGATCCTACTATGCTAGGCCAATATAACACAAGCACCCCAAGCCTGGTGTAAACAGATTGATTACGAAGAGAAGAAAGTGGCCACGAAGCTTCTAAATAATCATAAGAGAAGGAGGAGGGTGACGATGATGATGATGACGACAAGGACATCACCAACCTGTCTCTTGCCGAGCCTCACAAAGAGCAGAAGAAGTCAGAAGAGATTCATAATATGGAAATAAATAGGTTTGCCGATAAACAGGAGAACTACACAGATTATGAAGACAGGGAGGGCGACATCCCTGGACTGGACAAAATCGGTATCCGAGAACGTCCCTTGAAGAGATTTCAAGAAAGCAGCAGCTTATCCCCTCTTGCAAATACAATCAGCCGGCTAGATAAAGAGACTCTAGGGCTAAACAGCAAAGACCTGGACTCGACTGTCAAACAAATAGATAGTTGACTAATCCAATTATTAATTGCATCATCGAGAAGGTAATCATGGTTCACAAAAATACTACTGTTATTTCTGTACCAGCAGCCTCTAGTTCAGGATCACCAATCCTAATAGCAACAACTTCGAAACACCAACTAATCTACCCAGAAGGTTCAGAGATGACAGAGAGCTATATGTTCCAGTCTACACGACCAGCCATTAGTGTCTATTAGTAGTCTGCCGTCTTTGTCATTATGCTGGTTTTAATATCTCCCTGTATGGTAGTTGACAGGATGAGGATTAGAGGATCTTAATCGAAGATACATATAAGAACCTCTTTCGTGATTAAAAGAAAATCGAATTTGCAGTGGCGGTAAGTTTTGCCATCACGCACCAACATGCGCTGATGTATATTGCAGAGCTGCCCTGGGCAGCACGATAGGTTATCCTGTGGAGTCACCATGCTTAGCTTCATGCGCCTACTTGACGAGGGGCATAACCCCTTTAAATGCATATTCCTTTTAAGAGATTATTTGCTACTGCAGTCTCCCTTCCTAATCCCCATGCTCTGTTTTTAAAAACCTTTAATGAAACACTGGAACAGGCACTTCTGACCATTTAGTACCCCCGACACCCCACAGATACATACCCAAACAGTAGCAGGCTACGTATTCAGTAATTGCCCAGCATGGTATCACCTTCTCTTCCATCCGCTGTCCAAAGGAAAAGGCAAAGAAAGACTGCTACAAGTGGGCACTCATCCAGCAAAGCGATCGGCCGATGTTGCAGATAGCGCTGCATCGCTAGTGTATGACAGTGACTCGAGTCGTATCTCTCCATGAGAAATCACCGGTACTCCATGCAAAGAACTTCCAAGATCGAGGCCAATCAAGGCACCAAGACGTCGCAGTCGGAGGGCTCGAACATACAACGGTCGGCCGAGCCATCTGTGTTGGTGAGAACCCGTCCTCAGAAGACCTGTGGCGAGCCTACATCCAATACGAGCAGATTGAAGAGAATGCCAACGCAGTCAAGATGCTCTCCCGGGTAGGTAGGAGGTACCATCTTGTCCGTTTCTACAGATCATACAAACAAAAACAACTTAAAGCTGGGGAAACCCCTGGCAAAGCTAGTAGGTAAAGGCTGAATTTATTATAAAAATATTTCCTAGAAACTTGAAGCAGCGAAACTATACCTATTAGAACTGCCAGGATCCCATTAGAGCTTTTAATTACCAGATACCTATAATAAGATAGCTTTTAGACCTAGTAGCACAGTTTAGATATAAGGTGCTCCTATACCTAGGCTTTAATATAACTATTTATAAGTAAGTTCTAATACTATCTATTATTACCTACTTCTCTTATAGTATATAATATAACAAAGGTTATAAATAGTTATATTAATAAGCTTATTGACCTTATATATAAGTATCACTATAGGTTAAAGGATAAGCTATCTTACTTATTTATAGTCTTACCTAAGATAATTATATAAGGGCTACCTGCTTCCTACCTTATAATTAAGCAGATACCTAGGGATAAATTAGCTAAGTATAAGGCATATTTAATAAATAACTTAGTCTAGTTCTGTGATATGCCGGAAGAGGGCTAGATTTAGGGTGAGCCTGACTTTGACCGATACATATCGAAATGGCATGGCTCTGATGATCTTATGGCGGGGACCAAATGGTAAGCTTACAACTGGTGTCGACCGCCTGCGCACTTCTCAACGCCGTGACGGAATAAGATAGATAGCCTAAACACATATTGCATGCAGATATTAGTTTTGGGACAGTACCGTGACGCCGTTACAACTTCGAGCTCCCTCCTGCTACAACGGAAACCTATGACTGCCAAGCTTAGATGGGCTCTAGCCAATCAGTGTGTCAGACCTGTGGTCCATGACTCATGGTGTGCTTTAAACCCGCGAGCATCATCACCATTTACCCCGCAGCCAGCTTCTTACATGTACTCCCCTCCACCGACAAGAGACTCCACGATCGCCGATTAAACAAAATCTTTAGTATTATGTAGAGTGAGGATCAGCATGCGCGACATATGTTCTGAAGCAGGAAGAAACGGCACTAAGATACCCTCTTGTTACATTTTACGCACCGGAACAACGCTGCCGTGAAAGCACAGTGTCAAGTATTGTTGATGTGAGTATGGGTGGAAGTACGTAAAGTGAAGTCGCAGAAGTCTAGTAGGTATTGACAGTTCCCGAGACGACACGAAAGAAAGAGAATCACAAGATAGAATCGATATCGTACTGTCTGCTATTTCTTACTTGATAGGCTGAACCCACGCCCTTAAGGATCAAACCCATGCGGCACTACGCCTGGGTTGTGAGGACCTTCAGCGGTAGGCGCGTGCCTAAAGCCTTGTCTACTCATCTTGAGATCTTCCTTGACCAGTTGTGTCAGGCTGTCGATTGTTCTCCGATAGCTCTCATTGTTGATATGACCCCCCAGATAACGGGCCTGGCCACTAAAGTTAGCCTGTTTCGCAACAACCAGATCTTCCATAGAGGGCAGAGAGCAAGGTATTCAATATGATCTTCCCTTGAATCATAGTAATTGCATTCGGTGTATTAGTATAGGTCTAGGTTAGCCTCTGCTCTAATAATTATAAGATCTCTCGACTGGCATGAAATTCATAAACAGGGATACTATGGAGTTTCTGTTAGTCAAGCTTGCTTTTCGTTAAAAAGATTAAAAGAATTTCTGTATTATTTTATAACAGGCCGGCTATTGGCCGCCCTGTATTAAAGTTACTTATTTAAAGACTAGTTATATAAATGAAATTAACTATATATATGACTGAGACAGAATAGCGCATAGTTACTTAAGGTCTACTTCTAAAAATACCTTCTAAGCCAGGGTATAAAATAATCTTAATAATATCTTTATACCTATTATAATTACTTATCTAGGCATATAATACTTAAGCCTTTATATAATTATCTAGGTTATTTATTTTATACTCTAGTAAATTTTTTTAATACTTGAAAATACTATTATATTAGTTATACGTCTAATAATATTATTATATATATCCCCTGTAATAAAGTACTAAACCTAAATAACATTACTATATCTGCTATTATAAATTATGCTAATATACTAACTAGCCTATGGCTTGACCACCAGGATCCAAGAGGCGTTAGTAAGGACCTCCTAAATAGTGAATTCGAGGAACAGTGGCTTACTACCGGCATGGTGGCAAAGAAGCTTATTGAGTGTTGGCTGATTATGTTGCTTTTTATTTTTTATTATGCTGTTATGAGGAAAGTAACAACGACTTTTCATTGTAGAGCATGAGCGCATACCTACCGAGATTAGATAGCAGCGACGTACTACTACCAAGCGAGGTATTGAGCATATTGAGTTTACCAGGAAGCTTGTGCAGGCTGCTGGTGTTGCCCATCGTGATATAACGAGCAATGCTTATAGTCGCGAGCTGGTTTAGTACAGTTGTAGTGGTATAGAAACATAAGTCTTTAGCATTCTTCTAAGGAGGGATGGCTTCCTCCTGGCGCAATAAATAGACTTTTTGCTATAATAGTGAGGGCAAGTTGTATTACAATTATAAAGGGGGCCCGACGTTCTATGTATATGTTATGTCTTCTCTTCCACCGACGCACTCGACACGTGCCTCGATTTTGAATCTAACTTTTCGACGGTCAGTCATATTTCGTTACCTTTATCCGGTGCGGCTTAGCCCGCAAGTGGCTCCTCCGACTTGTTTCTTTCTTCACCAAGCATGTCACCTAAAGTCGGCGGATTACATGCAAATATTTGTCTCTCAACTGGCGGCACTCCAGTATACTTATTCAAGCTTATGATCTGACTCTATATATACAAGACGTTCCTTGTAATTCTTCGAAGCCTCACGATTCCTGTTAATCTTCTCTTTATTCTTCTTAATAAGTTCTTGGCCCTCTTTCCGATGCTCCTCAGATAGTGGTTCGGGAAGGATACCCAGGGGTGGATTATACCACTGCTCTTTAGGAACTTTTGTTCCATCAACTCCGCGAAAGACTATCTCTTCCTCCTTATCATAAGGGCCGCGGTCCAATAAAGCTTTTATTAACGCAGGCCTTAGAGCAATTGCATAGTGGATATTGCGATCAGCATCAAGGTAGCGGAAAATCCCGTCACGGCCGAGGTGTACAATGCCTAATAGGTCTAGGTCATGGCCCTCCATTTTATATAAAATATCGCTTATTTCTTGTTGTTCTGGCGAAAGATACTTGTATGTAGTGCCGGGGCAAGTTTCTTCAGTATGAGCCGCCTCTTGATGCTCCGAATCAGATTGAGGCATGATTAGAGAATATTTTATCGAATGTAAACTGGCGGTGAATTTTGAGAGATAAATGCTCAACATGGGAGTGGGCTTATCTTTAAATAAATCAGATTTCAGTAGTGATGACACGTGATAGTTACGTAATACGAGTTGGAACCCTGATTCTTTTAATCGGCCGAACTAACAAGTTCTAGAACTGTTGCGCCTTTTCAAGAGCACCTTCGGCCCGTATGAAACCCAAATTATGTGTCAACTCAAGAAATTCGCTTTAACTTAACAGCACATAGCCCACTGACCAGTCATCAAAAGAGGGCTCAACAAACTGAAAGATTCGTAAGCTCGCATACGAGATAAGTCTCCAAAAGTTCCATTATACTCGGCTCTCGGCAAGCTTGAAGCAGATCATAATCTAAATGGGAAGATAACAACTAACATGCATATGCATTTTACCTGCAAAATCGAACATATTAACCAACTTGGCGTGCCGAGTTCCGAAGCTGATCCGCTAGATCCGCGTTTTATAACCACACGAAGGTGCTTCCCATATTACTAGAGACGTCGCCTGCATCTTTGTACGGATTGATTCCTGCGCCCTCTTGTTATTGGAGTAATACTGGCGATACCATATTAACTCAAAAGGTTCATTATGGGCCAGTATAAAATGAGATAAAGTGAAAGTTAGACTGATCTGTAGGCCTTTGTCCGGGAAAGCGGTATGCTCAATTGTCATGGCGGTAATTTCTTCCCAACAGACCCTTCCTTTTAGGAAGGATTTATGCATGTTGGTCCTCGATCCCCGTACACTCTGATTATTGTCGACCAACAATGGCGATACTCACGCAGCCTCTAACACGTGATTTGTTCAGAATCCAGGTATAAGAGCTGCAAGTCTACACAGTGTTATCGTGTAAAACAACCACCAAAAAGCCTCTTTACCTTCTATCAAATATGAAGACTGGTATAGTTAAGCCTCTTCACCGTGACGAAGCTAGAGTGAAGGTCTAATAAGTAGACAGGATCCTCCTTCCTCAAAGTCCTACTTACTGGTAGCTTTGTGAGCGCCAAGTACACGATTGAGATTCCCAAAGATGCTATCTGGGTCACAAACTGGGATCAACTTCATGAAATGGGCGCAAAGTACCCCGACACAGCCTTGGTTGAAAAATATGGTGGCAATGTAATTGAAGTCGATGGAAAAATTGTTCTTGCGACAGATGAGGAAATGACCAAACAGATTGACAGCTTGATTAAAGAGTTGGAAAAGGGTGATATAGAGGTCGAAGCAGAGACAGAGACTTCAAAAAGGCGAGACGTGGAGATTCCTGGACCCTATCGCCAATGCAGTCACCCTCGCTGCTTTTATGACGTCACTTGTCATTCTTATACTAATTGTCACATCTGTAGGCGTCCAACTGGTAGGAGAGGGATCTGTATTTAAATTTAAGTATTAGTTCTCAAGTGATTCCAAATGAGAAAGATACTATGCATGTAATAACGTAACCAGAAGCTTTGTATTTCCCATTTCCTCTTGCTTCAGAGGTGATAGTCAATGATTTGATCAGCGCGCCTTGCCACCTCGTGAGTCATGTGAATATCTGATCATTCGGTACTTCACCTGCATATCTCCCTTCTTCCATATCCTTCATGGACCGACTTTCCAGAAACAGCTAGCAGGCTTTTTTAATGACACATCTAGTTGCGACTTATCATGGCTGGCGCTGCTTTTTCTCATCTGCTCTGCCACTCTAAAAACAATCGATAAAGGCGACGATGTGATTCATTCCATCGCGTCAAGTTCCTCTCACAGCCCTAACATCGCAGTAATATCAGACCGATATCGCGCCATGGCTATGATATGTCTTTGTAAAGATAGATTTCTTGTTCGTTATCGATTAAGTACATTGGAGGCATTGCTTGTCCTTGTTTACACAATCAGTCATAATGAAGGAGCTGAACAAAGTTGGGTCATTCTCGGTCAGTCTTGTCATGCCTTGCTCCAAGCCCATTAACAATCGTACAGCTGAGTGTAGGCATGGCATCGGATATTGGCATAGCATTGCAGTGTAATGCAGCCAAGCCAGATCCGAATCTGACTCTTGTTGAAAGGGAACGTCGCAGACGATGCTGTATTTACAGGTATTTGCAAATTATGTTCTTGCTAATATTAGCCGCAGCTGCTTTCTCATCCCTCGCACTGTCCAAATCACTTCCTTGGACAACCCTTGCTCAACTTGAACATGGTACATTTCTTGAAAATATCGCAACCAGATCGAATGGTGATATTCTCACGACAGAATTGTGGCCATCAGCTGCCATTTACACCATTCGAAACCCCCACACCGGCCACAATTCACTCCAGAAACTCTTTTCTGTCCCTTCTATTCAAAGTATTTATGGCCTTACCCAGGTTAAGTCTAGCCGTCGGGGTACTGAAACATTCATTTTCGTTGGTGGAAACTCTACTTCGCCCGGAAACACTATTACTGGTTCCTTTGGTGCATGGGCTGTCGATTTTGATTTACTCAATAATGTCTTTCAGCTCAGAAAAGTCAGCGATATGGGCACTGATAGTAGATTTTTGAACGGCGTGACAGCTCTACTAGGGATATCTGATATAGTTCCTGTGGCCGACTCCACCAATGGTTTAGTCGGTCGCCTTAACATCACAACTGGGATCTTCGATACCTCGGCATTCCGCTACCCTTTAGAGATGGATCCCGTTGAAGGTGCTAGACTACCTATTGGTGTCAATGGCATCAAGATTCGGGGCGGGCATCTCTATTGGACGAATTCATTCCAAGCCTCCATCTACCGAATTGCGATCACTCCTAATGGATACCCAGCAAAGGGTAACAGGCCTGAGATTGTGGCCGACTTGTCCAACGGTGTAGGCTTCCTAGATGATTTCAGCTTCGACGTTCGTGGAAACATATATGCTGCCACTAACCTTGACAACTCTATCGTCCGTATCGACATCACAACCAAGGCATGGAAGACAATTATCGGAGGAATTGGCGAGATGACAGTACCCGGCTGTACGTCGGTTGTATTTGGGCATAGGTCATTAGAAAATGAAATACTCTACGTAAGCACGTCCGGAGCTATCGCTACTCCAGTAAATGGGACTGAGACTGAGGGTGCTAAAGTTGTTGCAATTAAACTTGGAGGCTGGATCTAACAGGAGTTCATATACTACATGGACTTAGCTAAGCTCTTTGATAAAAAGAGGATTTTATTACTCATAGTAAAGGCAATATATTTAGTAAAATGTATTAAAGTGATATCCCCAAATGAGTGAGCTCGGAGACCAATTCCTAGAATGGGTCCAAACATCGATTCACGTCCTGGGAGCACTTTATGATGACCTAACTCCGAATCCTACCACTGTGGCTCCTGGTGGGTTCCCTATGTGGCTACATCCTAAGAAGGATTGGACTATCTTAACGTGCAACTTCGCGATTTGGATATCGATCCCTTTGAGCTCACGGGTATTCTTCCTTGCTCTCCGCTGCAGGAAGGAGTCTTGCAAAGCTCCTAGGGATACGAAGCCGCCTGGATATGGAAATCTTTATCATCGGATGGCAATGCCGTTGGCCCACATCGTCTAGAGGATGCGTGGAAAGCTGTAGTTGGAGTACACAGAATCTTTTCTACAATACTTGCCGCGCACCCTAGTGAGGATGGCTTTGTTCAAATCGGGCTCAATAGGCCGGAGACTCCAGTAACCCAATATCAGACTCCAACCTGCCCGGAGGACCTGCTAGCAAGGCAATCTCGACCAAAGTTTACGGATGATCAAGCGAAGCACTCTTTCACCGTGTGCCGATCCGAGGATAGCAGCATTACCTTCAGGCTCGATATCTGTCACTCTTTGTGCGACTCCTACTCTATTTCGACTTTACTAGAGGATGTGGTCTCAGTGTATTCTAGCGATGTCATGCAGAATGTGCCGCAATTCAGTGATGTTGTCAGGCATATCAAGAGGCGGCCTATATCTGAGACACTAACATTTTGGACTTCTGTTCTACACGGAGTAGAGCCATGTCAGATTCCCGTATCCAAGATGTGCCAAGGTGACCCAGAACTAGATATCCACAAGACTATCTCCATTCTTTTTGAGTCGATGACTGGGGTTACCGAGCAATGTAAGCAGTTGGGGCTGACCCGGTCGACCTTTGTTCACCTTGCTTGGGCTTTGGTACTATCTTACATCACGGTTATGGACGAAAGTTTCTTTGGGTACATACTATCCGGTCGAGATGTTCATGTGGAGGGTATTGGCAGGATCTTCGGGCCTATGGCCAATATACTCATTAACCACGCCGATCTAGGCGAATCTCTTGAAGCAGATGCAGCCTTGATAGCAAGAAATCTCAAGAGCCACCGCCGCCATCAACAGACTTCTTTGGCGGAGATCAATCACGACCTGGGGAATAAAGATGAGCGACGACGACTGTTCAACACCATCGTATCATTGCTTTGGAGCAATCCATCGGGTGTCAAACGTTTGTACTTTGCGAAGTACCATCAGGTCAGCTCGCACGAGTTCGCTTTCGTACTCGAAGACCATCACCATCCTGGCACCCTTGATCTTGCTTTGCACTATCGAACAGCGGGTTTTAGTCACGACGAGGCGCAAGAATCCGGTACGATACTGATATGGGCGATTCAGTTCCTTTTGTCTGCAGGGCCCGTTTTTGCGTCCGCAACACGAAGCGCTATGATCGAGTCCAGCGAATCAGAGGCGTCAGTCAGACCCCAAGACAGATTCTTCCGCTACGTGACTGGTACAGACAGAAGAGTCACTTCCAGTTTCTGGAAGAGTCAGCTTGCCGGGCTTGGTCCCCCTGACCCAACAGCTCGAGACAGATCTACCGCAGCGGTTGAGAGGGATCAACATATGAAACTAGTGATGCAGGACATTGGCAACCACAGCAGCTTTTGTACTGAGGTTCCAGGCCGGGCAGCTTGGTCTACGGTGCTTTCACAAGTCTTCGATTCCGAAGATGTTATCTTTGTGGCAGCCATTTCTCACCGTCGAGCGGACGACCTTCTGGGGATCAAAATCTTTCCGGGAGTCGATACTTCAGTGGTTCCAATCAGAGCATATTTGGACTGAGAATTGAATCTAGTGGACTTCCTACTGAAATTCCAGTCAGTGGCAAGAGATGGGTCTGTACCAGGAGGCTCGCCTGGGCCGTATCGAACGCATCAGCGAGGAAACCGCGGCATTGTGCAGGCCCCTGTCGTGTTTTCTTCTTAAATCATGTGGGAAAACGAGTTATGGCAATGCAATTCGCTATTTCACTGGTTGTCCAATCTTGTTGGAATACTACGAAATCTCTAAACGCAGTAACACTCTGCGTTTGGAATTCCACTCCGCCTCATTATGGAAATCTTGGATCAGTCAAATTGCCAATCAGTTTGAACACATCTTGAGGCAGCTGGTCGATGCTTCAAACAGTCGAACCAAGCTTACAGATCTCAACAGGGTCTCTTCACTTGACCTAGATCTTACCTGGTCTTGGAACTCAACCCCTCCCAAAACAATTGAGTCAAATCTGTATGACTTGATCAAAGCGAGGGTCCTCGCTCAACCGCACGCGTTGGCAATAGACGCATAGGACGGTAAACTCAGCTACGAGCAACTTGATGGGCTGTCCACCAAAGCTTGCCAAAGTGCCTATCGATAGAGGCGTTAAGTCCAGCCAACCAGTGCCTCTTCTTTTCGAAAAGTCGATGTTGATGTCTGTGGCCATGCCTGGACTAGTTAAGGCGGGCGTTGTTGGAGTGGGCATAGACCCAAGACAGCCCGAAAAGCGCCTACGGCAGGTTGTTCAGCAAGTCGGCGCAACATTAATTGTGTCTATTAAACTTGGTAGAGGGTTCGTGCTTACTAAGTCCGAAATCCGATAAGGCAACTGATTGATAGGCGCCCGGTTGAGCAAGACTGGAAATATTTATGTTAGCTTATAAGTAATGAAGTTTTAGAAACGCAGGCAGATATGAAGGTGTTGGTGGTAGTCGGTTGCTAACTTGAGAAAGAATATGCGAGAAATATATAACTCAACGAAGAATTCTATTCCTTAAGACTGCTCACTCTAATAGATATTCTTGTTATTATGGCAGTTTTAAGAAACAGTAGCCTATTTAGTATATAGTACCATATGTGTACCTAATATGCAGGGCGGCCTAACGTTGTCTACATTTAGAGTCTCACTGGCATAGTATGTAGCTATTGGCGGTACTTTATACTGCGCCTCATGTGAATGAAATCAACCAATCAAGGTTACGTAAGGCGAGCTTTCTCCAGCCTGCCTTGGCTGCAGGAGGCCCACCAGTTCTGTTCTTACATTTTTAAGCTAGTTAGAGGCTCATCTTTTGTCTCTTACCCTCACTTCTCTTTCATTACCCAACCAGCAGTAATTCTTCAACACAATATACAAGATAAATAGGAACAGCTACAATGTCGAGCTTAGCCGATAATGGAATGGTCGCTCTTCGGGAGGTTCCTGGGAAAGGCAAAGGACTCATTGTCACCCATAAGATCCTCAAGGGCACTCGTGTCCTCTCCGAAGAGCCCATTATCAGAATTCCTGAAGATGCGCCAGACAGTCCGGCCCTACGAGCATCCCTACGCAGGCAAGTTGATGAACTTCCTTCGGACCAACGGCGAGCCTTCCTATCCATGTGCAACATTTATCCCGGCGAAGCTGACTCACAATACCTTGGAATCTTTCGAACAAACGCTCTTCCCATTGAGAGCGGAAGTGGCATCTTTCTCGCAGCGTGCCGCATCAACCACGCCTGCGACAACAACGCACAGAAAGCCTGGAATGAGGGCATCAAACGGCACACGGTCCATGCTTTGCGAGATATTGACAAAGGTGAAGAGATCACCATCACCTACGTCGGTATCTTGAACAATCGCAGAACCCGTCAAGAAGCCCTTCGAAAGAAGTTCAAGTTTACCTGCTCATGTAACCTTTGTTCATTGCCACCACATCTGAGCGCCGAAAGCGACAGACGGCTCGATGAGATCCTGAGGCTAGATGCCCGTATTGGTAGAGATGGTCTGGTAGGAATTTTGTCGGACCCGAAGCGGGTACTTGGATACGTGGATCAACAAGTCCGACTATATAATGAACAAACTCTGGACGATGTCGGCTTGCCGAGGGCTTTCTTTGATGCCGCACAGATTACTGTCGCCCACGGAGACTTGGCCAGGGCACGCGTTTTTACTGAACGGGCGGCGGCTGGATGGCTTGTCCTGGAAGGTGACGATAGCCCCAGAGTGCTTAACGCCAAGAAACTTGCTCAAGACCCTTCAAGCCACGATACATATGGGAACTCAACGGCTTGGAGGACTGCCGTGGATGATGTCCCCCAGGGACTTGACTCAAACGAGTTTGAAAACTGGATATGGAAGAGGGAGAAGGAAAACGAACCCGAGCAACTGGGAATTCTCCGCAACCAAGTGACATTTCCTAGTTTCCTTCAACTGCCTGACGAGACAGATGTTGATGACGACTTCTTCAAAAGCAGAGATGGGGTCAACTATCGGCCCTGGCGACATTGGTGCTTTTTGGCAGAAATCGTCGACTTTGCAACAATCGTTCGTCTACATATGGAAGTTAAGGACGTGGCCGGTATGATAATCCCGCTTTCCTTCTATACAGACAGGCGCGGCAGCGAAATAGACCTGTCACAGCTTTGCAAGGGGTATACTATTGCAGTTCTCTATGCACAACAGCATGCATTCGCCTTTTCGGAACCCGGAATCCGTCACGAAGACCCCACATTTTTCAAGGTATGCCTGCTATTTCTCTGTGGTCAACTTAGTTGTGGCATCTTTTTAATCTGTCTCGTCGCGCCGACTACAGATATTCCCACTGTCATTAGACAACTTGCTGGCGCTGAGCGACCAAGTCCAGAGGTTTTCTATGGAAGCGAATGGCATGAGAATATGTCACGGATGCGAGAAACAGGCTACATCTTTGAAGAGGTGTGCGAAGTGCTCGCTGTTCTGGTACTGTAACGGGGTAAGACAGTCACAATCCACTTACAATATTCTATTAGGATGCTAATCACGTAACAATCAGGTTTGCCAGAAGGCAGGCTGGAGTGAGAAAGACCACAAAGTAGACTGCAAGCTTCTTTGCGATGGCGATCTGAAGGGACTCCTCTCGCTCAACTGGGATGACTTTCAAGATTTCGCCAGGTTCCCTTTGGCTCGTTCAGTTCACTGATAGCGTCCGAAAGTAGATAAGTTGACTTCTACATAATTATTTTTTTACTTGAGTATATTAGCTGGCAACACGACCCAGTATGGGTCTCAACCCAATGGAAGATATAAACATATTGAAGTTTAAAATCAGGACCTTTACAGCGTCAGACCTAACGCATCGCGCGACGCGGTTGCGCGGATACACCTATGATCCGCTTAATTCAGAGGTTTATTGTCGGCATATAACGTAATGATTTATATACCAGACTTTACCTGCTGTTCTTGTTCTTGTTCTTGTAAGTGGTCTCTAACTGTATTGATTTTAGGATTCTTGATTGGGTAAGAACTTTTGTACTGTCGTGTTCCGGCACCCATCGAGTTTTAAAGGATTACGCATTGTTCAGGACAATAACCGTCCTCCTGGATCCGGTACCCTTCCTCAACCAAGTGCACGTATGTTTCCGTTTTATTTTTACCTTCCACTTCTTTCTTCACATCCTGAATTCGTTTGACGAACCGTTCAGCCTTCTGGTATTCAATCTGTCATTCGTGGATGTTCTGCCTCTTGCGTATGACTAGCGTTTGAAGCTCTTGTTGGAGGAGCCGAGCCTTGAATAACCGGAGAGCATGCTCATCATGATTATTTTGAAGCTGGATACGGTCGATTACTGGTTGCAGGTGATAAGATGCTAAGAGAGCTACACGTTGGTGCCAATCCAGCGTATCAATCGCCCAATCTTCAACTTCCATAATTGTTTCTTCCGCTTCTCGGCCCTGTCTAGCGTTCTCTAAAAGCTCATTCTTACTAGGACGCCCCACCAAGACAGTACTGAGACGAAGAGATCCAAGCGCAGCAGTAAGAGGCGATAAGTACAAACGTGAATTATGGGAGAGATAGCAGCGAGTAAAAGCTTTGCAATAGATAAGGCCGCCTCTGAGGCAAGGCCAGCCCACGTCTCCTTCTCTAATAGCACTGTACTGTTCTGGAACACATCCACGGTCTCGACTATGCTTTGAGCTTCTTGCATAGAGGGATAACTTCCCCAGTGCCTGTTTTATGCAAATAATAACGGGGATCATGTGTTTCACTCGTCCTCGCACTACACTGACGGATACCAACAGAAGTGATTACTGATGAAACTTGGCTAATATGAAACTTCGTTTGCGACATCAGTTTATGCCTGGTTTCTGGCTTAGTTAACCTGGTGGTTTTATTTTTACCGGGTTATGGAAAGAGTTGTGCGGAAAGCTGAAACACTGCCCCGCGATCAAAGATTTACCCCCTTGCACGCCAACAACCTTGATCCTGGCACTTGTACCTGGAATATCTGAGATCCACGTCTATCGAAGCGTTTCACAACATTCATCATAGCCACTAAACTTGTAGAGCCGTGTTTCTTGTCTTTGTAGGATGGTATCGCGTCACTTGCGCATTGCTATGTCTCATCGTAATACCCAAGATGCAAGGACAGTACTTACATGGCTGCATCACCTCCCAATAACATCTGGCATTCTGCAGCTCATGCTTTTCATTCCCTCCAGAAGCCTGCGTGCTTAAGCAGTATGTTGCTGTAACTTCTCGTGGTTGTGGCCGTATCTAGAAAACTCTTTTGCGTCGAACGCAATCCACTTACATCGATCAATGGTGCAAGCAACATTTCGCTTTCGCCAAGGCACTGTTGGGGTACTTATGGGTCTCCATCCAATTGAGAGTCAATATCAAGACTACCTTGTCTTACCATCATATCGCACAGACAAGGAGGCATCTCAGATAATGTAATTAGCCCTTGACTAATCCGCATAAAATGTATACAGAATGCATAAGTATGCACTGGGGTCTAACTTTCCAACCAAGATTGAGGTAAAAGATTCCATATCTTATCTTCGCTTCTTGTTATATTCCCTCCCAATGCCATTAAATTACCCTATATAATTCTTCAAGCATAAAAAGGTTACCAAGTAAAAATGCCGCGAGTTCGGGAATATTTTCAATTAGCTTATTTTTTTAAACCTCCTTTTTTATCTTCTTCGGGTTCAACGATATAGAGATTAAATATGCAAAACCTTGCCCCGTATGTTCTGTTGTCTACGACAGTTACTATATTCCTTCTCAACGGCCAAGACCGTTGTCGTGCAACTTAATTTCAGCGTTCAACGAGTTAGGAAGCATTGCGCTTTTTTATATTCCTCTAATTGCCCATACATTCTGCTCTAAATTAAACTGATTTTGCATTTCCTATGGTTGATGAACATAAAGGCCAGACACATTGTCCTGCAAACGGCATTCAGGAACAGTGTTGTAATGTAACAGACATCACGGTGTATTGCAACAGCTTTGCCTATACCACCGCGACACGGGACAATTAACAAGTGACTATCCGAACATGTGACGACCAGCATATGACATTGAAGTAGGCTTAAGATTGAGGGTTGAGAGATGTTGAATATGATAAGATAGATAAGGTAGGTCAGCCTGGAATGCCTCTAAAAGGATTTCTAGACCTTTGATAACTCTCTAGCTATCTGTCTCTTTTGTAGCTTTCTTAGTAATATATTTCCTTTTCAGCTCTTTCTAGCTATATCTCTTATAACCTGTTTTTCTTTATTTCCTTACTTATATCTCTTGTATCTGCCTTTTTCTTACTGTATTACTATTCCTTTTATTTTCTTATTTTTCTTTCTTACCTCTTTATATATCTATCTCCCTTTATAGCTATATCTTAGTTAAAAAAAAAACCCTTGGTTAAAGATAGCTTAAATAGTGTAGCCTAACCCTAATCCAAACCCTATGTCTCTGGAGTATATGTGCAACATAGAGCCCTTAGCCCTCGCATCTAAATTCTGGGCCCCTCAGCCTGCAAGTCATGCGCCATCCCTACCCCCGCGAACGCCCCCATATGCATTGCCTGCATGACATTCTTCATCTTGGCCGCGCAATCTCCTGCCGCATAAACCCCCTTGACACTGGTGGCTCCAAATGGTGGTGTTACTTGAATATCTCCACCGGGCGTCAACTCCACACCTAACTGCTCTGCAAACGGGCCGTTAAGTTTCGTAGGCGGCTTGTGCGCAAGGAACGCCTCCTCAACCGAGCTTCCATCTGCAAAGGTAATAATGATTCCGCTACCTTCAGAACCAAGAGCGAGAGAAGCGATCTCACGGTCGTTTGTTGTGATGGCGGTATTGTTTTGGCCGAGGAGGGCTGCGATTGCGGTTTGCACGCCAGGGTTGTTCGAGGTGTAGATCACAACTTTCGAGGTTATTTGCTTGGCACTGCGCGCGAGGGCTGTGGCTGCTGCGGGAGAGGAGATCTCGCCGAGGGCAAGGATTCCAGCGGAGGGCTTTCCAACATCTTCATAACCGTGGCAGAAGAGGCAGTGGTAGCTGGAGGAGTTAGTGTTATTCAGGATGTCAGAATGGGAAAACACGCACATGGATCGGCCCCAGCACTGATCATATCCCTGGATATCAAGCGGCAAGTCAGTGACACCACTGGCAAGCAAGACTCTCCTGCCAGTGAATGTTGTCCCATCCACAGCTGTGGCCGCAAAGTCACCCGCACTCGTCTTCTCGACCTTGGCAACTTCGCAATCCTTAAACGAGATTGTGTTATACCGCTCCAAGATCTCCTTACGTGTCGCGCCCCTAAAGGCAGCGGGGTCTTTGTGATCCCATGTGGGTATGGTATGCATATGCTCCGAACGCGCGTTGCGGAAGAGCGAGCTGTTGAAGACGACGGCTGTGTGCAGCTGGCGGGCAAGGGCAAGAGCTGCAGACAGGCCGGCAGGACCTGCGCCGATGATGAGGGCATCAACTGGAGGCATGTTTGATGTGGTGGTTGTCAAACTTCTGGCTATGGATGTGAAGTAGTTGGGTACGAGGTTGGTGGTGAGGCTGTGAAGGAAAGACATGGGGAGGAGAGAAAGAAGAGAGCTCTATGTGATATATACTCCATTCTGGAAGGAATGCTACGAGAAGTTACGAGTTCATTATCATCATATCGGGTATAGTGCAAGGATCCAGGTAGCTCTCTATTTAAAGCCTCCGGGGAGGGTTTTCAGAACGCAGGGTTGGTAAACTTCGCCACACCAAGATCCACGTCATCTCGATCAAGATTATGGTGTAGGACAAGCTAAAAGACTGCAGAGGCTGATTGGTCATCGAGAAAAGTTAGCGTGAGTGTACGGGCGAGGCTAATAATGCATCCGTACGTAGTATCCGTAATCCAGTACGGCACACTGTGACACCGGCTCCGCCTCTAGCCAAGATACAAGCTACTGTCACATAACTTAGCAGGAGTAGTAGTTAAGTATCAATATCAGCTAGTCGTGTTGGCTATGTAATGTTGCTTCGAGTTCATTAGGAGAGAATCCGCCTTAATATTATTTCAGCGTCATGGAATGCCCTCCTCAACAGTATGGGACGCAGCATACCGACGTCAGTTTCGCCATTCACTCCGCCTAGCTCAATCCACAGAACGTCCAATTGTCGTGGAGACAATAAACCCTCACCATTCTCAGGGCCTCCTGCAGTTCCCAATACACTTTCCATTCTTTCTAATAGAGGCACAGCCATACGGGTAAAGAGCAAGCCTTGTTTGCAGGGGTGTACCATCATTGACCCTTCAAAGGCAGAACTAGGGATAGGTTCGATCGGCAGAACATCCAAACGGTTAACTCGTGCAGAGAGCTTTTCAATAATCAGCTCGTAAAGAGCTATCAGTTGTGTAAACACATTAATTATGGTCAGAGCCAGAGGGGCACTCAAGGGCTGGTACGTAATACAAGGACGCGGCAGGAGTACCGGCAAGCCCAAATCAGCAAAATTGAGGGGGGGTGGCGGTATTGATGATGATACTGCCCCGGCTCGGGAGCTATGAAGCCGAGCAAGGATAACGAGAAAGTCCTGAGAGGATTTCAAGACTGACTGGGCTAATGTAAATCCATCTTTGTAAAGCGGGCCTAGTTTATAGCTGATCATGTCCAAAGTGAGTGCTTGTTTGTGGTGTTCGACCGCTACAACACGAACGTGAAGATCAAGACTGATGCGTTGCAACTGGGAAAGGCTGTCTGTGTAACTCGGGTGCTGTATGTTTGGGTATCTCGGTGAAGCTACCTCACGACTCCAAAGTGATAAATTCACCACTGAAGGAGGATGAGAGAGAAACCTGTGCCTGTGAGAACTGGCGTTGCCACCGGAAGTGAGCGAAGCCAGGTCTAGCTCCCACGATGTATCCCACGTCGATGAAGCACCCTCGTCAGGAATGGTTTCTTGCCAGCTGCTTGCTTCTGAGCTGCTTGTTTCCGAGCCGAAAACGCTAAGAGAGTCGGCAAATGAGGATTCAGGACTCAACAAGCTGGCCTGATCGTTATAATATGATGGCGTAAGTGTAACCGATGAATGTTTGGAATTTTCGACAACGCCAGTTTCTCTTGTCCATAGCACCACCTCGTTTGCGAAATTGTTGTGCTGTTCGCAATGCGTAGGTCGACCAGAAGTCGGTAGTCGTGGTCTGCCAACCTTTCTCTGTTTTCCAACAATGCATTCAATCTTCAGGAGAAAGCATCGCGCGCACTGAGAGTCAGTTGGTCGGATTCGTTGGCATTTCGCTTTGGCATTCCGGCAAGCCTCGCAGGAGACACGCCGTTGTGAGTGATGAATGGCCGCGCCCATTTTGCTTGATCAATAGTCAGAGGATTGACAAGACAAAAACAGTAAAGACAACATCCGAGAGCACGGAAAGCAGTTGGACCACCCGGGGGAACTATTGCATAAATTTCCGCGGAGGCTTTCTAATTTTCAGTCCAGAGCTGGGGAACTCAGCAGAGACTATGCCTATTATGGATAAGTGCTTAAGAGCGGCCTAACCTTATAAACTACCACCTTAACCTCTTCAGGTTAGGTATGATCGTGCACCCCGGAAATGATGAGTAAACAGTTATCTCTCCGACTTCCGGACATCATTAGAGTATTATTGCGATATCCGTAAACCTGAAGCTCATCAGAGTTCGATACGAAATATAAATCTGCGAACCTGTCACAATATGCCGATGGTGCTACCTTAAAGTCATGCTTAGCTATTTGCTCTGCCGCCATGTCGTCCGCTCCCAAGCTGACAGCCACCGAGCACTTCAACAAGACTGCAGACAAGTACGAGGCCACCACAGGTGGAGGTACCCGTGAACTCGCGCAGCATGCCATCTCCTTCATCGCGGACCTAAAGCCTCTGACGTCCGAGTCGAAGATCCTCGACAACGCATGCGGCACCGGCATCGTGACTGACATCATCCTTAAGTCCGGGATCCAGCCTGAGATCCACGCCATCGACGTCGCGGAGAATATGGTCAGCATTGCTAGGGATCGGTTCTCCTCCCACCCCAACGTCCACGCGGCCGCCATGACCGGCGAGGAACTCTCTTTTCCTGACCACACCTTCACCCACTCCATTACGAACCTCGGCCTCATGTACTTCACCGACGCCGACAAGGGCGCCCGAGAGATATCGCGCACACTTCACCCCGATGGAGTGGCCGTCGTCACCGGCTGGACGACGATGGGACATATCAAGATCATTCAGGAGGTCCAGGCGCAGATCCGCCCCGACGATACGCCGTTCAAGCCGCCTGTCTCCGACATCTGGCTCGACCCGGAGCATACCAAGGCCGTGCTGTCAGGTGCCGGGCTCGACGTACATACCAGCACTGTAATTGACGTGTATCTGGGTGGCGAGACGGCTGACGGAGTCGCTGATATTCTAACCCATGGGTTCGGCTCGAGGGCATTTGAGTCTTGGAGCGAGGAGGAAAAGGAGAAGGGCGCTACCGTGATGAAGAAGATTGTGCGGGAGCGGGCCGTTCCTTTTACCAGACCCTCAGGGTCTGGCGTCGGTATTAAGGTGACAGGAACTATTTTTGTTGCGCGTAAGGGATCTGGCCGTGTACTAGCTTCATGAGTGTATTCCTGATTAGAGAGGCTCTCCCTGAGATCGCCACAACTCGATTTAATAGTTCGTAAAACGTATTACAAATTTAGCCGATGTCTATATTAATAAGTGATACTCAGAAACCCAATTAGGTTGGCGTTCGCGACATAGCTGAGATTCAAGTCCGCGTTAGCTACAACCACATACTAAGTGGCGGGGAAGGGTCACGCACGCGGTGTCTCAGCGTTTGTTTAACATGTTGTGAGGCAGAATCATGGTTCTCCATGATTTGATGAACAGTGCAGAGATGGCAGGTAGTGATAGTCGGATAAGGAAGCGATTCTGATGCGTGTTGAGATCGAGTGAAAAATAATACGAGACGGCCATACCAGCCCCGCAGTCGACTAAGAAGAAGAACAAAACTTATAAAGAACGAGTCTAACGCGCCAAGAAACGAATACATACAGCAGCCGGTTCTGAGCCGTCGGAGCTCTTCGGGGAGCATTCCCCTTAAAACTGGCGCACAGAGGTTGATATCTATGCTTATGTTGCTAGTCGGCAGATGAGATGGCCGAAACTTGCGTGTACGGATCGATAGACCGATCACAATCTGCCCAAGATCTGCGATGTTTGGCTGAAGCATTGGTCTTGGAGGATCTCTCCAGGACCGATATTGGACCAGGCGGTTTGTGCTGATGGGAAGCATTCGCGGAAAATGACTTGCAAGGAGTAGTCTATTCCCTTGCTCAGGAAGGCCAGTCTGCTGCACGCCAGCGATTGCTCGACTGAGATTCTGAACAGGCAGGAGGTAGTGTAGGAAGCTTTCGGATCGTCGATGGGTACCAACGGTACGGATGCGGCGATCTATAGACATAAGAAAACCTTAAACAACCTGCCTAAATTACTTTTCTTTTATTCCTCTTGTCGCTATTTATGTCACCGACGACTTTTCGCGTTTGAGTTGGTACTACCATCTGCCCTCAGCATCATAGCTAAGCAGCCGCAGATTGTGAATAAAGGAGGATTAAGCTTCAAAAGTTTTCACTTCTTAGATTGAATTTAATACGTATCTTGGTTATCAAAATTTCACTATTTCACCTTGCTTGAGATCTAGCCAGTCAGCCTCATTTGGTCCAACTGCTGGCTATGCATCGGCCCGTTATATCTTCCGGTCAGCAAGGCAGATCGACTGGCTCCAAATGTTTCAACCTCCAAGCCTCATTGCGCAGCCTGATCATCATCACTCCCATATCTTCATTCTAGAATCTCGGAATCATGGCCGAACTTGCTGCTATCGCCTTGGCGGGCAATATCCTTCAGTTTCTGGAGGTCGGCATCAAGTTGACCCGCACAGCGACAAGAGCTTATCAGTCCACAGACGGCTTCATAAAGGAAGACCGGGACTTTCTGGCCGATACCGAACGCTCTCGTAAACTAGCGTGTCTTATCCAGCAGAACCAATGGACTCCAGAAGAACATTATGATAGCCGCTTGGATGATAGCCTCATGGAGACGGCCAAGATATGTGAGGCATATGCATCCGAACTTGTAACCCTTCTTGATCCAATGCGTCTTAAGTCTGGAGGGTTTCGCGGCTTACAATCTATTAAGATTAGCATGCTTCGACAATTCAAGTCTAGGGATGTTCGGAACCTGAAAGTGAAGATGATCGCAGCACGAGATAATCTTATGCTTGCCTTGATAAGTACATCTTAGTGAGTTTTACGCGTCCCCTATTGACACCAAGTTCAAGCCACTGAAACGTAAGTTCAGTGTCCAGCAATCATCTGCTCTGAGCGCCATCCGCCAGTTGAAGCAACAAAACGCGGTTTTGGAAGCCAATACTACAAGCAAACTGGAGTCTATTGAGAATCTCATTCAGGGAGTTGCATCTATTGACGCAGACGGGGCTACGACGATGATAACGCATTTGGATAACCTTGCGACCGAAGCGAAACAGGTGAAGAGACAGCATAAGTTGTTAAAGAGCCTTCGATTTCCTACTATCAGGCAGAGACACAGTGCTATTATGGAGCATCACAAAGCGACCTTTCAGTGGATATTTACAAGTACCGAAACTGGTTTCGGAGAGTGGCTTGAATCAGGTGGTGGATTTTTCTGGGTTAAAGGTAAGGCGGGCAGTGGAAAGTCAACGCTGATGAAATTTCTTGCCACCCACGACGAAACAGAGATCCGATTGAAGACCTGGGGAAAAGGGCAAAAAGTTGTCACAGCGAGCCATTTCTTCTGGAATGCCGGGACGCCAATGCAGAAATCCCTCACTGGACTGTTTCAAACGATACTTTACCAGGTTGTCAAGGTGTGCCCGGAGCTCATTGATATGGTCATTGAGTGCCGGAAAGACCCATCGGACCTTATGCTGGCAGAGCCATGGGACGACGACGAACTTCGCATAGCTTTCCAAAGGCTCTCAAGCCTAGAGTCTCTCCCTTTGCACTTTTGCTTCTTCATTGATGGACTAGACGAGTATACGGCCGGAAAGCAGCGTTATACTGGCACATTCGAGGAGTTGCTTGCCCCATTAAGAGTTCTAGCTTCCTCTCCTTCAATCAAGCTATGTGTGTCTAGTCGACCTTGGAATTCATTCGACAAAGAGTTTGGCAGACTCGAGTGGCAACTTCAACTCGAAGACCTAACAAGAGAGGACATCAGAAGCTATGTGACGGAACAACTGGGCGCCGACCAGAAATTTCAAGAGCTCTCTAACAATAATCCACAATGCTCTGAGATGCCAGAAACAATTGTTCAAAGAGCCCAAGGAGTTTTCCTATGGGTCTTTCTTGTTGTAAACTCTCTCTTACGAGGCCTTTGCAACGATGACAGTTACACTGATCTCCAACAAAGACTGAATGAGCTCCCAGATGACTTATACCGATACTTCGAACACATGCTCTATTCCATTGAGAAGGTCTACTGGGACAACACTACCCGAATATTCAGAACTGTTCTCGTATCGGAACAATCGTTACCACTACTAAGCTTTGAATTTCTAGACCGGGAAGTGGATGATCCCGCATATGCAATCACTATGCAGTCCCAGCCCTTGTCGAAAGAGAGATATAAAAGGATCCATCAGCGGGCGAAGACACGGCTCAACGCACGTTGCCGCGATTTGCTCTACGTCACGAAAAACACTGGAGAAGCTGTATTTCTGTATCAAGTCGACTTTGTTCACCGAACAGCTAGGGACTTCTTCTTGGACACAGGGGTCATAGACAAGATCATTCAGCAACGACCAACACAGGACTTCAATCCGCACCTCTCCCTCTGTAAGGTCATGCTAGCTTTGACAAAGGCCCTGACAAACTATCAGTCAATCTCTACATTCGTTGCTGATCTCATGTATTATGCACGCACTATCGAAGACATGTACGGCCAGCCTGACCTATATAGAGACACCCCAATTAGTTTCGGCAGTTTGACCGAGATGTTTGGCATCTTGGATGAATTGGCAAGGGTTAATACAGAACGGTCTGTGACTCCGGATGTTCATCTGTTGGACAATCTTGAGCATCTTTCAAAAGATTACTTCAAAAAGCCCCGCTTGAATAACGTCTTGGCGCCTGCAGTCCAGGCCGGATTGCTCCTCTATGTCGAAGATCGCCTTCGCAGGCACCCTTCAGAGCTTCAGTTGAATACTGGCCGACCTCTGCTTGATTACGCCCTACGACCAGGAAATACTGCGCCTATGCTGAGGTCACCTTCAGAGACAGTTCCCATTATCCCCATTTTAAAACTTCTCTTACACGTTGGAGCCAACCCTAACGCCAGAGTAGATATGTACGATGGGAAAACGACATGGGGGTGTTTCTTGGAGACTTGCCAACAACATGCTGCGCGGAAACGAAGCCCCGAAGAAGTCGAAAAGATAGCAGCTGCTCTGGAGCTTATGATAGACTATGGAGCAAGAGTGGAGGGACACTTTGGCCCCCTCACCTTTATGGAGCTTCTTGATGAAATCAACTTGCCACCTCATTGGGCCAATCGCATCCAAGAGATGACTGAAAACAAATATAAGAAACAATCACTACTCTCAAGCATTACGTCTTGGCTACAAGGGAAGTAGCACTAACAAGCTGTTTTGTATAATATAGTTGTTCTCTAATATATTATATAATAATACTAAGTATACTTAACTACAGCATGTTGTTAAGCTATCCCCGTGCTTTAATAGATAATTAAATATATATAGACTCCTATTATATATTAATACGAGCTTTAGGCTTATGTATTAAAATTAATTCTAGTACGAACAAATAACCTTATCCTATGTTACATAGCGTAGACTTAAATTTTATCCAGGGGTAGAACTAAATTTATACCTTATTTCTATATAGCTTAATCCTTTAGCGCTAGAGAGTTCAAGATTGCTGCATGTGTGAAATAGGCTGATGTTTATAAGTTAACCGCCTCCCTCCGTAGGTTGACGGAGGTAGTGTTGAAATCACAAGTTCGGCGGGCTAACATAATTCAGATGCTATCTGCCCACTTATTTAAGTGCAGTATAAAACTATAAGAAGTACAAAGATGTAGTGTATACATGAGGTAGAATCACTTTAAGTTAATCAATCACAAGACATGACGTGTGCACAAATAACCAAGTTACAAATGCTCTCTTCACTTCTGTTCTTTGTTTCTTTCCCTAAACCTTCCTCTTGTCCTGAATGAGCATTTAACCTGGTGGTTTGGTCCGTGTGCTTTGACCCATTTCTGTTGGCTTATCACATGCCTGCGGCCCTGCCAGTGGCTTATTGATTAGGCTGTCGCTGCTATGACAATGAGGCTATACCGCCTCACCGTCCGAAAAAGCGGGGGAGGGGGCAACTACACAAGCTTGTATGCTATTGGCTGCTAGTACTACACACTTCTATCATTGTCAGAGGTGCAAACGCCACGCTTTCAGCTCTCAGGCAGTGGATGCCATTAAACTCAGCCACTTGCAGCCTTGTATAGTATAAAGACGGTGCTCTGGTACGTATGCACACGATTCCTCTACGTTACCTTTGTATTTTCATCCCTCCACAATACAGTTCCAATTTGTAACGTCATCTCGGTTCTAGGTGTACATCGAACGTTACATCTCAACCAACAAAGTTCAACTCATTATATGTGTTGCTACAGGCGTAAGAAGCTCACCAGAGCCCAGAAGGCGGCGAGCCGATATGAAGAGTATAAGAAATCTCTAATCGCTGGACTCTTTGCGGCCATTGTCGGGCTCGGCCTCTCCGCCGCCGTCATAGCCAAAGTGCCCGGCAATGCTGCTATGATATGGCATTTGTGCCTAGTAACCAGCGTCTCGTTCGTTAATAAGTGGCAACAGGCTGACACAATCCGATAGTCTATCCTTACTGGCATCATAATGATCGTGTTGCTCGCCCGTGCGGACAAATTTGCTCCTATTAATAGATACCCAACTATCACTAAAGCTGGCATAGGGATATATGCCATCATATTATTTATTTGCGCTCTTTGGATTTACGCTTTAGTCTCCTTGATTTTTGACTGGCCAAGTGACTCAATGGGCGATAGTTTGAATAAAAGATATGAACCAATGGCAGGGATCGAGCAAGGAGTTTCCAATGGACCTGTATAGGGATCTTTTAGGTCAGATATCGCATTTATATAAGTTCTCCCTATTTTGCCTCTCTCTACTTGTCTTTCTTAGAAAGTTTTGCTAACTACTTTAGTGTCTATACTTTTAAGCCTGTGTTTAGTCTGGCAAGGGCGATGCATTATGCCAAAAAAGCCAGCGAAGAACCTGTTATTGTACATTAATCTGTGCTCCTTTAATATATGTTAATATAAAAGAATACTATTTTCAGTAAGCTTAGGAATTACTTACAGATAGTCATATCAAGACTATCTTTATAATGCAGTTCTTAAGCCTATCCAAGCTGCGCGGCGGATATAGGTCTGAATCTAATAGAAAACATATATTAAATAAAGCCATATTAATAATGATAGGGACCTAAATCTATTGCCCCTAATAGATACAGGTTACTATCATTGAAAGTTAGAAAATATAACTTTTGAAATTGTATATTAGTTAATAAGTACTAGAATATAATATATAAAATAAGTAAACTAGATATTATGCTTTTTACTATAATTACAATTTTTTAAATACTTCTTTAAAGTTTATTCTAAACTTAAATTATATATATTATCAGATATTATATCTCTTAATAGTAGATTTAATATAAATTAAGTTTAATTAATTATATTTAGTATTATTAAAAGTAAACATTAATTAGTAAATTATCTACTGTAAATTACTCTATATATTCTCATATACTTAATAATAATTAACACAATGATAAAAATACATTTAACATTATCTATAAAGTAACAGGGATGGCATAAATTAAATGCCTTTCTTCGTAGTATTGCCGCAAGGTGAAAATCTTTCACGCGTCCATGCCAACACTATAGCTTCTTTATTTAACGGCCTAATACGACAGCTAAAGCCTAACCTGCAAGAAGTCACTGGCTACTTAACCTAGTAGAGCAAATGCTAGTAAGGTGATGACTGACGAAGTAACTACTAGTGAAGTAATCAATAGAGCTGTCTGCAATTGAGGTGTCCAGTAATGACAATGACATTTAAGTAATTACACCAAGTCTGATTGCTACATGCACCAGTACATCACATCAGACAAAAGTACTATCCTGAAGCCTGTTCCTAACCTTCCTTCCAATGTCAGAATCTCTAAACATCAACCGCAGATCCCCAACTATAGCCCCCGGCTGTTCCCACGCCGCAAAGTGACCACCGCGCTCATGCTCCTCCTGAAAAACGACCGGACCAAGAGTTTGATTCCATAACTTTGGCAACAAGACCAGATCATTTATAAATCGAGAGATACCTAGGGGTACATCGATGAAAGCCCCAGCAGCAACAAATGCGATCGGATCGGATTGCTCAAATGCGTAGTAGAGGTTGCTCGGTGCATCAGGTCCCGCAGTAGAGAACCAATAGATGCTCACCCAGGTGAGTATCTCCTCATCAGTCCATTCATACGCATCGCTCCATTGAACGAGCTTTTCGTAGATCCATGCGAGTAATCCGACTGGGCTGTCGCGCAGGGAAAAGCCGATTGTCGTTGGCTTTGTTGACTGGATGCTGTAGTATCCCATGCCGGTTTTGGAGACCTCGCCCGCACGTACAAGCGCTTTGAGCTCGGCTTCGGTGAGGGGTGTCTTTTGTAACTGCTTGTACAGATCCGGGTGGGTATCTTCCTTTGGCTCGCTGGGCAGAGGCGTATTGGTGTGAAGAGCCATGCAGCGTGAGTTGCCGAATGATGTCGCCATGTAACGCGCAATAATGCTTCCAACGTCGCCGGCTTGGATTACTGTGACTCATCAGTCACGCGATGCCTATGTTCACATGCGAAAGTTTCATACCGTATGTCTCATATCCGAGTTCATTCATAAGTCTGTCGTACAGCTTTGCGTGATGTTCAACTTGGAATCCGGGCTGTCAAAACATCAGTACGCGATGTCGACTGTTTGGATCACACCAGCCATTACCTTGCTCGCCGATGAGAACCCAAAGTCGATGAGACTTGGTGCGACAACATGAAAGCTGGGGCCGCCATTGCTGTCGACCAGAGGTTCGAGAACCCTGGTCACTTCGACAAAACTACCGGGCCATCCGTGAAGAAACAGAAGAGGAATCGCGTCTGTCTTGTTACTTTCCTTGTGGATAAAATGCACGTTCAGGGCCCCAAAACCTTCGATAGCAATGGATGTGATGAAATGGGGCAATTTATTCAGACTGGCTTCAACAGCCCGCCAGTCAAAGGTTGTCTGCCATGTTTTCGCCAGTCTTTTGACATCATCAACTGGTGCACCTCGCTCCCAAGACTGACTGTTATCTGCAGGAAAGTCTGTCAGTGCCAGCTTCTGCTTGAGGCGCTCAATCTTTGAGTCGGGTATGTTGATCTGGTAGGGTTTTATAGTCGACATATTGCGTATAGTACCGGCGTGAATTGTTTGTGAAAGCATAAAAAGGAAGAATCTTGTGATTGGGGTCAGAGCGGGGTTATATGCACCCATCAGTATCTGTATGCATGACAGGATTTGAATCCTTGACTGGAAGTGAGCTTATCTCCGTTTGCCTCGACGGAAGCGTGAATGTATAGATAAGAGCTCTGGAAAATTGAACCACTTGCTGGATCTTAGTATCTGTTGATAATCGCTGAATCGATGGACCAGTATCGTTGATAGTCTGTAGGGATTCGGATGGTGTTGCTGGTCATGTCATGCTTCTTTGTATCTTGCTCATGTACACGACCACCCACCCTCGCATGCTTTAACAATGATTCGAGAGTTCTGGTAAACTCGCTATCTAAGATTCGCTTCCCTTGTATTCGCAATACCTCAATTGCCGGCGTGACACAAGCATCTCAACGCGAGTAGGCGTTCCTGGGATGGGCATGTACTGTGCCATGTCATCTCGGGGCAATGAGAGCCCGAGGTGGAGGCTGGACGCGGTGTGATCAGGTCTGCTTATTCTGCAGTTGCGGCACAGTAAACATCTCTAGAGAGCTTCTCGGCCTGAACATCGTGCGGGGGCTTCATCAACTTCTTGATCAGAACCAACACATCTCTCTCCTCGCTCATAAGAGCATTCGCCAATCTATGCTCTGTGAATTTTGAGCATCCCTTCTTGATTCCAGATTCAAAGGCGTTGCTCGGGATAACCGTTCTCCAACCGTCGCTCAGAATGCGATAGTCAAGCTCCATACCCGGATGTAGTTGCTTCACAACAGGGTCAACTACGGGCGGCCAGCTAGAAACCAGGATGCAGTGAAATAGAACAACTATGCCATCCATACATTCATCAGACGGGAGTATGCCCAAGCTTGAAGGTGACGGTGCTCCAGATACTTGACCTGCTTAACAGTACTTACTGGCCTTCAGATATGACCAGACTAACTAACCCCGGGGCAGCAGAGTATCAAACAGGCGAATAGGTGCAATAGACCTGAGCTTGGATGGCCAAAGACTATAAACGTCAGGACAATTACAAGCTCCGAGTCCGACAATCAGCGGCATCAGAGAGCGGTTCGCTGGAGGAAGTTGGAGGCAAGGACAGGTCTGCGATGCCCTTAGATGCTGTGGGCCATATGTGCACTAAACGGATGAAGGCAGTGAGTACTTCCACATCGGAAAGGTTCAGGTGGCTTTAATCAACCACATCGTGTATCAAATCTCTGTTTCGAAATGTTGAAGAACGACTTTTGTCAGCCGTCATGACAAGGGGGTCATCAACGTTTTAACCAGCGCGCCTCGTTATCATCAGGGACATCACAGCTAATAGAGTCGGGAATTTCAGTATTGGCGAGACTCCATGGCAAGGCAGATTATCTGATTTAGTGGGGGCCTTGATTCTTCAAGTAAGATGAGGATTCAACACAACGAGAAACTGGGACGTAGAACAAAGAAGCTAATCGTTTCAGAGGACCCTTCCAGGGATTTCTCGCGAATAGATCGAGTATGGAGACGGATTCAGGGAGAACATCCCAATCAAGCTGAGCATGACGATGGACAAAGAAGATGATCATGATAGCACGAGTTGTTGTGGCTTGGGCGGAGAGATGCTGCCTCTTGAACTATCTCCACCTGGTGCATCATGCCCAGCGGGCTCATTCCAATGCTCCGAGGAGGTCGGTGACGGGGAGAAGGAAATAGGGAGGCCGGTCTTGTCATGAAGCTCATCTACCGCAACGAGCACTCGTTCAAGTCTTTGTGCAACCTCTTCACCGTAGAGCAGGGAGTAGCGTAGACTCGGCATTGATGATATGGCCTGCAAAGATGCTAAGGATGAACACGAAAACCGGCACTCATCTAATGTCCCTTGATGGTCACTGTAACCCTGTCACGGATCTACTCCTCTTATAGGATCGGCCAAAGCCAGATACGGAAATGACTTGACTTCTAATGTAGCCTTCTATGAATAAGACTTATTCTTTTTACAACTCGCCTAGGGCCTATTGTCGGTGCAGTAAGTCGTCAGCTCTAATGCACCGCAAGAGCTTGATCGGTTGTTTGACACCAGCGCTCATGCTGTTATTCCGTCAGTCACCTTGCCAGATCAAAGGCAACTCCAGCACTGGTCCTGCGTAAAAGAGACCGGCAGGTACAACACCAAGGTAACACAGCCTTTGCGTCTTTTTCAGAAGACCTCGTCTTCGTTCACACTGTTGATTGTAGTGCAGAGCATGAGCAGTGGCATCCGTATGTATCAGCTGCGCAGGCCTAGGACTTGTACCATGTTTCATGGGGACTTGGAGATGAGGCAGCTCGTCATGCTCGACGGAATACACGTCGTTCTTAGAGGACATGATGGTCAAGTAAGTGACAGGTCAATGCCGTAGAAAGAGATACAAGTTAATTGTATGTGAAGATTTTTTGAGATGTATGGGAAAAGATCACATTCTCAAGGCCCTGAAATTGAGTGCGGCAAGTTTATGCTGCCCCGACTGGAAGATGTTGAGGCTGGGGAAGTAGAACAGGCGCCACATTCATTTACCCCAGATTCAGGAATTGATTCAGCCACTTTCATTGAATGGCCCCAATTTCTAGACTATTCGGGTTTTATTTGAGTTCATGGCCTTATTATGCGTATCGCCACGCCACGGCCTCTTGACGAGCGGCATTGCAGCCACTCAGAAAGACTGTATTCCGGGCCGCCTCATTAAAGCCCATTCGGCTTATCAACCAATCACAAAAGGGCAATTCCGATTAGTATGAGGCGGGGAACTATCACCCTTATTCTTCCTATTTCTTACTCGCTCTGTTACTCTATTCTATGCCTTAACTTCCAACCTTGTTTCTTCCCTTGCATTTTGAATAAAACTGCATCTTACAATCATCACGTCCGATTAACAACCATCCAGCATGGGATCACTGAGTATCAACATTCCTCACCTGAGGCGCAATGAGAACTCCAAACAACTCATAGTCAACGGACGCCCATTCCTCATACGAGCAGGCGAACTTCAAAACTCTTCCTTGACATCAGTTGAGTACATGGAGCCAGTTTGGCAGAAGATGGTAGACACAAACATCAACACTTTGCTAGGCTGCGTGCCCTGGGAAATGATCGAGCCCGAAGAAGATACTTTCGACTTTTCTGTTCTCGACGAGATTATCCTTGCAGCGCGAAAGCGTTCATTGCATCTTGTGTTGCTCTGGTTCGGCTCATTCAAAAACGGTAAGAACCCGCTAGATACTGTGGTGGATAGGGACTGATGGGCTCAGGGCTCTCGACATACGTGCCATCATGGGTTAAGCAGAACCCGAAGCGATTCCCTCGAGCGAAACTGCGCAAAGCTGGCGGTCGTCTTGAAACAGCTGATGTTGTATCACTCTTCCACCCAGAATCTCGCAAGGCTGACGCCAAAGCGTTCGGTGCACTAATGAAGCATCTCCGGGAATTCGATGAGTCTCACTCCACTGTAATCATGGCTCAGGTTGAGAATGAGAGTGGCTTGTTGGGCGATTCGCGTGATGGGTCTGAACTAGCTGAACAGGCGTTTCGCCAACCTGTGCCACAGGAGCTGATCGAGTTCCTCACTTCAAGCTGGGAAAACCTCCACGGAGATATCAAGACGCACAACCTGGTCCACTTCAACCCTACAGGACTTGAAAGAGGTGACTGGGAGACAGTCTTTGGATCAAGTCCTCGTACCGATGAACTGTTCATGGCATACCACTATGCTCTCTACGTCAACCAAGTGGCGGGAGCTGGAAAAACACAATATCCCATTCCGCACTACACCAATATGTGGATGAACTACGCCGGAGATGATACGGACAACGACTTCCCGGTTATCGTAGGTGGGGGCGGTATGCCAGGGGATTATCCCTCCGGTGGTGCCGTGAGCAACGTCATGGATGTCTGGATGCAGTTTGCGCCCAACTTAGACTTCCTCGGTCCTGATATCTATCTCAACGATTACGAAAGGTCCTGTGCAAAGTATAGGCATAGAAATCAACCGCTTTTTGTCCCAGAACAGCGACGCGATGACTATGGCGCCCGGCGTATGTGGATTGCCTACGGATCCTATGCGGCGATGGGTGTAGCTCCCTTTGGCGTTGACACGGTAGAACCAGCCAACAACCCCTTCACCAAGCAATACGGACTTCTCAAGTCGGTGTCAGCTATTGTTCTCGAGGTTCAGCGTCAGCCCAACTCATCAGTTGGCTTCTGCTTTGACGAAATACCCAACGGCGCATCCAACAGTATCTCTCACCCCATCAAGCGGAGCTGGGGAGATTTCGACATCACAATTGATCGATGCTTCGTCTTTGGAAAGCCAGGACCAGGGGCAGGCATGGTTATTCATCGAGGGCCCGGTAAGTTCCTGTTGATCGGCTGGGGATTCCATGTTAGCGCAAAGACTTCATTGAAGAATACAACCTTCACGGGGATCCTTAAATTCGAGGAAAAGGCCGTGGATGACGAGGAAACTGGTCGCTTGCGAACAGTGCGCGTCTTGAACGGGGATGAGACTAGGAGTGGCAGCTTTGCCATGATGCCTAACGAGGATCCTGACTATGGTGGCTTTCCCATCTCTGTAACTGTCCCAGCGAGGACAATGATTGCAGAGGTCACCTTTTACGCCATTTCCGAGTAGGTGATGGATCATAAACACTGTTGGTCTTGTTAAACCCTCTATTTATGTATCTGAATGATTAATTTTCAGACTCCTTCTTTTGTCCTGCTATGATTTTTTATCTCTTAATTGCTGGTATTTTCTTCGATAGAATACATTTGCATGTCATCTAAAATCAAATCATCAATATTAAATGCTGTGTACCTCCCCTGTTCAGTCACCGCTTGAGTACGAGCTGAGAAACTATCCATGTCAAGATCCATGCCCGACGTCACTGGTGCAACATCCTTCTCGCCCAAAGGAAGTGAGTACTGTATCAAGAAACGCAGCATCCAGCCGTCAAGTGTATGCGTTCTGTAATCACTGGACAGCAGGCAATAATTCTGAAAGGTAACGAGTCGATGAATCTGTGGAGAATCAGTCCTAGCCACTTGGTCAAACTGACTCACGTACCATGGATTCAGTATTTGGCCAGTACCGTCTCAGTTCAAGGATCGCCTCAAAGTTTGACTTGAGAGCATCTCGAGCAGGTTTGACATCTTCATCCACACTGAACAAAAGCGTATGGAGTAGGACCGATGATGATACTACTGCCATATGGCCAACAGTCGGGTAGATGACTTCGCAATTTTCCTTCTGCCGAGCTAGTTTCAGAAGATCGCTGTATGAAGAAGCATGGAACTTGCACTTCGCTCGATACATCGCTGCCAGAGGTGATGATGATGCCGCGGGCTCGAGGAATCGAAAGTATAGCAGCGTGGCGTAGTGGTGATAGCCCAAGTGGAGAGCGATAAAGGCGCCCCCATGACCTGCTTTGATGAATCGCTCAAGATTATCTGTACTCAGCCTGACGTTCGGTGGAATTGTCCATTCCCAGTCATCTAGCAATTTGGAGAGGGACGCAACAGTCGAATTGATTTCCTCATCGTCAATGTTTCCGTAGACACTGCGATGGTTGAGATCCTTGATCGGTCCAAAGAGGCGAACTAACGAGATCTTGTGCGCCCAAAGTCCCGGCTGCCACGGGAGATTCAGTTTCGTCTCGTCTGGAGACAGAGACTCGAAAATAGGCTCGTGCATTGGAAGATCAACAGCAAGATCGGTGTCTCGGATCTGAGGATCCAGTCCAAGACTGGAGGATGACCAGCGATCAGCCATGTACAGCGTCCACCAAGCCCGTATCCTTATCTCGCGATCTATCAATGTGCTAGCCGCCGAACAAGTGCCGGCTTCCATGATTTGTAGCAGGTTCACACCGATACCTGTGAGCGGTAAGTGACTGGCAGAATGGAGCGTCGTTGGTACAGCTTACGAAAGAATAGGGCTTCAGAGGAGGGGTTGAGATGGGCAGCATAAAGATTAGCGATCAAGATACATGTCTGCACATTCTCGATACAGATATTTTCCAAATCAGCCAGAAGCAAGCGCTTAGACTCATTATTATATGTGCTTTCTAGAGAGCGAATATCATCATCTGCGTCGAATCTGGCACCCATACTGCAGATAGAGAGCAGCAGAGCTTTATTGATTGAGCCATTTTGCACCTGTTTCTTCAGGGTTGCTGGGTGGAACAAGCTATGAGGTCGATTGTGAAGTTTGGTGAGGTAGTAATCAACAAGACGAATAGCGACGTCAACAGGAACGTCGACCGAAGTGTCTTGATGCCGCGTGGGACTTGGGTTTGGCAGCAGGGCATGGGTTCGGGCCGGGACATTGGCCAAGGAAGCTGTGCACTTGAGACTCTTAATTTGGCACTGATCGCACGAGTCTCCTACTTGGCCGCTTCGGCGTGTACATCTCCGCTTGGTTCTCCGGCACTCGTGGCACGCTTTGGGGGGTTTCATTGTATTGAGTGTAATAAATTCTCTGTTTGAGGAATTAGGATCATCTGGGGAACAGCAGGGGGCGGAATAGAACACGGGGTAAATCTTAGGCGCTGATCTCAGGCTTGCCCGCATTCTTCTCGTCCTCGGAAATGGCAATTTCTGATTGGCTCTTACCCCGACCGCCCATCGTCATGGCATGGGGAAGCGGAGTAAAGAGTGGAAAACTAACAAAGTAGCTCAATCAGCTTTGGAGCCATCATCAGGGGTAAAAACGAGGTCTTTGTGAAATGGCTTACTGTTTGTCAATCAATATCTATCCGCGTCGAGAGAGATTCTGCGATACGCGCGCTTTGGTCAAGAGGCCGTGATCCAGCGATGGCTGCACCCGAGGAGCTCGATTCCCCGCATCGGAAATGAAACATGTTCATTGGCTTGAATGCCGCTTGCCCCTCGTAATGCTGCAAGGTACAGGGGGAAGTAGACAGTAAATCTGGACGTTTGGTGGTGCTTTGGCCCAAGCCAGGTCGTATTGACAACACTTCATCTATTATTCTTGACCTATTTCCTGCTTTGGCCAACGGTTGTAAAATTTTGTGTGCTATACCCCGCAGATAACAGACTTTTCAGTCTGAGATCGATCGAGCAACGCATGAGGAGGCGAAATGGCTTGTCTCTACTGCTCACTGCCATCCATGACCCTGCCAGACGTGGTCATAAAACCACGTAAATGACTATAAATATAGCGTTCCCAGCTTCAGTCTCAGTAAACATCACTCGCCAGGAGTCACCAAGAAAAGCAACCACCCTCTGCTGGCTTCCCAATCATCTTTCGCCATGATTTTCAGCCGCCTATTCGCCACCGCGGTTCTCACGACCGCAAGTCTCGCAGCCTCACTGGCACCGCGGGCCGTAAAGCCCTGGTCCAACTTCAACAACAACGCTGTCTTCTATCCCAAGAAGGAAGCTACCAGCTGGCGAACCCTCTACGGCCGAACTCTGCAGCTCCCCGACAAATCTCTGCTTCTGTCGTGGGAGGACTACGATCCTGATGTGGAGTTCACCTACTTCCCTATCTACAAATCTACAGATGGCGGTGCGACATACACGCCTTTTGCTAGGGTGGAGGATCAGGTCAACGGCTGGGGTAATTGGTACCAACCCTTTCTTTACGCCTTGCCCCAGGACTTTGGCGGATACAGTAAGGGCACTATTCTGCTCGCCGGCGTCTCTACTCCTCGCAATCTGACCGAAGCCTACATCGATCTTTATGCCAGTAAGAATCAGGGCAAAAACTGGGAGTTTGTCAGCCACATTGTTTACGGCCCTGGACCCGAGACTATCAGCCAGGGCGACCAAGCCGTTTGGGAGCCGTTTCTGATGATGCACAAGGGCCAGCTGATTTGTTATTTCTCCACCCAGGTCGACCCCAAATTCAACCAGAAGCTCTCCCACAAGACAACCAAGGATTTGCGCAAGTGGAGCAAGGCTGTTGACGACGTCGCCTTTCCTAACACCGATCAACGTCCTGGCATGGCAACCGTCGCCTACAGCCCCATCTCCAAGAAATATGTCATGACGTTTGAGTACTGTGGTGGGCCTCTTACGGGTGGTTGCCCTGTTTACTACAAGGTATCCAACGACCCTCTCGCCTTCGGATCTGCTACGGCGCAGCCCATCATTCCTAACGATGGTCAATTGAACCCCAACGGCAGTCCATTTGTGATCTGGACGCCTGAGCCCGGAAAGAAGGGCAGCGGGATCTTCATCGCTAACGGCAACAGCCGGGAGGAAGTCTTTGTCAACACAGATGCTGTTGACCCTGATGGTTGGAAGCCGGTTAACGTCGGGCAGTGGTCAGCTTATTCGCGTGAGCTGCGAATCATTCAGACTCCAGATAAGAGTGCTGCTGAGGGAGAGCCTAAGCTCCTTATTACAAATGGCGGAAATATTGGTTGTTCAGGAGGCTGTTATAACTATGTTGCAGATGGGCTCGTGGATATTCCCAGTTATCCCCGGAACTAAACGGCAGATTTGACTTAGCCTTCCGGGTAGACTTGGTAGGATGGGATGAGTGTTTGGCAGACCGTATTTCTTTCGACTCATCTTGGTTGGAAATTTGTCTAGTGGTAGTACTATTCTTCTTGAGAGGGATTGCAATTAGCTATTTCTTATATATTAAGCAATCTTTCCTTGACTTGCTTTGGCACAATTTGCCACTGACTCAGATGTTGTCGTGTATCTCACCACCAGTCTATGTCCATAAGCCAATAATTCACTGCATCAATGGCTACAGTTCACACATTCAGACATATTCATCAAATCCTCTTCAACAAGCGAGATTATTGAAACATGGTATACAATGAGTGTGACTAAACTTCTGGTCGACCTTAGTGGTTTTATCCCGTGTGTTCTGCACTTAACCCTAAGCCAGAGCCTAATAGTTTACCTAAACGCATCAACAATGTGTCGCCATTGAACCAATTCAGGGATGTCACCAATCACGATAACACGTGACAGCGCGTCGCAGTTGCGTGCTTTGCTTGCAAGGATACACATGTCATTATACCAGCATCTCCAATCGAAATTGTTGCTGCGCCGACTTGTGTAATAATTGTAATCTTTGAGCCCCGCAAAACGCGACATGTTGAATTAAGATTATGCCAAAGTCCCTGCCTTGCAAGTGCAACGTCTCAAACGTACATGGCGCAACGATTCACAAAGTTCGCTGAAACATACAAGAACTGAGACAGGGTGCTTTTTGGACTAACCCAAACAGGCCAGCTCTCCCCATCAGCGACCAATCATCCAAACGCCTCTTTAGATATGGCGCCCGTGTGGCTGCTTCAGATTCAATTTATTCAAACAGCAACACCACAATCACGCCGATGGGTCCAACATTTCAAATGACTGCAAACACTGAGGATGGCTGGGGCCATCTGACTGATGGGGATAAATAACACCCAATTTCCCCGCCAGACTCAGGCTCGCATTTCCCATCACACACGTCTTTCTGCAGGTTGGCTACCATAATCACTGTTCAGTAATATTTGTCCATTCCCTTCCTACAAGGTGTCATACTGGCTTAAGCCATCTTTCGAAGGCATATTATCTAATCCCATTCTCGGCTCCCACTAACCAAACTCAGAGTTCACCAAGGCTCCCCATCGCCGCATCACCAACCATGTCATCAGTCGAGTAAGCCACCGCGTCCAGCTCTTTCTCGAGTGGGCCGACCACGCCGAGGGGCCGTGGGAAGGGCTTTCATTCGACGAATTCATGGTTCACGACGCGGATGAGGAACTTATCCTCGACTACTGGAAGAGTCATGGTGGTCGAACAAAGGTCGCCGGTCTCCAACGCTTCCACGTGTTCCACATCATCGCTGAGCGGTTTCGCCATAAGAAGCGCGAGTACGAGGTCCAGTGGGTCGGCTACTCTCGTGAGGAAACTAACTGGGAGCCGGCGGCCAAGATGAAGAGGATCTGCCCCCAAGCCATTGAGGAATGGCAGCAGAGGTAAGTTATCGAATTTCCAAAATGCTCTTGAGGGAGGTATTAATCATGATAGCCAAAGCGGGCGCTTATGTCTTTGACTTTTATCATGTGCGCTCTGCACCTCGATCTCTGTGTTACCACTCTCTTCGACGTATTCAACGACATCGTCGATAAGATGCCACTGTATCTTGCATGCTTCGACGAGACTACTGCCTTCCGACCATGATCTTTAGCATGTGTATACTGAATGGCGGTGTTCTTTGATGGAGCGGCTAGATTCTATCTTGCCTAGGGCTTAATTGGGCTTTAATTATCATCTTCCATCTCCTACTTCATAATACATGCTGTAACCCCAGCTTACACACATTCACGTCTTCAACAATACAGTTTCTCTCATGCAGGTGCATGGCCAGTCACCTTCACCGTTGCTTCAACGCCATATCCCAGTGTCGTGTTTAAGTAATAGTGTGTTTAATTGTGCAAACCTGGCAGCTGGTCACCTAACCATCATTACTTTCATTCTATCCAGCCACTGTTGGCAGGACATGGATTCCTGACCGTTTACACAAAGCCGAAATGTTACCCCGTGCTTTAAATCGGGATGGCGTATGATCTTGCCAGAGGGAAGACGGCCCACCTTCTTGCCAATATTCTCCTCGGCTAGTTCCATGGCGTATAAAGTCGTAGCAAAATCACCGGGGCTTCCATCTGGCTCAAGTCCGTGATAATAGTTTTGGATCTACCCAACCTTAATAGTTCGGCTCGGATTTGCTCGGACCGGGTCGGGACCTCCACCCCCAGGTTTTTCCCCGGATTTTCGCTTTAGTCGTATTAGAAATGCATCCTGATAAATATATAACAGTTGTCCCACTCGTACTTCATAGGAAGTAAAACTAGCCAGCAATACTGTAGGAACTCTTCAAAGATGATTATTAACTCACTAGTGTTAAGCGCACTGCTCACCTTCGTCAACAAAGCAACAGCGACAAACACGCAGCGCGTCGTGGAAATTGCCGGCATCAACACCAGCAGCGTAACAATCTGGGACTGTCCCTCAACCACCAGTCCCGATCTCAGCCAATCGATGATTCAAACCGCCATGAACGATTTCGCATATACATTCTACACTGAAAAAGACGTCAAGCGTGCATTTGAGCGCTATGTAGCAAGCAACTACGTGCAGCACAACCCCAGCATTCCGGACGGGAGAGATGCAGCTATCAAGATCCTGTCGCCATTGTTTGGTTCTAAAGATAATACATTTGAGGTATGCTTCCGTCTTGGGTGGTGTGAAATGAAGGTGTAGCTGACATGATTGTGCAAGATTGCTCGTGTTATGGTAGGGCCGGAGTATACGACGATTCATATCAAGGCTGGGGGTGCCAATGACTCTTTAACAAATGTCTTTGATGTTTACAGAACCAAGGGATCCTGTATTGTTGAGCACTGGGATTGTCTGCAGGCTATGGAAAAGAATACCACGTCCCATCATCCATACTTCTAGTCTTGAGAGACCTTTGGATGTGTTCTTGGTAGCGTCACCCCAGCCTGCGGCATCTGGAACTACAACAGCAAGTTCTAGCTAGTTAGTTACAGCGTCTTGGCAACAGATCTTGCTTTCTTCTTACTATAACTATTATATATGCCATTGACGGTTCCATGTCTCACAATTCGGGTACGAGCCGCTTGGAGGATGAACCTTGACATGCACAAACAGAATAGATTGTCATGTTAAGCGCTTCTGCTGTGTAATTCAACTCCATTTAAACTGACATTCATCTGCTCGAAAGGGTACCTATAATGCCAGGCCAAGAATACTATCAGATGACATGGAAAGGGTTTGAGGATTATGTAAGGAAAGTTTGTATGTCTAAACTAGAATTAACTTCTTTGGTTCCCTGTTGATAAGTGCATATTCCTGACTCTTCATAGCCTGAATCTCAAAGAAGCCAACCCTCTCATAAAGACCCGTCCAGAGTGTTTGGCCATTAACTTCCACTAACTTCCCTCGACTTCTTGCACTGCGATGCCAGAGAGCAACACCTCCTCTGGCCACCTTATTTTCCTCTTTTTTGATCGAGTGGCACGCATCAAGATAAGCCCCAGCTTACTTGCGATACCACATACGCGCCGACCTCGTATTCCGAATCTTGCGCTTCAACTGCAACATCCCAAACATCAACGCCTCAGCAGTGGGTGGACAGCCTGGAATATATACATCCACCGGCGCAACGCGGTCAACCCCTCGAACGACGGAGTAACTATAGTGATAATATCCGCCGCCATTAGCACAGCTCCCCATGCTGATGACCCACCGCGGCTCGGGCATCTGGTCATAGACCTGGCGCAGTGCTGGCGCCATCTTGTTGGTCAGTGTACCGGCGACGATCATGACATCGGATTGACGGGGTGAGGCTCGGAAGAAGGTGCCCAGGCGGTCCTGGTCGTAACGCGGAGCTGAGAGGTGCATCATCTCGACGGCACAGCAGGCGAGGCCGAACGTCATGGGCCATAGTGAACCTTCGCGGGCCCAGTTTGCGATTGTATCTAGAGTTGTACTGAGGCGGTACATTCAATGAGCTTTTAATCATCTTTTCAATGTTTTTAGGAACCTTGGACATACAGGGCGTACGATGCGAGCCCGTTACTTTCGTCCTGGGTTGCCAGAGGCAGCTCCTTGCGGCCGAGACTTGGATCTTTAGATAGTTTGGCATTTGGGGATTTGCAATCGGATGAATGAGCTGTATCCATATGCTTCGTGGTATTCGTTCGTAACGCGCAACTGGTATGAAGTGCTCGGACTGCCTCGGAGCCGAATGCGGACAAATCTCGGGGAAACCAAGTCCTGTTTCTTGATCCTTGAAGCAGCATGTTTATAAACGGGTGAAGAGTAGAAACAAGAAGGTATGAAGACCTCGGTTTGAAAAAAATAAAATAAAAAAAGAGTGCAACAGATGCTGGTGCTCTGCAAGAATATCACGGCATCAAGTCTACTATGGAGTGGGGGCGAACTGGAAGATCATATTTATGGAAAACGACATGCGAAATGCGAATACTCGTATTTGTCATCGCATTTGAGATGTACCAAATTTGAGATAGAGGCGGATCTTTCATTTCATTAACGTTTGGGGTCTTGTCCATATATTCCGCACTCACGGCTCTCCATATAATTATGAAGATTATGTTTCTAGATGCAGATGTGTTCCTTTTTTTCACCTGCTGTTTCCAGGTTTCGAAGCAAACACAATTCTTCACTCCCTGATGCCTGTTGCGTATTCAATTCATTGACTCTGCTCTCTTCGCTAAACCAGTTCCGGACACTGGTTTACAAGGAATGCAAGCTTGATATAAATTATAAAGTCAGAGCGAGCCTACCGTTTCTTTTAGTTATTGTATCTTGCACGGAATGCTATACCGTTCAGTCAAGTCAGATTTCACCAAGTAATTAATCACGACTCCCTGCATTCCTTCTCTGCTGACAGCTCTTCTATTTGCCCCCAATATGCCTTCGTGGCCACATTAACATCTCTCTAGACTGTTCCTGGCCACCAATTTCATTCTCAATGTCCTTCAGCAATTCTTGGCCCCAACCTCTCAAGAACCAGTAGATTCTATCCAATGTGTTTACAAACACTGCGTAATACGCCAGTATCACCAAGCCGCAGGGCTTCCGCTGTCTGATATCGGCAATCACAGTGTCCGGGAGAAAGAAAGGCCAGAGAAGAATAGCGCCGACCTCAACATTCACGTCGGCGTAAGCTATTTGTATAGCCGATACTTCTAGTATAGTGACCGCTTTGTCGTAATCAACCTTGATTTCAGGGCTCTCTGCTTCAGATAGATAGCGGCGGAGACACGAGAGTGCGAAGAATACGTCGTCTGGCAGCATCGAGTACTCGAGAGATGGTTTCCTAGGCGTCAAGTCAGCTTCTGCAGCCCGTGTGTCTCGTGGCCAGACCCACGAATCTGTAACAGGATCGACTGGAGCCAGCCAAACACTGGTCACCAGCGGTGCCAGACGCGTATGGTTGAGCTGGGGTATAAATGGCAGCAGAACAGCCTTGATTCCCTTGGTAACAGAGAACAGTTCCAATGTCTTTGTGATAGGTGTTGTCTCCGACTCAGAGTCACCACTAGCTCGGATTGAGTGCGACAGAACGTAAGCGACCACTATCGTAGCGAAAGAAAAGATTGGTTGCCAGTTGGCACTGGTCACGTTGTTAAGAAGGGCAGTGAAGGTCTTTTGACCAATGGAATGATGGAAGGAAGACTGCGTGAGATAAATGTCGCGCTGGCTCGGGATCAGAAAGGCTTTGTGCAGCGCAGCGAGCGATAAAATTCCATGCATGAGATATTCATGTACATAGCCCTCCTGGGGGAATATCACTCTCCACACATGCCGTGCGGACTCTTGACATGCCATGGTGTTACTGGTGACCGTGCAGTAGTGGTGCATCAACTCGAGATCTTGTTTCCAGGAGTCACCAGAGCAGGGGATCCCAGTGCCGTTTGGTAAAATCGTTTCAGCACGAGGGTGAGCGCTTGCCTCGGACTCCGCTGATGGACGGTCCAGAGCATTGCACGCCGTAGTTTGAGCTGGCGGTGACCAGACGTTTTCCTGCTGCGGGTCTTGGACTCCATACACACACTGGACACTATACCGCGTGCAATTGAAACATGACGGCCGTATCTCATCGCACTAGGGTTATACTCAGCATGGGAAGCGTGCTACGCGGAAGTGTAGTCCCGGGCCTACCTTTACCTTTCGGCGCTTACATTCCCTACATCCTTGTCGGGACTTTCTGTGAGGACGGCGGAGGCTGGCCATTGGAAGAGTTGGCAATATGAGTCCTCGTATAGAGTCGTGAGAATGATTAGAGGGGTAGGGATACTGGTAATCGGTATGTAAGAAAAGGGAAGTAAGGAAGGCGGAAGCAGAGAGATGGATTTGCGATGCGAGATGCGATGAGCGAAATACGATAAGCGAATACTCGTATCATATACTGGATCTATGCCTCTTCTAGTCATAGCGGGTCCCATTTCACACTCAAGTTTTTCCAAGGCAAATAGATTCTAATAATATCCATTACTTTATTGTATTGAGGATAGTCCCACATTCCAACACTAGCAACAGAAAATCAGATGGTTCAATGTCTAATTCAACTTAACGTCTCACCAATTTACCTCGGTCTGGTGGAACTGCCGTTGATGTTTGGGCCGCTAGAAATCTCGCATCATGGTGATAATCTAGCGGGTTCTCAACCATTTCTTAGTGTCTTTTAAAAATCCCTTGGAGTCTGCGGACTGTCCATGGATCTCGGAGCTCCCGGTAGCGAATGCGGACGTGATAATCGTGCTTGGGGGCGATAGTGCGGGGCAGCTGTACCTGCCGCAAGTTTGACCTCGCAAGAGTCGTAGCATCTGAGTCGGGGCCGAAGACCACTTGATAAAAGCTAGGGTTACGGTCCAAAGGTCTGCCGCCAGAGTGAAATTTCAACCTCGTCCGTCCCTTAACAGGGGTTTCAGCTCAGCTTGTCGCACATGTGACTCAGCTCTCTCAGCCACCGCTCGCATGGTTTCCGGATGTCGTGTTCCTCACCACAGTGTGTTTGTCCCGATGACGTACTCAAAAATCCTCGTTGCAGTTGCAAATCGAAACCTTTCGACATAAAGCTGCCTACGTTCAACTGGACTACGAAGGTTACGGGAGGTATCTTACGCAAGTACTTCTTGTAGCCATACAACACCATCTAAAAAGTGCTCTGCTTCTCCGAATCGTTTCTCCTAGGGTCTATCTCGCTGATATCGTGCGGTATTCGAAGGTACATTTGCCTCGCTACTTTTTCGCCCCCGACAAGGTCTTGATTCCTGAGATCACTTGACGGCATTAGATGAGAAAATGACCGGCGGCTTTAAGCCAGGTTTGAATGCCTCGTCCAGCTTCCCGTGCATCAGCAGGCTCGTCCTTTACTACATCCAGTTGTCATAGAAGCATCATCTTCGATCTCGACAAGATGGGGTTGCCTAAGGTATGATAACCATCCATAAGCTTTAAAAGCTATGCTGATGCTGTTTGGCTATCTCGACCACAGGGACTTGTCGGTCTATCTCTGCTTGGACACGACCAACGACGACTTTCCCGAGTGGCTCCGTCAAATGGGATCGTCAAAAAGCATCCAAGGTATTTACGCCAGCATGCTTAATCTCTCCTTTGTTGAGGCTAAGCAATATGGGAGGAGAAATACGTCGAATCTGTGGTGCCCCCTGGCTGTCACCAGGTTCTACGGTCCATGGAGAAAAGCTTCATAGATATTGTGCAATGACTGGAGCCGCATGCCTTCTAATGCATGGTCTACACATAATTGGGGGGTGGATCCAGCTGGGAATACCCTGCACTATAATCACGTGCTAATCGCAGACAGAAATAGCATAAGAATAATCCTAGATAATACTAAAAGGATAGTATAGGAGTACTAATATTATTTATCATTTTCGTTTATAGTTTCTTTTAATATATTATAAAAAGTAAGACTAAAGACCTATTAGTTTTTAAAGATATTATATACTTATTACCTAGCCAGATCTAATATAATATAAATTATCTAAGAATGAACTAGGAATAAATATATACTCAAAAAATAAATAGAGGTAGGTAATAGTTAGAAATTAAAAAGTAGGAAAATAACTTAGTAATAATAGCTTAGATAGTATAGCCCAACCCTAGTCTCAACCCTAAGCCATTTGCGCTCCAGCCCCAACAATACTTGATATAAGAGACATAGCTGACCATAAACCTATTTGGATAGGGCTCTTGATTAACACAGCCATTACCTCCAACATCTTTAGCTCGTTGCATAACGAATCGCAAACCACACTCAGGCGACATTTCATCTTATCTTGAAGAAAGATGATATCCTGCCAAATTCCCACAGTCAGTGAGAGACAGCCGTCAGCAAACCATACAAAGTTAACATCAGGAATCTGTAAGGAAAGTGTCAGTAACCCAAGTAAAATCGCGGTGCAACCCCCAGTGGCCAACGACTCATACATGAGCCATCCAAGATATAAATTCCTCTGACGCGCTAAGTCATAGTTCAGAAGAACACGTATTAAGCGCGTGACCATACTGACACCGTAAAATACATTTGCAGCTGCAAGTCTTTGCTTGAATCTGTAGTAGGTATTAATGGGTAATGTCAAGCCCTCGAGGATAAACAGAACGCCTGAGATTGTATCTGCTGGCCCAAGGATGTAAACATCCTGGTTAACTTTAGGTGTTAAAGGCGCTGCTGTATTGAGCATGGTGGTGATATCTTCGTCCACAGTTGCTGGGGACATGACCTCTGGCATTACTGCGACCGGACTCTCATCATGTACTATCTTGTAGATTATGTTGATAGCAATACCGCCAATAAAGCAAGCGAGGTCCAACAGTGTTAAGTCACTGCCTGTGGCGAGACGATAAAGCGGTGACAATATTGGTATATCAAGAGGCATGTTGAGTCCCTCCTGTATGAGAGACAGCATCGTCCCCATCACCGACATGAAGGCATCAAAAACGGCCTCAAGTGCGTCAGTACCTAGCACTTCTGCTGCATCGAGTATGGTGCCGAAGAATTCTAAGGCTGACACCTTACCATCGACTAAGGCCTCGATGTCGCTGAATACAGTGACGAAAGCCTTCCCAACGTCCTGCATCAAAATGTTGATGGCTTCAAGTACAGGGTCGATGCTTGGTGTAGTATTGCTCGTCGGTGATTGTTTCGTAGTTGTCGGGTCTGCTTCCATCCGGCTTTTCAACCACCCAACTCTAGGATCGCTGCGCAAATCAACCTGGTGGGGCCCAACAGGGGGCGGAGGTGGCTGTTGGCTAGACCATGCCTGTTGTATTGGCATATCACCTGGTTTTGCCATTTTGGTGCTCGCTAGGCTTGGCAGGATGTTTGCCTTGACGTTTGAAAACCAGGCATTGCCAGCGGCTTTGAGCTGGCTCTCGATGCTGATAAAGGACGTGAATGCCTGGTTGACAATGTCCTTTAGTTGATTTTTTACGGTGATGAAGTCCGACCAGTTGAACACAAAGGCCAGCCATCTGAAAACGGCCTCGACTTCAGCTCCGATCCATTTGAACAGTGCGGTAATAGCGTGGAGGGCGTCCTCCACAGTGTTGACGACGGCTGTGATGAGTGAATCTCCGATGGTAATCACGAAATGTATCACGCCGTCTACTATCTCGAAACCCATCTCGACAACGTCCTCGACCACGTTGATAATCCACTGTACAATATCTCCAAGATCAGACAACAGGCTATTTTCTTGGGACTTGGTCTTATCCTGCTCTGCGGCGGCATTAAAAGTTGCCGCCCTTGGTAACTTTGGCAAATGTGTAGAAATCGTCTGGAGACCCTGTGTCACTCCAGAGACGACCGCGGCGCTCGTGCCAGCAGCAACGAGATTCTGGGTCTTGCCATTTACATCCACATATGTCGCATTGTTGAGGTCAGATGACGTGATGTTGCTGAGTGCCTTGGTTACCTGTCCACTGGGGTCAATGTTGAAGGTCTCACCTCCATCTAGCGTCAATATAAAGCTTGGTGTGGCCAGACTAGAAACGGCATGAATAATATTGACATAACCGCTATAGTCAGTGGTCATGTCGAAGGTCTCGCCAGCAAATACCGGTTGTGCAGATCCATTGATGATCAGCGAGCAATCCGCTGATGCAGTGGCCGTTAGTGCCATTAGCGGCTGTGGGACATTATTGGAGTCTTCCACAAGACAATGTGTGGTATAAGTCTTGAGCGTAATGCAGTCCGTAGTGGAAGGCATCGGGTGCACGCTGTTGAGCCAGGCACCGGTGCTGGCGTTGCGGCTCAAACGAAAAAGACCGTTGCCAATGGCACTATTGCTTGTGGCAGTGGTAGAGCTCAGGGGGGCTACTGCAAACAAATCTATGGCGTAGTTGGAATTGCTGGTTACTGCCGTAGTTTCCGATACGTTTGCCAGTAATGGTATGGGGCTTTTCCATGCAGATGGCGTAGCTCGTTCAGCCATAGAGGCGGCCGTGTAAAACAGTTGTCCAGCTTCATTGAGACCCCAGATAAGAACTTGATCGCCGCAAGTGACAACATGTAACTGCGTTACCCCAGTTATCAGACTACTGGTGATGAGTTGAACTGCCTCATGCGGGCGGCCTTGGTCATAGGCAAAGTAACCAATATATCCATCAGCAGCAACGAATAGATCTGTATAGGAAGAAGTGACGCCTGCTGGCTGATATAAAAGAGTGGCTATAGCCGACGCCCCATTGGGTACTGTGAATATGGTTGCATCCGGCGGCCCAAACGCGCCCTGGGTTGGGAGGTAGGTTAATGATGGTGTGCCGTCGAGCTGGTAGAGCTTGTATAGGCCCCATGAGTAATCATCTGACCTGATCCGACCGGGAGCAATATACAGTCCACCAACACCAATATCTTGCTCTTGTGCATAGTAGTTCCATACCTCTGCACCCGTGCCGGCAGTAGGGCTCAGTAAGAAACAGCGCAGCTCGGTTGGTGCGTCTGGATCAGCGACTGTGGCGAGAGAAAGTGTCGGATCAGTTGGCAAGAGTCCCGTTTCAATGTAAAGACCCGTTACTTTCAACGAATTGGCAGTGATACCCTGTACAGGGGGCGAGGGAATAGCATCATATGGCAACTTGGTAAACGAGATGGATCCGTTTTGCAACCAAACCGAGGCATCAGTAGCTGCTGGTCCGGTGAGCATCCAGACTTCATCGACAATGTTGCTACTACTATTGGCTATGGCTCTGATGCTGAGTAAAATAGAAAGATGTCCATCTGGTCCCGAGTCGGAAGAGGCAAAGTATCCAGCACTCAAGGTCGTCCCAGCTGGGTATTGGATAGACAGCAAGGTGCTGATATCGGTCACTGTCCATCCAGTCTGCGATCCGGCTACTTCAACCGAGGCGCGAAAGATGGCATCGCTGCCGATGGAGAGCAGCACAAGGCTACCGGCTGGGGTCTGGAAAGCTTTGAAACCTTTTGCGCTATCAAGAACGCCAGCTGAGATATGATTCTCCATCAATAGGTGGGACGAAACGACATTGTATGTAGGCGAACTCATCTTGCTAAGGAATCAGATTGTGTATTTTTGATAGAGATGGAGAAACAGAAAATAAAAAAGTTGATATAATTAGGGACAGTTCGTGGGAATTAATGGCGTTTATTTATTGCTGATGACTGTTTATTAATTGCTAAAGTATAGTACCATACGTGAATAGACGTATGTAGCGGGTTGCTTGCAACCGCATGGAAATGAGTGGCGTGATGAGCAATGAGAAAATGTAGGTACCCATGTTCCAGACATATGAGGAACATGGTTGCCAGTGCTGTGGAATGTGATGCCTGTGTTGGGAGCTAATGAAGGTTACAAAACTTCTGACACCAAGACCTCATTTCCTAGAGCATTGACAGATCCCCTCGCCAGGCCCATTTTGTCCCCCCTCAAGCCCCTCTGCCTTGGGGACCTCTCGGAATGTGAATTAGCAAGGTGACGCCGGAATATCACTAGTGTTGGTGAGTGTGGCGTTGAGTAGCTGAGCAACCTGTCTGGATCACAAACCTAATAACGGGGCTACACTAGAGTTTTCAATCTCAACAACAGTAACGGTATTTACAAGGAATAGCTGTCCGGTTTCATCGCTTTCATGCATGCTTCTGTGTATTGTCAGGTAGCCTGATCTTCCTGTTTATTTGGTTGGCTGCCCAATCCGCAGGCGGATTGCTAGTTGTGCTATCCGGATTCTCACACGGATTTGGTTTACGTTATCACTAACCTTGATGCGTACAAGGAATCAAATCACATGCTTAAGCATCACATATGCAGGAAACAAAAACAGCCAATTATTTTGAAAATGCCAACCTTTTGCCAACCTTGCAAAGGCAGCTTACAACCAAGTCATACGAGATTAGAGTGCATTGGAATGTATTAGAGTGTATAATGTTTGAAAGCAGGACTTGTATAATGGCAGCTTCGTGGGATAGGCGCCAAGCTGTCTGTTTAGTATATAACACTCTAAAGCCGAGAAATATAATCTCTTTGGAGTCAGTTCTGAGCATTGAATAAAGTCAAAGACTTATGAAATATGTTTTTTATCACGTCTCGCAATTAACAAAACATTATGGGCTCTACTCAGTTAATCGACTTTACACCGGCAGATATCGACATGATATTTGCCGTCAGCCAAGAGAACCTCAATGAAGGCCTAAGCGAGTACATCAACGGTCTAGGCTCTCAGATGTCGTGGGCTTTTGACGTTGATTCAAATGGGAATTTATTCCCGCCAGCAGATCAGTCAGCCCCAGACATATCTTTCTCGGGTACCCTGGCAGCGCCAATGGAGACAGCCTCTGGTCCTCGCACTTGGATTGTTGATCTCTCACAATCTGGCGTAGCAAATCAAGTGACCTTCAACCTGACCTTTGCGGATGGTGCCACCTTCAACGACAACCAACTGGGGCGGAAATTTACACAGTCCATGGCAACAGGCGGTCCGCAATGGGTTATACCGTTCCAGGTCGATCTCACTACGGCCAAGATAGACGAGTTGAAGAATATCCCTCAGTGGCTCAGGGACCGCTTTGCTGCTTTGAATGGCGACTATGGCGAAGTATTCGACCTATCTCAGGTTCTCCTCGACCTGACAACCCTGGCATTCAAGACTTCATACGTGCCCCCTGGTATCGACTTGTATGACTGGGAACTCATCGTTCAAGGAGCTTTTGCCTGTCTTCAGGCTAACCACGGTGATATCTACACCACGCCGCCAAGTGCTGGGTACGCAATAACCTACAACGGTGCAACGCCAACGCAGACACCTCCGACTTACACGCCTACAAGTGTTGATTTTGTGATTCTTCCTAATACTGCCTTACCCGGCGCCAGCGCTCTTGTATTTGTCTTCATGATTAATCAAAGACCCTTCCCAACTTCGCCTGCCAACGCCTTTGTCGACGTTGTCTTGATAACTCATCCGGATATAACCCCTGGAGTCGCCCTTGTCGGTGCACCCAATTTTGTGTCGTTCCTCCAGGATGACGTGCAAGACGTTGGCCTAGATACTGGAGTGGTGAACAACTACGTCGAGAGTGTTCAAGTACCGGGAGGCGTATCGTGGCAGCTCTCTCAGGATGCTCCGGTCACGGTGTCGACCTCGTGGCCGAGCAGCGACAACAGTTATACAATCCTGGACGTGAACATGAGCCAGCAGAATTCCAACGCTCAATATCAAGCTTTCGCTGGTCCATTCTACAACAACTCTTCAACGACCAATAATTTTGCAAACGCCTCTCTCAGCTCTTTTCAAGCCGATACTGGCTTTACCCAACTTACAATTGTAGGATCCTTGACATGGACCATCAGCTATACATTGAGCCCACTAGAGGGGCTGCCCTCCGCCTGGAGCTCCCCAAGTTTTCAATACTCATGGAGTACCTCTTACAAGATCCAAAGTTTGAACGCAACCGATGCGCAGTCAGGCGGCGGGGTTCAATTTGCGCTATCAGCTTCGATGTATCCGACTTCACCTACCACTACTGGAACTGGAGAAAATTTTGGCACAGTTCCTCCCACAACACAGGATTATGTATCATCCATCTTGGCGCCAGTGGTTAAGGCGCTGCCTAGCCGTTTTAAATCTAACATTGCTTCACTTTCGTCTATGGGTAGATTTGTGTTTCCAGGTGGTGGAACTTTTACCTTCCGGGACCCGGCTGTTAATAATGTGTATGCGCTGTATACTACTATACGATATCAAAACCCAAATTAGAGGGTATTACTAAGAATAAAGTTTATTTATTACACCTGACTATGGTTCTATTGTTATTACAGCCAGAAAGGATTTATATTCAAAGATATTGCAAAATAAGATGTATTTATTACTATGGAAGCTCTAAGCAACCTCCAGGTCAACAAAGCCACTGATGGAATCTGTGCCAGTCCCTTGTTGTAACTCAGTGTACCTCGCCCCTTACCACATCAGGCGTTTCAGGAAAACTCGTTGTTGAAATCATAGATTATGTATCTTCATAGGAGCATCACACTTAGCTTTCATAGCACATGACTTGTCTAATCTCATGGCGCATGACTGTTGGAAACCCTGCTATTTTCCGGAATTTTTCTAATTTGAAGAGAGTGATAATATCCACGGAAACTTCGTATAATACCTTGGACTCAATCTCCAGCTTATCCATGCCTCCTGCGCTTCACGACTTATTCATCGGACAATTCGGACTCGCTGTTCTCGACGCGGTGCGCGAGGTCGGACGACAGAACGAACAAGCTCGTGCCTTTACCGAGAGCATCAATAACGCTTTGTCCTCTGGTATTTCTATGATCGATGGCGATGACCAATGGGAACAACAACCTGATGCGCAATTCGGACACGATGAGGCTGATTGCCCGTCCCTCGTAATCGAGGTCGCATTGACGCAAAACGCAGGGCACTTGCGAAAGATTGCCCACCAGTACATCTATCATACCGAAGGGGACATCGAAATGGTTCTTTGTTTTGATCTTAATTCAGACAGAGAGTCCACCATCTCGATGTGGAAGTCAGTGCTTTACCCGACCCAAATAGTGACGTGCCCAAGATGGAGATTGAGCAAGTTGTTCAGACACAGGCATGTTATTTTCCTATCTTCTCCATACATATTAACCGTGAAACAAGAAGATAATTCATCCAGGCCTTCCGAGATGCCGACAAACGCCCTGTCCCCGGCGCTTTGACCCTACATCTTCACGATTTTGCATCACACACTCTCTGTCAAGGCTGCCCCAACTTACCCTTGTCAATCTCGTACCACGACATTTCCAACATGATGGCCAAGGCCGAACTGAGCATGGAACTACGTAAGCGCCGGAAGGACCGAACGCCTAAACGCATCACCAAACGACGCTATGTGGAGAGCTCAGAGGACAAGATGGGGACAGACGATGAGAAGTGCTGCTCCCATGAGGCAGATAATGCCATCGACAAGGAAGACGGCGACAATGGAGCATATAAGCCACAAGAATCTTGAAAACATGAATGGTGAGCCTTGCAAGAAGCTTGCTGAAGGAGCAGGCCAGGGTGATTGAATTGCTGTTTTTGGACTGAGTGATCTGAATGATACCCTCTTGACTTTGGGGCGCTGTTGTAGAGCTGTCATAGTGTAAGGACGCTTAGGCTTCTATATTCTTTGTAGTCTCGGCAAAGTTGTTAATAGACTTTCACTCCAGGAATAAAGAGAGTCAAGCATCGTCTATTCGACGATGAGTGGGTACAGAAACTCGGCCTTACATGGCGGAGTCTTTCTTGGCAATGTAGGAGCAGATCGCTGAAGGGTACCAAGAAAAGCTAGAGCGATAGTCTAAATAACTAAATCATGTATTCGAGCAGGTGAACACCGAGGAGTGGCGGAATCTCACCTATCATCAGGACCTTGTCTTCAAAGGGAGCTCCAAATTTATTCCTTAGCTTTACTGTAAGCTTCTCCAGCTTCTCAAAGACCGATTGTCTTCTAAATACCGGTAGATCAAGTGACGGCTGGTCATTGCCCCGTGGGCCAAAGGTTTCTCTGCGGTGCTTCAGATGATAGGTCCCAAATTGAGCACCCGGCAGGCTCAGACTTTCCTCGTCTACAGAGGATCCCATCTCGGCTTTTGCCTGCCTCTCGAAGTATATATCTTTACCAGCTTTCATCCTGGCCATCTCTGGTGGAGGTTTGATAGCCTTGACTTGCCGCACCTTTTTGCGAAGATCGCTGCAGAAGTCGTTTGTCTGCATCTCCGCTGCAGACCTTCAACGGGGTGAAGACTAGTTCCCCAAGTGGATCGTTGGAACTATGTTCATTTTGCGAACAATATTTTAGGAGATATTTCTGCTCGAAAAGCAAAGTTGCAAAACAAGTCCCATTATAGGCAGCTAGGAAAGCCATCTACAATCTGGCTACCCATGTTCTGGTCGACAAGATGGGTTGCCCCTCAATCGGCGCCAACTCGACGATGTCGAGTGGTATCGTTCTTATACGAGGAGGATGTACCAGGTTGTATAAGGCGTAAAGTCTTATTGTCTCTGAGGCGGTTAAAATCTCGTCTCGGTATTGTCGTCAAACGTCGATAGAGCTATTTATACGTACTTCATGAGATCGATGTGTATGGTAATATATTAAGAACATGCTATTGCACAGAAACAAATAGAAAGGTACAATGATGAGTTGATCAGATGGGCTAAGCCCGTCCAAGGAACTGGTCACAAGAATTCCACATCGAGCTATCCCAGCATACGCCAGGGGGCTCAATGCCCAATGCAAACTCAAACATGGCGGTGACGGAACTTTGCGCTAGACTTCTTCCCCTTTGCAGCCTCCGGATTGTGAGTGAAAGCAGCAGCGCCGCCAAAAGGACCAGCAGTAGCACTGTTTCGCACCCTCGCAATGCATACACCAGAAACCCCAGCCACTTTTCCAGAACAGACCTTGCCTGTAGGTACTTTGACAACGACCGGGAAGTCAGTCGAGCTCACGGTTGAAAAGCCCAACACTCCAATGATGTTCTGAAACACTTCAGCGGACTTGAAAGCTTTCGGATCAGTCCCTCCAGAAGTGAAGTCGATATCTACTAACAGGGGGCCAGCACCGTCCTCATTGACCTGAAAGATGACGAGTTAATATGAATCTTGAATGAAAATCATGGTCACGAACCTGATGGTAGATCAGCTTGAGAGTGCCGTCGGATGCAGTGGTTGGTAGCCCGGATTTGGCACCAACTCCAGTGGAATTCTGGACGCCGTCTTCGATATATCCACGGGGAGATGGCACACCCTTTGCGGTTTGGAAGAAATCATCCAGAAGACCGTTGACTCCGTGCTCAGCTCCTACTAGCTATTAGCATATGAGTCGCAATATCAGCTGCTTCATATCGACTTACCTAGGGCCAAACCACCGACTGGGGAGCTTTCGATTCCGTCTTGGACGCCTGAAACGAGTGAGTAATCAGAAACCTGACTAAAAAGGTCTCAATGAAGGCCTACCGTTCACAACCGCACCAGCGTTACCGGTCACAAAAGATACGGCTTCTCTCGTAGCTATAGAGCGTCAGCTTCCAAGAGTCATCCTTTGCTTGCCATAGCACTATACCTTCTTCTCCACCCCCGAGAATGGTGTCAGCAAGGGACCGGCCCTTGATACCCTGCATAAATGCCTTGATGACGCGAGAGCCGTCGACTGGACCTTTGCTTGTTCGACCAAGTGCGGAGGCTTTACTAGTAGCAAGCTCTGGGTCACGGATCACGCTGGTATCCACCTGCGCTCCTGAGGCAGCAGATGTAGAAGATCGAGGAGTTCCATCGAGGACTGTTCCCCGTTAGCCTCAGGTTCAAGTTTCCTATGAGTGGCCTTACTAGTAAGTCCTGGCATAACAACACCATTGGCACCAATCACTCTGGTGATGGTTCCATGGGCTTGCGTCAAGTGGCTCCAGGCCAGGGCAGAAAAGAACAAAGTGGTCAACATTTTGAAAGAAGTAATGAGTGATGAAGAAATAAGATAACTGAGAGGATATGAGTAACTGATTGTTGAATACCAAACACCTATATATATCCTAACAACGTAACAGACTGCGAGTATTCACGTGCTCGCGAACAGAATTCCATCTCAAGATATCTTTGACATTGCGCTATACATAGATGCATGCCCTGAGAAACCGTGTTCTGAAACGAGGCGCCATGACCCAATGTTTCTGAGACTATACCCTATAAGGAAGGCCCCTCATCTCGCGACTCAGGCTTGTCAGGTTCAGCTCTCATCTTCAGCCGCTGGGATGTTTCAAACAAATATTCATGACACTATTCAGGACAGTGAAAGTGGAGTGAATGTCCAGAAAGAGAAGGTGGAAAGAATGTTTGGCAGGATCTGCTGCTGTGAGCCCGTGCAACAGAGTTCAGGTACAGCAAGAATGCACCTGAGCGTCAAAGGCACGGACCTAGCTTCTTCGGAAACAATCACGGATGTGCTGTCATAGCGCTGTCACATGTAACTTGGCGTGCCGACGACGACTGGTTCTTGAGCATTATCTCCTCAAGCCAGCTTTTGCTAGCCCTGTAAAATATAGAATTGAAGAAGAAAGCAGAGGAAGTCTGGAGATGGCACATTCCTTGTACGATATTCATCACTCTGAGTTTTAGGGTGTTGCCAAGGTGATTGCGGTGAGGAGAGATGATAGTGATCGAAAAAGGGCCATCACCACTACGGGCGTTTGGCCATTTTTTTCTCTTCTCCTGTTTATCACGTCACGGTCCATCAAACTTATCCCTACCGATCGCCATCTCCGGAGTGATGAGCGGAAAGTTAGCTGGAGTCAATTTATCTACGGGAGCGTACCAACAACGTGCAAGGTGACGGCATGATGCTGATAAATATAACTGTATCCCAAAACAGAGCTTCCACAAACAGGGAGGTCATTCTATTCGGCAATCTACGGTTGAAACATTTTATCTTTATATCTTGATGTTACTGCCCCAGCTTTAGAAACCACCCTCGCTCAAACTAAGACGCAGAAAAGCAATACATCGCGTGTACCCCTTGACTCTCTTAACTCTACTAACACAATGTATGTATAAGTCCAAGAAGATAAATAAAGACTGTCTTAATACTGTATTACTAACAGGCTCTATATACTGCATCTCATGATGCCAAAGGCTATTCTTGTTTCAGTTGAATTCTGTAGGGTAAGGCTGTATTGTTATTTTTATGCTTAATCCCTGTCAAAGTTCTGATTGGTTGAACTCACTTTTCGTTTGGTCTAATCCGGGTGGAGTATGCTTATCAGCTTATCGCCCGACACACTAACCCACGTTGGCTAATGCCGCTTGCCAGAAAGAAGCTAATTAAAATACTGCACATTTCCATTGCTAATCATCGTTGCCGTTAAACCGACATCACAGCCATATCTTACGCCGCCATCACGCCTTTGAGGCGCCGAACAGGCTGGAGCTTGTTTTATTTGAAGGTCCAAGTCTGCGCAAATGCGCGGGTTTGAATTAAGTTTCAGGCTACAATCGAGTCACATTGTGTCTGGTACTGGCAACGAACCTTATGAAGAAATATAGCTCTATTATTGAGTGTAACTCCTTTTAGGCTTCTCTGCTGTTACTGGGTGCATCGGAGTGCCCTGTTACTCCCATTAAAGCAATAAACGCCGTATTGCACTATGAGGAATTGACCCTTGCGACGAGGGGGTGGCTGAAATCACACCATGAAACAATCAGATGTATAAAGCATCAATCCCTTCTTAGGGTTTAGTTCTCTATCGGCCATCACACAGGCCCAAGATGAACATCATACGCATTACTCACAGCTCATGGCCACATCCCGCATCTTGCCAGCCAGTCGAAACATGAGAGCAGCTGTAGCCAACAATGTGATCTCCCAGCGAGCAGTGTCCACACCATCATATCCGGAAGCATGAAGGACAAAACAACGAAGTACAGTACCTATGCGAGAAAGCCGATAGATTCTGAAGACTATTAGTTATGTGTCCATATTGTTTACCAACACTTACCAAATAGAAGAGCGAGCTCGCTGAGGAGGCGACCACCATTAGGGAAATAGCAGTGAAGAGGATAGATGCGAAGCATGGTTGCGTAAACAAGGATCAGTCCGATCTGTGAAGCTTGACCATCTCCCGTAAGACTCTGAAGACCATCCGGACTGATCACAAGCTTCTAATGGGGCTATAGCGACACGAAGCTTTTCAGCATTGAAAGCTTACTTGCGGTCATCTTGATAGGCGTGAAGCGACAGAAAGTGCTAAGACCTTCGATTCGGCTCTGGCAAGTTCGTTGGTTGGGAATCAGTCGTCCCTAGTAATCGCATCTCTCTGTTCCTGTGCAGGGGTTCGGGCCCAGAAAGGTTGAGATCCTACAAAGAGCGGGGACTTCTTGATTAGTCCTTGCCGATCTGATATGATACTTTCTACAAGATTCCGCCACCTTGGCTTCAGCCTTGATTAATATAAGGGCTTGTGTAACCCCATATACCGCATCAATTTGTACCCCGATAATGTCTTGGTTAGAATCACTGGAACAAGACGTCTTATCAGTTTAGACACAGCTACAGCTATGCAAGCTGATGATAGGATTTGCGGAGGACGGCTAGATATGGAAGTAACCCCGTGCGGGGATTGTCTTGGCCTGCGAGAGGTTTAAGATGCGGCTAATTCTCTCTAGCAACTTCAGACAGCCATAGATCACCAGTCAACATGGCGGTTGCTTCAGTTTCACTCGTGCTCCTCGGTATTATTGCCGGTGCAACGTTGTTGTACTTTTCGTTACCAGACAGACAAGACAGGAAGAAGCTGCTCAAACTGCCCATCATTGGCGACATCCACAGCTCACCGATTGAGAAGCCATTGCTGCGCTGGAATGCCTGGGCGAAAGAAAATGGTTCTATCGCAACGTCGAAACTTTTTGGTATAGTGCCGGTTGTAGTTATCAACACAGCCGAGGCAGCAACAGAGCTGCTGGGCAAGCGGGGTGCTTGGTATAGCAACCGCCCAAGGTCCGTGGGCATGGAGATGATTACAGGCGCTGGGCCAGGACAGTCACGGTTCACGCTGATGCATGACATGGATGCGCATTTGAAGCTTCATCATCGCATCTTATCCCCGTCGCTCGGTGGTGTCGCTGCTCCGCGCTATCAGCCCGTCATGGAACTCGAAGCCAAGCAGCTCGTCAGGGACCTTTTCGAATTATGCGGCCACGAATCATCAGTCGTTGCCAGCGCCGACATCTTCCCTTTCCTCGAGCGCGCGCAAGCGAGTATCATACTCGCACTGCACTACGGCGTCCGGGTTCCCACCCTCGATGAGCCCCTGTATGACCGCGTCCGTGGGACGCAGGCCAAGGTCACCTCATATGCCTCAACGCCTGGTCTGCCTGATATCTTCCCATTCCTTGCCAATCTCCCAGCAGCAATTTCACCATGGCACAAAGCTGCAGACAAACTATTCAACGAGCAGAAAGACCTCAACCTGCACTTGTTAAACCTTGGTAATGACAGTTCTGGATGGAACGCAACGAAACAAGCACGCTCCCTTGCAGCTAAATACGCCAAGGAGCCGATATCTGACCTTGACCTTGCTTTCACGCTCGCAACGAGCGTCCAAGGCGGTATAGAGACTAGTACTCGTACAATGCTCTGGCTATTCATCGCTGCGGCGGCGAACAAGAGCTTTATGAAGCGAGCGCATGCTGTACTGGATGCTGTTGTTGGACGGGATCGACTCCCCCGCTTCTCGGACAGATCCTCCCTCACTTACATTGATGCCATTGTATCTGAGCTTCTGCGTTGGCGACCTATTTCTCCTGGAGGTGTTCCTCGTCGGGCGGACAAGCAAGACGACTTTAAAGGCATCAGCATCGCCAAGAATGCCATGGTCTTGACTAATGCGTGGTCTATCGGTCGCGATGAAGCTGTATTTGACCCTTCGCTAGGCGATCTCGACGAATTCATTCCTGAGCGATGGCTAGACGGTGGAAGCATGGACGCAGGCATTAAGAATCAAGGCGAGCTGAGGACATCCCTTCCACTGTCAGTATTCGGTCAAGGTCGGCGAAGCTGTCTTGGAAAACGCGTCGCCGTAGACGGAACGTTCGCCCAGGTTGCGGCGATGATCTGGGCGTTTGACTTTGAGCCTGCTGAAGACGTAGATGCAATGGAGATGGAGGTTGTTTGGTTTATGACAGAACCCAAGCCGTTCAAGTTCAAGCTAAAGCCGAGAGGTCCATGGGTGTCCAAGGCCATTGAGGAGGAGTGGAAGACTGCAGATAAGGATCTTGGCAACATCATGGGCAAGATGAGTGACATTGAGGGCTGAACATGATACCGAGAGATCTGGGCGTGTTAACGACAAGGTTATGGAGTGATTGCGTTGCTGCAGAGGGTTCAAATACTGTTCTATTCACCAAACTAAATAACAAGTTGAGTGTCTACCAAACTCGAGTCGAATGAGACGTATGGCCCATGACGTGACGTTGCCTGTTTGCACTTATGAAGAAGTGCCCTACACTTTTTACTCCGCAATCTTAGGCAGACTAGGCAGAGTTGTTTGATTGAGCTTAGGGTTCTTACAATAATTGGCTACCAACAGGGTTATTTTCTCCACAGGCTGTGCAAAATCACAAGTTGGAGATATCGGTGGGCCCACATGAAGGTTCCTGACCTTGTAATTCGTTAATGATAGACATCCCGGCATGGCGCAGTTCACTGTTGGCAATGAGCAAGGCGTAATTCCTGGTTGCCTGAAGGTTACGAGTAGGTTTATTTACCACTCAGTACCCCTTGCTGAATCAATTTATTAAATACTCACTCAATCTATTTAGCAAAAGCCGCCTCTGTAACCAAGTGACCTATTACCTTCATAATGGGGCTCTGCAATGCTTGTACTCAAGGACTGAGAAACGTTTACCAACAACGAGCGAGCCGTCCCAATCACGGCTTCAAGATTGTTCACGCGCCTCACAATCAGGACACCTGCCAAGCCTGCTGGATCTGCCACAAATACTCCATCTGGCTTGAAGATCATTACCCAGAGACTCTCCACGCATGGAGATCGGCGCCGCTTTATAGTATCTTCCGCTACGACTCGGAAATGATAACACCAAAAGACGCCACACCAGAAGAAAATTGGCGTATCGTATCGCTAGGTTTTACGGTACAGCCGCTAGGATTTTCGAGTCAAGATGCTACCCTGGGAGTGAGCGTCAGACTAATGAGTGATCAAGGTACGAGATAGCTGTTGATCATATGATATCGACGCTAACCAGTCAGAATATCGATCCTATACAACAGGAGGACCAGAAGTCTCGCAACCTACTTCCCGCCTTCATCTAGTTGGTATTTGGCTCACTCAATGTATGAAGACACACTCGAGATGTGCGACTTTGCGAAAGCGGAGAAGCTCGTGGTACCCGACGTGTCTTTTACTCCTAGGTCCGGGACACAGCGATGTACGACTTATAATCTCATCTTCGCACGATATGCAAGGGCCATACATGACTCTGAGCCACCGATGGGGTAGTTTTGCCTATACAAAGTTGACTTCAAGCACTCTAGAGAGCTTTAAAAATGGCATAGATGTCAATAACTTGCCTGTCCCTTTCAAGGAGACAATACATATTGCTCGGCTGGCAGGGATCAAGTATTTGTGGATCGACTCTTTATGCATTAAACAGGATGAGGATAAAAGAGACTGGAGAGTGGAAGCCCAGCTGATGGATAAGGTTTATTCGCATTCCTTCTTGAACGTGTCCGCAACCTTGGCCGATAACGATACCCGATCTCTTTTCGACCAGTCAGGTCATCCGTTTGATCCCATATCGCTGCCTTTGCCATACATGAAGAAGGCTAGGGTCTTTAGAGTTGGCAGCCCTCGCACAAAACTAAAGATGCTTCAGCAGCGTTGGCGCAGAACCTGGATCGTTGATAATGAGCTCTGGGATGACGACATTGAAAATGCTCCATTACAGAGCAGGGGCTGGGTATTCCAGGAACGGTTTCTTTCTCCCAGGATCCTCCACTTCGCTGAGCGACAAATCGCGTGGGAGTGTGGTGAGATCAGCGCCCTTGAAATGTTCCCAAAGCGAGTGCCTCCAGGATTACTGAAGGCATCAAGAAAGGACGTTATCGATAATCTCCTCTCAGCGAAAGCCATCACGAATGACAACCTTATCGACTTCCGGCGAACATGGGACGATACTGTTCACAAATATACTAAGACAGATCTTACATTCAGCAACGATAAGCTGATTGCTTTTGCTGGTTTGGCCAAAGCAATTGAGGGTCTACGGAATGATACTTATCTTGCCGGCCTTTGGAAGAGTGCGTTCATTTATCAACTCGCTTGGACTAGAACCAGGTATGATGCAGTTCAGCAACCGCTTGAGCTTTCATCAGGCCGAGCTCCTAGCTGGTCCTGGTTGTCGGTCGATGGCGAAATACTGCTTTCACAAGCCCAAAAGCCGCGCAAGCACTTTGCCAGTGTAGTGGAACTCCCTGACACGAATTGTGCTGGAAGTTCTGCAATCGCAGCCAGTGGATCCGTACTGCTCCAAGGGAGTTTGTTACCTATTGACTCAATAGAGTGGGATGATGATGTTTTGTCAGAATTTAACATCAGTGGTCTCACATTGAAAGACGGCTGGACTTTTAATGACACCCATCTGGACTTAGAGGGCACCAAAGAACAGATTCTTCAGCTGCAAAAGTCGGGGATTGCTCTCCTTCCTCTATTTGCAACAGATGAACATATGCAGTGTATTGCCGTGACTGGTATCAATGTCCCCGGCAGCATGTCTGTGGTGTTCCGCCGCGTTGGCGCATGCCAAATTGAGTACCGAAAACTCCATATCCCTAATCAAGGCAGCCAAGAAGGGTGGATAGAGGATCCTTCAACAGTTTTCCTCCCGGGTGAACCTAGTCATAACTTACTGCACCCTGTTGCGCGTTCTGTTATAAGAATAGCTGAAGTTAATATTGCTTTAGATTCAAGACTTATAAGGCTTATCTAGCTCTTTAATCATTTAGTAGATTTTAAGTATTACTATTCAATATAGAAGTACCTCTCAGTTTTAATCAGTAATTCAGTGGTTTGAACTCATACATTTTATTAGTTAATGGGAGACAGGGTGACGATGATACTTCCCAATCTGCAGTTGCTAAAACCTACGACAAGAGATGCATTCTCCCATGCAGTTGCTAACCTTCTCAGTTTGTTCACTACTATTTGGGACAAATCGTATCCTTGACGAAAGAGAGACTGACCTGCTAAGCTTGCGGGAATGGCTAGATCATATCGGAAACCGGTTGCCAGATGGTGGATGGCCTAGGAGACGTAACTGTGGCATGGCAAGAAGAGTCGGGCGGCTTTTGAAGTAGTTTAAGGGGCATAGGAGGGGCTGTTGACGACGGATGTTGAAGAAGGAGGGGGCAGGAGAGATGACAACGCGAATCTGAGTAGTTTGGAGATGCGGTCCTCAGTAGGGGTAAATACCTCGATGAGGCTGGCCTGATAGGTATGTTTTTTGGTACCTCATTTCGTGTAACAGGACTCGGGGTGTTCTGTCGGATACTTAGTATTATCTTCCTTGATTGCGCGTGACAACAAAAGCTTTGGCTTCGGTCCCGAAACGCTCGACAGATTCAGCTAATCATTATTCCATTATCTCCTTGGCGAAGGTTTAAAGAAGAAGAAATCGCTGGGGGCAGAAATCTTCTAGCCCATTGGCACATATTTAAGGCTCAGAATGGCGACAAGTAAGGCGCTTTATATCGGTTTCTCGAAGGCAGGTAGCTTGTTGAATTGTTGGTTAGGCTCAAAGAACGTGAGGAAACTCAACTCAATGTTGATCTAGTTAGCAGATATGGAGAAACACAGCTGCACTTGGTTGGCAGAGCGAAAAAGTCCGACCTAGCGAGGTATCTCATGTACTTCCGTACATCATCATCGCCAGGACTCCCAGCCAGATATAGCCCATGATGCTTTCCAGTGTTGTAGTAAACATTAATGCGCTGGACCACGATCACTGCACTCTCTTACACTATGTGGCTGATACCTGCAATGAGACCGTCTCTTCTTATAGTATTCAAAGTAAAAATTCATTGCCTGAGTCGAAGAGAGGGCGCAGAATGGAGAAAGCACAATGGAGAAAGGTCCAGAAGGTTTCAGTATATCTACGTCATCAATAGAGGCGGCTCTACTACGTTCGACAATGGCTTTCTGGCCAACAAACTGGCTTGGTTTGCGGAAGCAGAAGCTTCACTACACAGAATGTATAAATATGTAAGTCAATCTTGTATAACTATATCGAGGAGATCGTATTGAAGCATGAGTGTCATCTGTCAGTCCTAGAAGCATCTACTCATCGTCGTTGGGGTCGACAACAGTCTTGGACCACTTGCGAGCTTGGACGCGACGGTTGAACAGGATATCGATCTCACGGTACGAGCGACCCTTGAACTCAGGAAGCCAGATCCACGACATGACGAAGCACACAAAACCCGTTCCAGCCCAGACATAACCACATTTTCCGCCGAGGTTAGCTTCCTACAGTAAATCATTAGATTCGCGACAGCCAAGATAGAAGTAGGATATACATACCTTTGGGTTGAGCATGTAGCTCGACAGGAAGATGCATGGGATATTAACCAGGTAGTAACTGGCACGACCAATACCTGTGGTGAGAGGCCTGAGACGAATAGCTGATGTCTCGCCAATGATGGCATACGAAACAGGAGCTGGACCAAGGGTGAAGAGAACAGACACGATCAGACCCAATGAGGCTTGGGCCAACGAAGACGCGTTGCTCTTCTCAACAGTACCTGCAATACCCAAGGCGAGAAGGAACAAGACGTTGATGAATGAGCCCCAGACGTAGATGGTGCGTCGACCAATGTAGGTAGTCAGAATCCAAGACAACATGACAAAGATCATTTGCAGAGCAGAAGTGATAAGTCCGAGGGCGAAAGCAGTGTTTGTGGTCATACCAGCCTCTATCGAATGCATTAATACATGCCATATTCAAGGGATGATTGAAGAGAATGGGGTAGCAAAGCAAATATACGTACGCTCAAAGAAATAGGTGGCCTGGTTAGCAATCAGATTGCCAGTCAAGTTCTGGGCAGCATATACACCGCACACAATAAGGGTTCGGTAACGGTCGGTTCCCTTGAAAAGCTCGAGGTAGCTAGGTTCCTTCTCTGACTTTTCGAGCTCGATAGTTCGACGCATCATAGCAACAGACTCCTCATGGTTCTTGACCACAGTGCTGCGACCAAGGCGGGCGACAGCCTTGACGGCATCTTCGTATCGGCCGCGACGAGTGAGCCACCATGGAGATTCAGGGGCGAGGAAGATCAGGATAGCAAGGGGCGTTGGAAACATCCACTGCAGAGCGATGGGGACCCTGCAAGACATACATTGTTAGAATGAAACCTTGTTTGCAACTTCAAACGGCAGGGTAGTGTAGTACGTACCTGTACGCTGCCTTCTCCTCGAGTCCATTGTAATGGTACGCCACGCCGTTGACGATGATGGAACCGATAGCCCAGAACATCTGCAACATCTGGGTTGCAGGAGCACGCAGTCTCATGGGGACAATTTCACTGCAATACGCAGGGGCATTGGCGATAAAGATACCCCATGGAATACCCTCGAGGATCTGGGCTGCTACCATAACCGATAGCGAATTGGCAAAGAAGAAAACGAAGATGAAGGCATTGAGGAGCATCAGACCGCCGATAGTGGCCCAGCGGTACCCAATGCGGCTAGTAATCGGGCCAGCAATAGTAACACCAATAAGAGCACCGACGGGACCGCAGCACTGAAGGGCAGACTGCCAAGGACCCGTGATGACATACTTGTTGACATTTGCGCTGTAGACACCATAGTCCTGTGCGAACTTGGGTAAGGCGATGAAGTTTCCCATCAGGAAGACGCAGTACGACTCCATGATCTGATTTTGTCAGCTTGGGAGAGAAAGCCGGGGTCCATGGGGTAGAACTTACAATGGTGCACGACATGATGAATGCCCAGAGGGTAGCCATGGGATAGGCACGCACGGCCTCGAGGACGCCCATGTTGAATTCGGCATTTTCAGCCTCGATGGCATCGCCTTTGAACTGGGCGATTTCAGCCTTGTGATCGAGGTCTGCCTGGTGGTTGATGGTGTGCTTCTGGGTCTCAATCTCAGCGGCGGAGACTGGCTCCTCTTTCTCAGAGATACCCATGTTGGCTGGACTCTACTCGACTATTGATAGATTAGAAGGGAGTAAAGGAGACGAAAGAGGTCAGTGAGAGAACGCTGATAATGGTCGGGAACGGGTCGGCGGTGGACTCATTATATGCTGATCTGCAGCTTCTCCTCGAGCACGAGAAAAGGCAATCCGAGAATCCTTTGATGAAGTGTGACAAGGAGATAAACCCTCGTCTTAGACGCGCCTATGGGAGCTTGGCATCGCGGATAAAACGGTGGTATCTCGGCCGTATTATCTGTGCTTTCTCCAGACTCGATTCTAGCGCCATCAGGGGGAACGGAGGAAATGGGGTCAAGAATGGGGTATTGGGGGTAACTCCACGGGGTTGAGAGTCCGTTTTGAGATAAGCGTCAAGAGGTGCTGATCGTCAACCGCGACTAGAGCTGCGCTAGTGTTAGACGCACCTATCAGCACGTAGCTTCTGCTTCTCCAGGCTGCATTCTAGCGCCGTTGGGGTATTTTCCACGGCATCGATAGCCGGAGACCTTGTCATCGTGTGTCTATTCCCGTGCGCTGCCGTATTCCGGGACTGGAGCCTTGGCAACGCGTTTCCTGGCACCCTCTCTCTTTACATGGCTAAATAGCCCTGCTTGTGTTCCTCTTTGCCTCCCGAAACTTATCCCGACACGACCGCGCGTGACATGGATTCCAGTGCGATTAGACCTCTTGTTAAATGCCGAGGTTCACTTGATGCGTGTAAACAAAATTACTTGAAAGAGAACAAAGCCTCCTCTCAATACCTGCATTGAAGGACATATCCCCTCAATGGCTAATCTCCAAGACCGCATTCAGCAAACGAGGTAAGGCGCACGATGCAAGCATCAGCTGCCAGGTCTATCAACTCAAAACAACAGTACACTCAGCAAACAACTAAAGAATGGCTCAATATCTCAGCCTTGCATTAATTCTCTCGAGGCCGCAGACTCAAGACATGATCCCCCTCTCTTTTATTAGAAATCGAATTACTTACCCACGAATATTCGTAATTTGAGGAGGACACGAAAGCGCGCCAATTACTTGGGTTTGCGCCTATATAAAGTTCAAACCAACTTTAAGAAGCTAATATTCTGGGAACCGCACTAATAGATCCCCAGGTAAAGGCCTGCAGCGTCTATGTTTAGTTAGCCGCACATATCGGCTTCTCGCTGCCACGAGGCCTGGGCGCAGATCATCGCGGAATGGAACGAGTCTCTGCGGCCCGTAATCTTTCCCCACGGGGGATCTTCAGTCAAGGTTGTAGCTACCCTGGTATAATACATTGAGCAACTTTGGGCATACCATGAAAGAAATAAAAACGGCCCGATTGCGGTGCTGTTACCAGAATAATGCACGGAACTTACTGATATATCTCGCTGGATGTATTAGACTGAACTTTTGAAGCATAAATAGCAGGCCATGGCAGCCTTGAAACCCCATCAAATCAGCCTTTCAGCAGACCTCCTCTAGATACACTTCTTCTATCCCTTTGATAACCCAACTTGTTTATCATCGCAATGAAGTCCCTCCCTTCAATCCTGGCGGTTGCGGCCATACCCTCCCTGGCCTCTGGCCAATCCTTCCAGTCCACTCCCGTCATGGGCTGGAACTCATACAATCAGGTTTCATGCAGTCCCAACAACAAGACCATCGCCACAGCTATTGAAGCTCTCTCCAGCCGTGGTTTCGTCGATGCTGGCTACAAATTCTTCCAGATCGATTGTGGCTGGGCCTCTCGCGATACACAGCGTGATCCAACCACGGGAGCCTTGAAAGTTGATTCCAATGCCTTCCCGGACGGGCTTAAGCCTCTGAGCGACTTGGCTAGGTCCAAGGGCATGAAGTGGACTATGTATTCCGACGCTGGTGAGCGCATGTGTGATCCCCAGTATCCATCCCCTGTGTTGGGATCCCTGGGCCACGAAGCCGTCGACGCCGCGTTTTTCAAATCGTTGAATACGGAGTATTTAAAATGTCAGTATTTTATATGCGAAATCGATAGCATCCTACTAATCAGAGTATGATCTAGATGACAACTGCTACGCTGATAGCGCCAGCAATAACGCCCCCAAGGATCCACGAACTGACTTTGTCACTCGTTTCGGCACAATGTGGAGCGAGTTGCAGAAGGTTGGGATTCCTGGAATGCTCATTTGCCAATGGGGTGTTCCATATTCCTCATCCAGTGGCCTCGAAGGCCCCGCGGAATGGACTCAGAGCATATCCACCTCCTTCCGCCTCTCAGACGACATCGGCGAAGGCTGGAGCAATGTATACCGCATCTCCAACCAGGCCATCCACATCGCACACAGGAACCTCTCAGGTCCTGGCCACATTGCCGATGCTGATCTTCTCGAGGTTGGTAACTCTGGTATGACATTTGACGAGCAGGCGACCCATTTCGCTCTATGGGCCATGCTCAAGTCCGCTCTCATGATCTCTACAGATATCACGGCGCTGTCGGCCCAGACCGTGGCTGTTCTTCAGAACAAGGACTTGATCTCAATCAACCAGGATGCAGCTGTCAAACCTATCAGCTTGGTACAACGATGGACCGGTGATCGAGACTTGTGGGCGGGACCGCTTGCCAACGGGGATATTGCAGTTCTGTATGTCGACCAGAGCAACAGTGCTCGAACCCTCAGCCTCCAGCTTTCTGCTCTAGGCTTCCAGTCAGCCAACATCAAGGATCTGTGGACGGGCAAAACTTCTACTGGAGCTTCTTCATTCTCCAAACAAGTCAACGGCCACGGCTCTGTCGCATTGCGTCTCTCAAACATCAAGAGAGTCAGTAGCACAGCCAATTACAAGTACACGTCTCTTTCCACCGGTTCGTTGTCTTCAGGGGCCAAAACTGCTTCTTGTTCCGGCTGCACCTCCTCAACCAAGGTCGGCAACCTCGGTGGCAGCTCCAACGGTCAGGTTGTCCTCTCGAACATCAGCACGTCCAAGGCCACACAAAACGTTCTATTCGACTACATCAACGGCGATGTAGGTTTCGGTGGTAGTACCAACGAGCGCCTGGCTTCCATCAAGGTCAATGGCGGTACTGCGCAGACTGTGAGCTTTCCCCTGACAGGTTACAACTGGGACAAGGATGTCTACAAGGGCTATGCCGTAGAGCTTTCTGGCTTCAACACCAATGGGCCAAATACCATTACCATTTCGGGCGTCAATGGTGGTTGGGCACCTGATTTTGACAGACTGGCCGTTATTGCCTAGCCTCTTTTGTAGAGACTCACAGCGTTATCAGGCTTGGTGGGCCTTAATAGGAGCTAGCTACCCTAATTAAGTAGAATACTAAATGCAGCTGTTAAATATTTCTAAACATACATGGCTTTGGTTCTTTTATAACCAGTAATAGTAGAAGCGTTTAGTCCCATTTTTCCAAGTCTTTTTCGAGTTCCTCGACCACTGGGCCCGAACATGTTCTCTAGACTTAGGAATTTGGCCTATTTGCTATTTAATCCAATATATAATTAGTATAGCAATCATTGGTGTCATAAGACGATTTAATTGTAGGAGGATGGCAATTTCCTGGATTATCCTCGCACTTCCGGCAACGATGTCCAGCCTCCATCATCTTGCCGTGATGCTTTCCAGCAAATCCTTTCCCATCAGCGACAATCAAATTCGTGGTGATGATGGACTTCGAAAGGTCTTTCCAAATTGTTGAGGTGGTGATAATCCCATCTAAGAATATCCCTACTAATAACGTGTCTTTTCTGTTGGTCGAGCCTGTGTTTGATCAAGCCCAATGCGTGTCAGCGTCCGCGTCTTGTCGAAAGCGACATTCGTCAACCATGCCAACTTGGCCACTGCCCCCAAGCTTCCTTTCGCCAATACACCATGTCTACTGGCAGCGTCCAGCTCAAACATTGTCGCAGCTGGAGACCTAACCCCAGATTGCATGGGTAGATAACTCAACTTTATGAGAGAGTCTAGTTGTCAGTTATCACAGCAGACGCCCGAGCTAAAAGGAAAACCACCATAAGAGCCATTACGGGTATAAAGAGGTATGCAGCCAATTATGGGCAAGCGGGGGAGCAAAATGATATAGAAAGCCAAAGACAAATAGAAACACTGCCTGATGTAAATAATAATGTGCAATTTGTCAATATGTGGTTATATTGTCGTTTATTCTTAGTGATAAGAGTGCTAGACCTCAACTTGACTTGGTGAAGACTGACATGCGTCGTGTCGTGTTGCGTGAAGTGGATCCTGAGATACCCTAGATGCTCTAAATCATCTGCCTGTCTGATCTTAAGATGATATATAAGCCACGAAAATAATAACAACACACATCCAATACACGTGCTTAGGATAGTGTACATTAGAAAGACCAGGAGATTCCTAGCAATCCTTACTTAAACAATGCACAATTACTCAATTGGCAGCGTTTCCAGAACGATGTACCAAAGATCTGATTTGCTTCGCCTTGTTTGATAACACACCTATGATTAAAAGCGCCTATAGCTTCTGTGGAGAACCGTACTTATTTATAGATAAGTGCCTTTTGCAAACCGCCTGTTTAGTATAAGTCTAAATTCCCTTGAACGTTATGGCGCATCCCCAAGGAAATCCTGTTCTTAACAAGCCATGTTAAGATACGGTACGGATCTAGGCTGACTAATGCACGAAATTGGTCCAGCTTCGACCAGCTCATCTTGGCAACTAAGTCACACTCCTAACCTCACTTGAGTGCAGCTGGCTCAATATCACATGTTCAGATGATTAGTTCTTACGAGCCCAGTATCGTAAAAACAGAGATCAAGCTGTCAACTTCACGTCTATTCATATTAGGTAGGAAGGAAATTATGTGGCAGCAGGAGGGAACATAATAACAACAAGCAAAGAAGAGATAGAGAATATTTTTCCTCAATATCCGAGGCCGACAGAAGCAATAAGCTCGAAATTTAAACATGTATCTTGACGAAAGTGCCTTCATCAAATCAGGTTTTGGTGCAGGAATAACTTGCTGAATATGTTTGGTTACGCGAGATCAAATCTCAGGATGCAGTCCGAATTTTGGTGGGGAAGTCATAAGTCTGAAGTGCACACTTATGCATCTTACATACCGTGTTGCAATCTGCTCTATGTAAGGGACTAGGTCACGGTCTGTCAGCTGCATTATCTGAGATACCTTTGTTACTGTGTGATTTGGTGGTAGATATAGGTATTCCTGATGATAAATTTTAATTGGGCGGATACCCACAGGTACCCCAAATGGTGCCTTGGCGTAAGCAAAGGAATCTCCTGATGATCGGTGGGGGTGAATCATTGCATTCAGCGCAAGAGTCTTTAGGACACAGCCAGAATCACGAGAAGTTGCAGGGAAGGACTAATCCGGCGACTCAGGCTATCTCGTCGATAAGCGTCATGCCGCTGATTGAGGAACAAACGACGTTAGTGGAATGATTCATGCAGCCACGAGAAAGCTTATTACGCAGAACAGTAAGCACGGCTCTACGAGTTTAGTAATTACAAGATGGAAATTGAAGAATACTTGGAAGCACTTCCAGAAGTCCAGGCACAAGTGTTAGGATCATGACGGGGTTTCTTGCGGGTAGGGGGGAATCTCATTGCCGGAATGTTAATGCCGGCATTAACACTGACAAAGGCAACTTGGGTAATTCTCATTGTGTAGTGGTGGAGAGTGAAAATCACAATGCTGGATCTTTACTAGTCTTTTGTTTAATCGCCATTGTATAACGGTTAGAACAGTATTGCAGTCTTGTGCATACATTGTTGCCTTGGTTCCTAATTGTTGCATACTTTCTTCTTGCCAAAACACGATTTCCTTCCCAGCTTACATCAGATATATCACTCAACTGCGCAACGCACGACCCCCTTGTGTAGATGTGTGGTTTATATACGAAGAACGGCGCCTAGATGCTAGCACAAGCGAAAGTCGTCTTGACCATGTTATAGCGACTGTTCTGATACTTCTATAGATTCGCCTTTTTCGCGACAGGATTATACCTTTTCTTTGCATCTAGAACGAGGACGATTTGTCTCGCCGAACAAATTAAGTCCATTCCCTCGTCGCATATCGTGATATCCATATCCATCCTACCACCTTGGAGCTTCTTCGTTTCAACGCGGCTGAAGATCCATCGAAGGCCATCCTTTGGAAGTTGCCTCTTAAATTCGATATCCAAAGACAACGTATTCTCGCTGAACTTCGCATTTGCTGCCTCAGCCAGAGAAGTCTCCATCTCACAAACAACCCCAGGATTCTTGTCTGCCCACTCTTCCATCTTGCGGAGGTTATTTCGCCCATCATACATTTCTCCGTTGCGTAGTAATGTATCTGCCATAGAAGGCATGAAGTCGCACATGAAAGCTATGTGCGTTGCGTTCATGAATTCCCCGGTAAAGCCATTCCACCCATCCAGCAGGCCATCGACTTGCATTCCGCCTCGCTCATAGAGAGATACGATACGGCGGCCCATAGGGAAAACTTCGCCTTTCGTGAGTCCGGGAACCCATGTAAGGTCAGGCTCGTTGGCTTCAACCTTACGAAAGTCGGGTCTAGACGCAGGAGGAGGGTTCAGAGTCCACTGGGTATTGCACGTGGGCCCAAGAGATTGGGCGAAGTTTGTGGACGTTGCAAGACCGATGGCCTTGAGCTGTTCATTCTGTAAGACCTGCAGCTGGATAGTGCAGTGAGAACTGCCGCGCTTTAGCTCGAGTATGTTGATGTCGAGCTTTTCCGTACTGCAATATCGCAGGTATTCGAGATGGAGGGTAAGGACATCAGGTTGGTCGTACTTGGCGAGGGTTGTGGTGAAATGTTTTACAGCCACAGAATGAATGACTGCAGCAATGCAGCCACCGTTTAGAGCTAAGGCGATGTAAGCAGTGAACTGGCTGTTTCACAATTGATACTAACCTGGGCCCATAGTCCAATCATATGATGGGGATACAGAGTAGGACGATGGTCCAGTTTGCTGAGGCGTGACCTCCTGTTGAAACGTTCTGGCCATCTTATCCTTATGCTTGGGGGATTGGCAAATGATTATGGTTAATTGAAAGAGGGGAAGGGCAGGGAGCGCTCTGGAGTGTTTTTATTCTTCTGTGACTGTAAGCATGCTTATTACTATTAAAGGCTAGCGCTGACGATCAAGCAAACCTCTGATTTAACCGAGGTAACTAACAGGTCTACCTATTTCCTACCTAGCCTTTATTCAGCAGCATTCAGATAGCTTGAGAAATATGATAATATAAAGCTATCCAGCTTCTAAGTTTTATTCCATTTCATTACCTATCATATAATAATATTATGGCATTTTTCTGGCAGTCAACAGGTATCAACTCAGCAGCATGCATCACCATCATGGGTTTCATGCTCAGGGATCTCCCAGCCCTTTGCGTGAGCGTACAGGTTGCTGGTAGCCTCCCCGGAAGTGATAGCTCAACTCTGAATAAAACTTCCCAAAAGCACATTGCAGGCAGCTCTCTGGCTACTCACAAAATAACCTAAGCTTACTGATACAGTGTGACATATGTCTGGTCTTATCAGTCAATATTAAGAGTTCAAAATCTCCAACTGGCTCAAGCCTCCTAGCATCTTCATCCTACAAGCGGGCCATTAATACTAGAAGCCATTCGCAGAAGCAGTAATCTTCCACACAGCTTCACCTTATATCTCCAAACTGCATCGCGTAAAGAGTAGTAAATAATCTACTTGTTGGGGGATTAGCGAAGTAACCCATCGTGATCTGGAGGGTCGTTGTGGCTTTTATGAATGCCGTGGATACAGATTCATGCTACGAGTTGCGCTTAGGTTTCCCGGCAGTCATAGCAGGATCTGTGCCTATCAGCGTGCTGATATCATCCAGACCTGATCAGAGAATAAGCTGAAAATCTTATGACCGAGCGATTGTGTGGGTAGTTGGTATGCTGCCTGAAGTCTGCTTTTCAGTTGATATGCCTGACAGCCCATACTTACAATGCATGCCTTACCTCGATATCTTCCAGATCTATATAAAGGCATCACCGACATCGTCGAAAAGCGGAGCTAGGTCTTCAAGATGCCGGTATGTAAGACCTGCATGGCGACAAACAGCCACTGTTTTGCAAATGATGAAGCAGAGGAACGAAAGCTTGACAGCGAATGATGATCAAATATTATATAAAAACTCAAGAGGCTTGAAGTAGAGTTGATTCTACTCGTGGAGTAGCTTCTGCACCTAGATTATCCGAAGGATTTGCTTTGTGTTACAACATATTCGCGCGGAAGACTTGATAGGAGATATGGATCTCCAAGGTGTTGGGTGTAGTGGCATTCTTTCTAGACCGGAAGCCAGCGGATTTGCATGCTGTCTTCTCTTCGTTGCTTATGGGGACTGGAATTGATTTTGTAGATGTTATATGCTACTGAGATGCGCGATCGATTTTGGGTCCTCCCCCACAGGTTGTAGACGCAGTTGAGTGTCGTAACGGTGTAGGCACTAGTCATGTACTTGAGTTACGCAATTGCTTCGAACGGCAACTTCCTTAGCCCTCACCGCTCAAAAGTCTGCCTCCTGAAGCATCCACCTGCGGCCACAAAGTTTACAAGTGGCCAGAAAGAATCGTCAAAGACACGTTATCCTAAACGGTGCAAACTAGCCCATTCCGGCGGACGTTCAGTTTGTGGCTGCAAAGTTTGTTTCACTATTCGACGTTATCGCCGTTGGCTTATGACCGTTACACTCCCTTTTTGGCAAAGCTAGTAGATTTACAGTTTAGTTACCCCGCTCTGGCCTCTGGAAAGGGTGGCATAAGAAGGCAAGTTCTTCCTTTTCAAGCGGCTGGGATTCCATAACCCGTTGACATTCGACTCAGTAAACAAACTTGTCGACAGTACTGAACATCACATCGGTCTTATCAATTTGCCCGTCTTTCCAGTAACACGTCGGACCATGACCTATCTTACCTGCGACTACTACAGCGAGACATCAAGCATTGCTGATGGAGGAATTGATACCCCGTTCACTTCGGACTTTGAGGGTAAGAAGACTTGACCCACTGTGCTGATAAAGCTAATGCAAGAGGGTACAGAAGTGGATGTGAATGACATATTATCTTTGAACGATTCGGAAACTGAAGATTCAACAGAGGCTTCTGCTTTATATAGTCGGCCAAGGACGCCCTTAAATCATTGTCTGTCAGCGACACAGCGAGAGTGGGAAGGCCTGTGTACCAAATACCATCAAGGGATCCAACATCTTCGAGATATTGAGGATCAGATGTTCCGCTACCAGGCACTTCATCCATGTCTCTGCATCAACTACCAGAACCCTATGCTATGCATACAGCGAACAAAGGATCAAAACGCCAACAAGATTCAGCAAACTGTTGATTTTCTTGGTGGTGGTCTTGAGAAAAATATCTCCTCCAATCTCCCTCCCGAGAGTCATCACCTCAAAGTTAAACTAAACGATGCTGTAGAGGTATCCGTTGTTACGCTTGATACCCTGACTGGAAAGAAGACAATGATAAGCTTGACTACCAGGTCAACAATGAAACATGTTGAGCAGTTGCTTGGGTTTTGGGAATACGACTTACCGATGGATTTGTAGGATAGGCTTGCAAGCTAGATTAGCTACTCTTATTGTAATAAATAAGGCTGGGACATATATCTGGATAACCGCTTAGAATTCCTGTTTATCCAGGCTAACTTGACTGGAGATATGTGTTTCTGTCACCGGGATGTGGAAAATATCTCCATCTACTATACCATCAGGCCATGATAAGTGGTCTCAAGACTACGGTTGGATGGAATTCACATCATCGTATTATCCCCAGGTTGGGCCGGCGATATAGGACGCATAGAGCAGTGCTTGCCGGCATTGGCATTGGATCACTTTACAGCTGCTGTATCGCAAATTATCACCACTATGTCATAATTTCTGCGCTTCAAGTTGAGTTGGCAAAGTGTCAACAAATAGTTTGCGATAATGGTCGGGAATGTGGTTTCTAAATACGGGTTATGTCTTGTCTTTCTCTGGGTTATTCCTGAACCGATGTGCGCCTTTGGCGCTGTGGCAAGAGCCAGATGTTGCGCTGTAAGAAACACAGCACTCTCTGATTGGTCAGATCAAACTCACTGCTCGATTTAGGAAATTGTTAGCTACGTGAAAAGCGAGGGATGAGTGATGGAAGGCTTGCGGGACGAACCAAAGCCAGGGCGACAAGGCCTGGATGCGAATCTCAAGGCTTGTGATTGATACCGTACGTCACAGCGAGTCTTGAGGGAGAGTTGTCATGACAGGTGGCATGATACCTTGTCGAATGCTGTGATGCGCTTGACTCTCTCCTTCTATCAGTCGCTGCCTTGGAGGTTTGCATTAGGGGCGCTACAGAACAGCAACAAATTGTCAGTTTGTAGTAATCGTCTCCTCCGAGTAAACGTACTCTAGCCAAACTCGCGCTATAATGTAGACCCGTCGTCCTGGTTGACATATAGGCCAAAGGTTTATCTGGTCAGATGAGCAAAGCCTGATCATCGAAATATAAAACGTACCTTTGAAGTAACATCATAAGAAACCACAGCCTTAATCCCAATTTATGCCCTGCATCAACCCCTTTGCCACGTCGCAGCGAAGATCTTCACTGATCTCTCTCATGTTCTCTTCATGCTGCTTTTTCTGCTCCTCTTGATTCTCATCAATAGTATCCAGCCTGTTCACCAATTCCTCCTGTTCTTCCCGTGTCTGGAGGAAATCCGCGTCGTGAGTTTTGTACCTGTCGTCGAAGGGAGATACGTCTGCCTGTACATGCCTGATATCATTTTCTATTTGAACAATCTTGTCTTTGTTGTTTTTTCTTTCCTTCTTGAACTCACAAACTTTGATTTCCATGACGAGAGCTTCAGCTTCCTGCCGTCTCGCGTCGCATGTAAGGTCCTTAATATCGATTCGGTCTGCTTGTTGTTAGTTCTTTAGGTCAGAAATTTCCAGTTGCAAATCTTCTATCATGGCGACGATGTCTGGACGAGCATTGGGACCTTGAGATACACAACGTCTTTTGGATGAGACATTAGGTGTGGGCTCGTCGTGAGGTATGCTCTGGCTGGAGGCATCATATGAGGGAGATGACTGTCCCTCATTATGGAGGCAGATGGGTTTCCCTTGAATGACTGGAAGTAAAGTGCGGACCTGATTCGGCGGAGGTTGGGTGTTTAAAAGTTGATTGTTGACAATGCTGATGATACGATCTAGCATAGGCTCTGGCAAATCGGTCGTCCGGATATAGGCGTTGAACACCGTCGCGTTGGACAATGATTGGACAGCGTCGGGCACCGTACCTGACTTTGCTCCTTTCGGTACAAGGGGTTCGTTGGTCTCGGTTGGTATGAAGGTGTTTAGATGGGTGTTGGCTCAAAGGCTGAGCGGGGAAGCATATGTTTCGGAAGAGTCAATAATGGAACACATCACGAATTGCAAGGAGAAACTGACTTAAATGTTAAAATTCTCTGACTTCCTGGTCCAGATCGGGGGAGCCCAGGTCTTTCGTTGCCATCTTCGGGGTGTCGGATCGCGCCGTCCCAAGCGTTCTTGAGCAATCTCATCGAAAAGTGTAGCCAGGTCCGCTATGCTAGGCGGGTTGTTCTCGATCCCAGAGGCCGCTAATTTTCTATCCTTCTCTGCCATTCTGATCTAGATTTTCTGAGCGCGGTTCAGAAGACCTGGGGAACAAAACTAAATGCTTGTGGAATGGCCGAGCCTGCTCACTGGAAGGCCTGATGGTTACGCTTGGGGGTGACTCCTACGTAGATGTTAGCATGTCGCTGATCGTTGTTTGCTAGCTCGAAGGCCAAGGCGAAGAACAATAATCGAGAGATGTCAGGCGGCTGGGAAGCATGTCTTACTTAGAGATCACGAGGGTCGTTCGTCTTCTGAGGTAGATCCTGGTTTGAACGTAGCGCTCCAAGGCTCCAAGGAGGTACTCTTTTGATTGAAGTGGCGGCGTGGTCACCGATGGCGTGGCTCGTATCAGAAGTGTCAGTGACAGTAGTATGAGTTTGCGCGAGCCCAAGCGACGGAGCAGTACCCAATTTGAAGCTGTCGTGGTGTAGAATGTACTGTTTGAGATTACGACACTCATTTCATTGAGAATCGGCAAGTTGCATGGCGGCTGCACTACCGTTGACTACCAACCTGTTGGAAAGGGCCGTAGGAACTCGGGGGGTCGCCAAGAACGCTGCCATCAGCGGGACTTGGTGGACTCACATAGCTTCGCGACACTCCGTGTAAACCGGCCAAGAGTTACAACGACTTTAATTGACTACATTTTGAACATTGGATGGTATCTTAGCAGCTAGAAGCGCAGAACTCTTTTGTATATTGTCAAGTGCCACTCACCGGTTGTTGGCAAGCGTTTGCCATGCAACCACATTACTTGACAGCACAAAATCTCCCAACACTGAGCCCGTGTCGTCCTGCTGACACCCAAATCGCTGTCTCAAGAACTCCATTGGCATGGCGAAACCCCACGGATACAGAGGCGAGAAAATTAATTGGAGTGAGGCGCGAGAGTGAAAGGATTCGTTTTTCCTTTGGGCTCGTGTTTGTCACCGGGAAGCTTCCGTAAGAATGTCGCTGGCCTGTCACATGCCAGTGGCAAAGGGGTTCCTGGAACCAACCTGTTGAAGAGAAGAGTGGGGGCAAGTCATCGCGGCACGAATGAGAGTCTTGGGTGAATGGACCACGGGTATGGCGATGAGATCCCGTACCCGCATGTAGAGGAAAGGCGTCGCAAACGATCGGAGCATGAGGAACAGTCGACCTGTTAGACACGTTCAAGGGTGGTGATGAGTGATTGCTGTCAATAGTCTAATTCTGCAACTGCCGGTGAAGAGATCTTCCGCTAGAAAAAAAGGATATTGAATCAGAATACTGGTCGTCTTTGACCTCCCGAGAGTTGATCCCGCCCCCTTATGGAGAGGAGACGACTTGGGCGGGTTAAATACGTTGTAGGGATGTTGATTGATAGCAAGGTCCAAAAAGAGCGCCAAGAAAAAGAAAAATCGCCAGGTAGTTGATAAGTTTCAAGCATCTCAGCCTGTCATTGCAAGCCAGAACGGGCAGAGCGAAACTCACAACGATGAGAAATTTGGTTAGGTAAGTGGGTTGACTGATTGAATGGGGGACCTCGTGGCGTCTTCGTATGCCTGATGGAGTATGAAAAGCCCATCTTTATTTTCTTCGATCGATAGAGATGTAATGCATTACCATGCACCACCTTCTGCAGATCCTCTGCAGTTTATGATTTCCTAATTAGAACTTCTGTGAGAGTCTAGCGTCAGTTTAAATCTCAAGAGCAGCCAAGATGGACCTACCCTATAGCGGCATGATGCTCTGGAAACAGCCTGACAGCCATGCGATATCGCATTGTTTCTGTCTCAAAGACATAAATTAAGACTACTATTAAAATATAAATATAACTGAAAAAGCAAGTAGATTCCAAAATAACTTATTATCCTAAATATAAATACTTTCTTTTATCATTTCACAGTTACTGACAATAACATCACCGTCTTTAATCGAGAATCCCTAAGGACAATCTTTAACCTATCCTAGCTATCGGAACATTAAGTCCAGATTTCAAGCCAAAATCCTTTAGTAAGTGTAATACTTCTTAACTGTAAGTAAGCATGAGAGGTTAGTTAGTGTACGTAGCTGCATCTCTACTGGCCTTTGTCTTCCGAATATTAACGGAGATACTATCTAGGCCCGTAAGAGAACGCCATATAGTCAGGGGCTGTGCAATGCCACGCGTGTTAACATTTCCGAGGCGCTGTTGATGCCACGTTTTCTGCAATACGAATGTGAGACAAGATGGCATTTAAAGGAGATCACCCTCTCTGTTCAACAACCGTTGCGGCAATCGTCCTCACGTGTATTGTACAGTATAGCATTTGCTGAGAGGCAGTTTCGACCCCTGTTTTTACTTTTTAAATGTCACGACATAGAACTAGGCTCCAAGTATGAATTCGCAGTCTTTGGAGTGACATTCGCGTGGTGTTATTTGTCCTTAAAACGACATGTTGATAGGGCCCTGTCAACGCCAGAGTCACAGCCAGCGCCACGCAAAGCCCATTCGGAAGCAATGGAAAAACGTAACCTACTCGCAAAACGCTATAAGTGACAGTACCAACGCTAAGAGAAACATACTTTCTCATCCCAGGGCTGATGCCTATATTGGCTTGAAAGGCTTGAGGAGATAGGCTGCTAGTGAAAGTGGTGCATGGTCTTTCGGGAGAGCTAACTAGATTGTAATTTCAATGATGTATGAAATACTTGCTCTAGGGACGCCACAAGAGCGGTGAAATAGACAGCGAACACCATGGCTTGTCGCGCGGCTTAGTCCTTTCCGTCCGGGATGTTTGGCCACAATCATCCTCGAAATTCAACAGCAAGCGACTCGCGCATGGCTATCAGACAGTATCCATCTATCAAACCTACCAGACGCTAGCTTAATCGAATCAGATTCGCGAATCTCAGTCAAGTTCCTGAGTTGAATCCGTAACGGGCAGGACGATTCGGCTGTAATCTCAAACGGCTCATAAACTCTGCCCGAAGGATATGCACAAATGCAAGTCGTTAGGTTGCAACTAAGTCTTCTGCAAAAGCCAACAAAGCATAGGCCTAGAATCAGCCACTTCAGCGGGATCAAGGAAAGGAGAATTCGAAGTTGTGGATGCCCACCCGGTCTCTCCCAAGTCGTAGTTCTGGCTTTGAGGCATGGCCCTGGATTAATTGGACGCAACGAATGAGTGTGGGGCAGTGTGCGTGGCCGCTCGTGAGAGAGGAAGGAGAGGTCAAAGCGGGGAGGCGTCTGACCCGTTTGACGAGGATCTCGCAAACTGCATAAATGTAATGAGTACTATGAGTGTGAACTGCCTAGAATATAAGCATGGTTAGTCTCTAGCTTTATTAAGAACGAATCCTTAACCACAAATCGAAACAATATATTTGTACAGACTATATGCTACGAGTCAGATCAGCAGTCTACAGGATGACCATCCAGCTAGGTGACAAGATCGCCTTCTTATGGTGCTTTGGAGGCTTACTGAATATATGTATATATACTTCAAATACCGATACGAACGCCGACAGGCCCTACCGGACGTACAATTAATTGTCGACTCGCTTCGCAAAGACACTGAGGCAACTGAACGCCTGCAGGGTCCTCCTATAACAATTACGGCGGGTGCTGCCTCGGCATATGGCGGAGAGTGTCTTTCCACTCAAGAGAGAAGGATAAACTGTGTTCAGAGGCCTCCACCATGCTTCGTCAAGCGAGAACAAAAACACATACACACACCGAGGATAATGTCTAGGGGGCCGGAGGGGCCGAATCGTCCTTCTGGAGTGATTACAGCAGATGCTACCTTAGCATATGGCGAAGAGTGTCTTCCCACTACAGAGAGTAGGACCTACTCTATTAAGAGGTCTCCACGATGCTTCCTCCAGCGAAAGAAAGTCCCCACAGAGAGGGACATGGCTGAGGCAATTATCCTAGGTCAAAAAAAGAATAATGATGCTTTGCAGGAATTGGTGCAGATGATCAAGCCTATTCACAGACCTATAGGTGAACACTGGGATGAGCGCTACATCCGGTTTACCAACATCTTTGGAGACAAACACCATCTACTTGTCGAATCCTGCAAATCGACTGAGGTATGTATGCAGCGCGTCCTCTGAATTACAAGGAGCTAAGCGTACGTCTGTCTTCATAGGGTTTCGTTTATTATTTAATGTCCACACTCAGGGACCGTACCAGCAGTGTCCACCTGCTAAAGGGAGCCATTGAGCGCGGGGAGTTTTGGATCGTTGATGAGAAGGACGACTGGGACTCCCCTCACCGCATTGGATCGTCCCCAGCTATTCTGGCGGACAACTGGGAGGAGAATGCTATAGCTGGGCGAGCTTTTCGGATGATTATTGTGGATTCATCGCATCCAGCTACCCCGGATGAGCTCCGTCTTATGCATAGCACATGGTATTCCCGTGTGAAGGGATCCCTACAGGAAATATATAAGCTATCCGGGTGGGAGATTGAGAACAGTTAAGGATGCCAGGCTATTGGACCAGTCCGGTTAGGAAAGATTTAGAATTAGAGCAGTAAGTGTAAAAAAAGAATATAACTTTATCTTCTATAGAATATATTAGGTAGTTCTTAAGTAATCTAAGGAGGAATTTAGTAAGTAAAAGCTACCTTTTTAAACCTGTAGGTTAAAAAGGGCAAGTAGGTTATATACTTATTAACTATATTCCTTTTTTATTATATTAATAATTTTACTACCTATTTTCTTTTCTTTTAATCCTCGGGTATATATATATATATTTCTTTTTTTAAAAATTTCTTATTTTTAAATAGTATTTTTAATTTTATAATAAGATTTTTTAACTTTATTTAACTAAATTTTCATAAGATTTATTTAAGTTCTAATATATTATTAATTATTTTAAAAACTATATTTATAAATTTACTTTAATATAAATCCTTAAGCTTAATATACTACTAAGCTATCCTATTCAAATTAACAATATATTAATATTTAACCAATATATTAAATCTATCTTATATTAAGTCTTCTTACTTATTTAATCTTATTTATATTACTAAAACTGGGTGCTAAGTTTATTATTAGCGCAGAAGGGAAAATTTAAATTACTGATGAAGAATTACTTGTTGGTATCCGAAGTGGAGGTGGGTCATTGGGTGTCACCGTCGAACGCATGATCAAAGCTTACCTGCTCGATGAGGTGCGATGACTAACCATTAGGAAAGAGGCCATTCTTACTAACCCAGTAGCCTCCCAGATCTTGTCTTTCACAATTATTTACTACTCTAGCGGTTTGGAAATCGTTATAACGGCATATATTCAGCACTATGAACAGATGGTTGCCACCCGGGAACTTCCAGTATACCTTCAGCTTCATTCCATCATCTTACAGTTACGCAAATAAGCTGTTGACTTCTGAAGTAATGGCCGTTTGACATGGGGAAGATAAGGAAGAGGGAAATCGATGGATCCAAAGCTTTGAAAGTGTAGGCACATGCGTCATGAAAGCTACAGAAGAGACCACGCTCACCGAGATGCTTGAGAAGAACGAGAGGTTGGTAACATGGCCGCCGTACAGACGAGTGCTCACATTGAATGTCAAGCAGCTGACGGCGAAGCTTGTTCAATTTCTAGCCAGACACTGCTCGTTTGCACTCGGAGGTGATTTCGTGTTCACATACCATACCGTACCATCTATGCTTGAGCCTGCGCCAAAGTCGATTTTTGGGACACAGACTAGCCATCACATACTCGAGATGAATCGAGTTATTCCAGATGAGAGCGCGTGAAATGGGCTGCGCAAGTCAAAGCTGATCTCGAGGCTGGGGATACTTAAAACATCCTAGAGGGCTCATACACCTCTTTATCTCATGATGAAGATATGAATCTCAACAAGATTCAAAGTCGTAACTACCCTGTTCTGCTGGCCCTGAAAAGAAAGTATGATGCTGATAATGTATTCAAGCATGCTATTCCAAGATTGCAGCTAACAGGAGTGGCGACTGTGGTTGGTTGCAGAGAACTGATGCAATTTTACCATAACCTCTAGTTTTCTCATTTCTTTGTTTCCTTAGCAGCGTTTGACTCACAAATATACTTATGCGAGTTCACTGCCCCGATAACCTAACTAGTAGACATTTGTTTGGCTTCCCTTACTTGCTTATCCGTGGTAATTTAATCAGCACCAATTTACCACGCAACTCTTTAGGTGGCATCTAAAATCACTGTATACGCAGGCCGAGATCTCCGAATTGCCAAAACGTTTTGTTGATTTAGCATGCGGCTATGGAATATGGTCAACTGAAGTGGTAAGCCCACAACATGGAAAGAAGACGACAGTTATTGGATTCGATATTAGCAGAGATCTATTCCCCGAGAAAGAAAACACATGACCAAATGTTGAATTGGTCACAGGGAACGCTTTTCGGCCGCCTCGCGATAAAGTATGAGGGATCATTCGATGTCGTCAACCTTCACTTATTTTTCGGAGCTATCGCTAATGGCGACCCTCGTCCATTCGTCAAATATCTTCAAGCTCCTCAAACCGGATGCCCGGCTTCAACGGCTGGAGTACAACTTTGAGCTCCCAGTCACAGCAGAAGGATCGGTATGGGCTCACATGCCCGAGCTGTTTACGATGACTCGCGAATCTCACAGCAGCCAATGGGGTCACCAAGGTGGACGAGATTTGCAGCGCTGAACGGCTAGAACAAACTGACATTTTTGAAACCCTGTCAGAGAAGCATATGCTCATATATTGGCAAGACAATTGGTACTAGAGTATCAGAGAGTTAGTTTATGGTGTTTGTAACCATAGTGTTAATGAGCTATGGAAGACGTTTGAAGCTGAAAAAGATGCGGTCGGGTATTTGCCATCGCTGACATTTGTGATATTTATAACAGGAAAGAAGAAGACTCAAGGTCAGCCTCACGTCAACGGACGCATTACAGTACCGATGCCAATTTCCTACTTGTCTGATATATTCTGATAATAACTGATACAATTATATCAATAATCAATGTTTATCCTTCTCCTTAACCCCTGTAACCTTTATATTAATTGCTTGCAAAAATTATACAACGCTCTCCATGGCCAAAAGTAAACCGGTGATGAAGCAAATAACAGCTGGTAAGTCCACCACCAAAGACCTCGTCAGGTGCATCTCCAACCACAGCTCCAATGATGCTGTGCTTGAAGCATTAGCATCATTACGCCGAATCCTGGCCAGCAAACCGAGTGCCTTCGGTCCAAAAATAAGGAGATGACCGGCTGCAAATAGAGTTCCGGCCACGTAAAAGAGAACAACAGTCTGAAGCCCAGTGCCATTCCAAGAAGTCACGGCATTCGCAATTCCGCTTGCCAAACTCAGAGTAAAACTTCCAAAGACGACTTTGGTTCCCCATGGTCCCCAGTTGGTAAACCAAAGCGGTAGCAGCTCATTTGCCTGCACTCGGTATTGACGTAACATCCAGCAAGAGAGGAAGGCATACTCGTCGTAAGCAAATTGTAGGCTGACTAATGACGATATGGCTGGTAATAGACGGAGGAGCTTGGTTGGCAGAATGAGTCCAAAAAGGGTTGACAGCACGACAATTGAAACCAAAAGCCATATGATTTGCTGAGATGTTTTACTGGCCATTGTGTCGTGTTGAGGGACTTGATGGCTATAGCTTAAGAGATTACCGAAGTAGCGAAAGACTCAGATTCAATTCAGAACGTACAGTTGTTGCGATCGAGTATCGAAGTAAATATCATAGGCAACACCAAAACCAATTGCACAGTAGCTTTAAGAATAAAACCAGCTGGGAGAGTGTTCCTATATAAGCTGACTCCTTATCCCAAAACAAGAAAGGGGCTTGGGGAGGATCCAGTAGTAGCTCTGAGTAAGCTGACAGGACTTTGGTGGTCTAACTGGATAGCGCAACTCATGTACGCAGCGCCGCAGACATACAGAACGCTAAGGCCAGTAATACGTAATAGGACAAGCCACCTTCTGGAGGAAAAGTAGTGAATCCCGTGTTACGTGTACGCGACACCGTCCGCGATAGCGCTAAGATAGAGCTTTTAGGCCTGATAATTCGAGTACTTAAATCGAGCGGAGCAGATTCTAGGTTATCCTATATAGGCAACTCTAAATATTTGATAGAGGATCTCGAGGTGATAGTGGTTCAGTGGGAAGATTGTATTGTTTTCGTGTGGGATTATCATTGGAACTATGGCTATAGGTAGAAACGCGATGTAATAGGCGACCTGGCTGTTCATCGGTCGGTGGGGGGATGTTACTCTTTGATCGAAGCGGCGCGGGTATGTTTCCTAGGCGTTTTCAATAAATTTTGGTTGTCTCAACAAGTCTGATGATGTTCTCTTCGTCCACGTCGGTGAAGGTGCTTTGCTCAAAGGTCGTCGCCTTTGCATGATGAAGACGTCTTCCGAGCATCATATTGGGGACAACAGACACAGTAAGAGAAATTGACAGAGGGAGGAAGTTGTGTTCGAAAAAGCCACACAGACAACCCTCGGTGGCATAAGCAAGTATACATACCCTTGTTACTGCCCGTTGCTTCGAGAAATAAACCTGTTGTACAGATGCTACTTGATTTTCTGCATCACGAAAATGATCTGACAGCTTATCCTGGAGCTGTACTTGCATCGCGCTCGTTGCGGGGACACTGGAAGCAAGTCTCTACGCCGCTGGAGATTCACTTCGGCCATGTCCGACACGTCTGAGGCCCACCAAGACTGTTCTTACTCTCCGTATTGGCGGCCTGTTTCTGGTGCGCCCTCGTTATTATCGAGCTTCGTTACTCGAACAAGTGCTGTGTAACAAGTTCGGTCAGGTTTTGCGCTGCTCTTTGGAGCGTCGTTATCGACAGGCGCTTGGTCATACGCTCCACAGGAATTGCGTTCGGTCAGATGGGAGTTTCTTGAACGATGTGATTGATACAGGCGGGCGGTGGCGGTGAGGGCTCATTGAAGGCTTCATTAGCCTGACTGATGAAGCCACCAATTTCGCATGGCGATGAGACGGCTTGTACTAATGACCAGATACACGGTCGGAATCGATAGAGGACGCGAATCGCTAATATTTCATCAAGAAAGCGGTCTAGTTAATGTACCGTTGTCGCTACCACTGTTATCGAGCAAAGGTTTAGTGATTCGCCGTGACCCAAGCCGCCCGATACCTTAGTTCCTTATGCACTTTACTAATACTCAAGTCCAAAGCCTTGCTGCAGGCATTGTCTTTAAAAACGATAGCTTGGCCAATTGTGATATGTTGGCGGTGTGATGCATAGTAGGAACCTCTGCCCCTCTCGTTCCGGTTGAGTGTGTTTAGTTTCTCACTGGTGCTTTTATAAAGGCTGTTCTTTGCTTGTTCTATGAATGTCTTTTTGATCAGGAAATACCATGCCCACCGTCTCAATTCTCTGCCATAAGCTATCTGTTCAAACCTAAGAGCAGTTTCATCCAAAAGGCGGTTCGTCTTCTGTATTCTGCTGCATTTCGAAGTCTATGTACGCGGGAGCCTCCCAGCACTCATGATTATATTTTCAACTGAGAAGTTTATTTAACACTAATAGGGTCAAAGATTGATAATTTGTAAATTTTTGGAATCGTCTAAAGCTGTTTTTACAGTCAATGTGATGTGTTTCCAGTTTAATGTGAGCCTGCCGACCTTTAAATGCTGTATCGTCACATGGCGCGGTACCAGATAACCTCGAATACCAACGTCGGAAATGGTCTTGAATAGCTGGCATGCGACCTCGGCCCTTAAGAGCCATCTACGTACTACACCGATGCTGTTCTTAACAGAGCCAAGAGATCGATGCTATTTCACGTCAAAGATGAGTTCCACCAGCCTCGGTACCAGGTCCTCGTCCAGACAGAGCAACGCTGTTGTGGCGAGCGTGTCTGGAAGTGGCCGCAGTATTCTCTTTAGTGGCTGGAACAGACTGGTCGGATGACCCATATAAGGTCCTTGATGGAGAGGATCCGATGGCAGTGAGGACGGATCCTCCCGGGACAGGGGCAATAACGCCGGACCCGATGAGAATGAAACAATTGCAGCGGCCGAGGAGTATAGGGATGTCCATGTCCGGCGCACTACCTAGTTGTCTGACCTTGAAGGTATTGGACATTAAGTTTGGACCGGTCGTACGGAACAGCACCGTCGACATGGTCTTAAGTATCCTCAGGTTCTTCCACCGTTTATACTACGCCATGTTCGTCCTGCTTAGATACCACATTTGTCTACTCGACTCTAACTATATCATCACGCTTATTAAACTATTCTATCTCATGGTCTGGCCGAGGGTCCAGAGTATCTAGACACTCCTCATCTTATATAACTCCAAGTATCACTGATGACGATGACGACGACGACGATGAAGCTCATTTCTCCGACTTATCAGATCGGACTATTAAGCCCTTTCGCCTACGACAGAAAGAACCTGCTTATTTTGGCATCCCCTCGGACTCTTCCGTGTCTAATAGTAACCCTGCCGGGGCGGGTCTTGACAGTCCCCTGAGTAAAACCGAGATGAGGATGAAGTATCTACTTAACATCATCAAATTGATGGTTCCCTGGAAGAGGGACATGGACGAATGGCGAACTTAAGACGAGATGGCCAAGATCGACCAGCTCAACAGCACCACCGAGAAGCTAAGGCGCAAGGTTGCTAAGTTGGAAGGGAGACCTTAAAGCGGCAGAGGGTGCAGAGAGTGAGGCTAATATATGTGTTAGGGAGTTTGGGGCAAATATTCGCGGTGAAGAGAAAGGAAAGGCTGAAGCTGCTAGGAGGATCAAGCAGTGGGGGGCTACGCTTTCGAAGACTGCGTTTCAGTCTGTTTAAGGCAAGGAAAGTTGTGTTGGATAAGTTCTTGGATAAAAGAGACTTGTCAGACTTTCTTTCCTTTGTACTTCAACAGTCATAAGCAGAGGGCATACAACTCTCTTCGAGTCCTTTGAGATTTGATACCTTGGCACGGGAAACCATGGATGTAATATCCAGCACATACATACACATGGTAATGGCGTTTGGCAACAGGCGGGGGAAAATGACTTCAATACCAGACTGAAGATAGTTCTACAAAGACAAAAGACATCCGCAAGACTGTTAGCTAGATTATATACAGGCATCCGGTAGCAGCCGGCAATAATAGTGAGCATGTTGAAGTATATGGCAGACAAGGTACTTGTCTATGCCACATTGTGCAGTGCCCCCTTGAATTGAGAGTGAGTATCAGTGATACCAAGATCAACTTATTTACATGCGTTCGAATCCTGTAACAAATCATCGCCTCTCTTGCTTCTTTTCAGCGAAGGCGCACCTGGATCCAACGAGCAGGGTCGCTCTTTTCCCCAGCCAACAATAACGAGGGTCTCTGGCCCAACAGACACAAAATCACAATATTAGCCAGCTTCAGTAAAAAAACAATGTTAATTTTAAGTCTCCAAAATCACTGTCCTTAGTCTCCATCGGTATTATATGTGGAATAAGAACAGGCCATATGTTTATACTATATATTAGAAAACGTGACTATTAATTATCCATTCTGCTAATTGCAAGAAAGCCTCTAATAGCAGCCCCTCAATTCAATGTACCGATTCACCTACTACTGCCTCGTCCAATCATTGTGAGGTGAAGTCCCCTCCATCGGCGACAGTCCGTCATGATAGTGATATTCATGCATATTCCCCTCACCCGCCAACTCAGCTGGCGGAGCCCCCTCACCGACCCCAGTAACCTGAAAATCATTCTTGGGAGTCATCCTCTGATGCATGTCAGGCGACCGATGCTCACTGGTTAGTTCAGACGGAGGACTCGCAGGCCACGATTGTCCTCCGGTATGAGACGGAGATGCAGGGGATGCCCAGCCAGTTGTACCACTCACAGCCATTGGTGGTGGTGGTGGTGGCGCCGCCACACCGTGACTCTGGCTGTAGTACTTCCTACGCCGGTAGAAAAGACAACCAATTCCTAACAGCGCAAGGATGAACGCCACACTGCACCCAACGGCAATTCCCGCTATTGCGCCAGTGCTGAGTCCTGAAGAGGGTTTGCTCGTATGCGATGGCGGCGCTGGCTTTTTGGTGCTTGTATCAGTTGCGCGCGTCGCAGTCCTTGTTCCCGAACCTGCCGTCCTCTCCATCTGTACAGCCAAATCTGGAGCGTCGAATCCGCTGACGGGCGTTGTCTTGGTAGCGCTACCTGCGGAATTGCCTCCAACCGCCGTTCGGATGTCAATCGGCACAATGTAGGTGGTCAGGTTGGGCTGATACAGTGCCCAGATTGCATCTTCTTTGTTCTGCTTGCCTAGGTTCATGTTGTGAGCGCCCTGGATTGTCGGCACGTCGCAGACTTTGTCGGTAGCGTTGGAGTAGGTGCCTCCTATGACGAGCATCTGCGCATCGTCGACGACGTTGCAGCTCATCATGCTCTTGGGGAAGGCTCCAGTGCCGTTCTTGTAGGTTGGGTATGGGCCTCTGATCCATTGGAAACTTGGGATGGTGAGGATGTAGATATCGTCATAGCCTGTTGTGTCTGGAGGGAAGCCTCCGCCGCCATAAATGTAACTGGAATTATTAGCTTGCGAACACTGGCATTCCGTCGGTGTTACTTACATATTGTAGCTTGAATGGTCTTTTGCCCAAGTTGCACCTCCGCAGAAACGACGTCTGTTTTGAGGCGTATTGCCTGATGTCTTTTGCGTATACCATTTCGCATTCGCAACATCAAACAGGAAGATCTCGTCCAAGGGCTGAGGCGTCAAGGTTCCATTGCCATACAGGTCTTGAGCGCCTCCAAAGTACACCAACATTCCGCCATCTCCAGCTGGGATAAACACCATAGTTCCCTCTGCTCGTCCTGTATCATCCGGTCCCGTCATATTGCTCCAATTATTCGAATCCATCTCATACTTGATCAAGCCGTTCGATGCTCTAGGTGGACCCGACCAGCCTTGAACAGATGCATTGCTTAGCCATCCACCGTAGTAGTACGCTTCGCCTCTTGACGAGATGGAAACACCAGCTCCATAGCTAGCCGCTTGAACTTCCCGGGGGGGGGATCCAAACGACACCCATTGATTGTAGAGGATATCGTAGCTGTAGAGATCGAAGGATAGAGGAGGGGACTGATACGATTCACCGCCATAGAGATAAAGTCTTTTATTGATCGAGTCTTCCCATAAAATGCCGCCATTGACGCTTGGAATCGTGTCGTTCTTGGAGAGGTTGGCGTAAAACGGGGGCATTCCACCGCTGCTCACGGCGTCGAGGTCATTGAAGGAGAGGAATGTGTCTGCGATTGTGTTAATGCGATGCAAGAATCGCAGGTAATGATACCTACTGGTCAGGTTATTCGTCGCATCTTCGTAGTTGATCAAACCACCATCGATGTATAGCTTCCGATCCACTACAGCTGACTGATGACCCCATCTCCGACAAAAGTTCTTGACAGGGTCATTTTGCGCAAGGGAGGGGCTAACAAGCAGCCATAGAAGGAGAAAGAAGGATGCAAATGTCCGTAAGACGGTTGTTGGAGCATCCATGGCAACGTAGTGCTGATGAAACACAAATGATGGTTCTGCAATGCTTACTGCAAGAAGCTGGGAGGACCGCCGCATTGGCCTTTCCTTCACCAACTGGAGAAGAGTGCTATAAGTAGCAGGTTGCAATCGAACCCCTACCCATTGAACTCGATCCCAAAGGGGAAATGAGTACGGCTGGCATACTCCCGATCAAGAACGTAGATGTGACGACGGGTTGAAAACAATGCATCATACCCAAGGAAGGATATTGCCAATAGTCCCAGTCTAGATGCATTAGCGCGGTGATTTATCTGTGTACAAGGCTCTCTCGAGGTCAAGGCTCTCTCGAGGTCGAGCCTCAATCGTGGTGGTGGGCATTGTCTCATCACACTGTGGCGTGGCGGCAATCTATCCTGGTAATGAGTTGATCTTAAACTACAGGACGGTTACAACTCATGGCGAGCTGAATGGGGGCCCAGATTCCAGGCCTTACACTGCAGTGGAACTCAACGGACGGGATGTTACGTTCTGGGCCCGGTGAGGCTCTTCTGCAAGGGCTAGATCAGGCCAGCTTGGAACCTGCTGCATGAAGGTGGCCTCAAGCTGAACAACCATTACCTCAATCACACTTCCCATCGAGTCTCGAACATAGTGAGCAGGTCAAATAGCTTTATCACCAGTAGGCAATTCAATGTTTGAGTACAAATGTGTTTATAGCTAGCATGAATTGCCTCTCGGGGAAATCAGGTAGTAAACATCTGATGCTTGGCAAAAAACGGCTCTCCGCTCTTTGACCGGATTGTGGATTATATGTGGCTTATGCAGGGCAATATCTTGGTCAGGATCATTCGACTGACGCCACACAAGCCATATAATGTTGTCACTGCAGTAAGCAATTAGCTTCAGCACGCACCCAGGGCCACCTCGGCTGTACGGCATGTAGAAACATGGTAGATTAAGCCTTGGGCGCACTATCTATTGATAAATAATACCGTCTTTCTGCGCACAGGCTCGCTATTAGAGCCTTAATAGAATAAGGCGCCAGCCTCCGAAAGCTCGCAGTATTTGACCATCGTAATTATTTCCGATCAGAAATGAGTCTCCAATAGGTCCCTAGCAGGCCGAATGGTATACTCAACAAGCTCAAAGCTGCTGAGTCCAGAAGTAAAGTATATGTGATCTTTTGCTTGAAGATCATTAAACTTATCATACCAACCGTCCGCCAACGCCTTTGGGTCCACATGGGGGAAATAGTCGATCTGTCCACTGAAAGCACGTATATCAGCAGCAGACAGCTTCATGCTCTGAGCATGAACACTATCCAAATCTTTGTTAATCTTGCTCAAATCGCTAATAAGAATTTTCTTGACTCAGGCGACGCTTAGGTACGCAGGGTCATCCGCTGAGTAAACGCTGACGATGTTGGACCCTGGATGCAATGGAGTCAAGTATACAGGTTGGCCTTCGGGTTTCAAAGGAGTGAGAGTGTTTGAAAGCTCTTGGGAGACAGTCAGGTTGTCGCCAAGCTTGTTCATTCGGACGGCTGATGAGAAATACCCGTTGACGCCAACTTGTGCGAAAAGAGTTTTCTCGGCAGCTGAGAGAACCAATCCTGATTTCTTTAGAGCTTGGGATGTCGGAGGGAACGCGATGATGATATCTGAGCAAAGCTGCGTCTTTGTATATCGCCCCTTGCCACCGCGGTATTGAATGTTTGGCTTATGACTTCGGTCTATATCAATTAGCTGTCGTCGAAGTGCGGATTCGTTTCAAAGCGGTCGTTCATGTTTCCCAGCACACAAGTTTCGTCATGCCGTTGGCACATTCTGTTTCGTGGCTGACGTTGTGCCGCATTGCGCTCCTCATTGAAAAATAAATGACGCAACATCACCGTGTTCAAATCGTCACTATGTCCTGGATTGGAAGATGTCAACTGCAGTAAACGGTCAGTCGTTATCTAATAATCGCAATATCCCCGTCGCATAGTTCTGCAAGCTTTGCTCTAAACATGCACAGACAGATTGATAATCGCGTTAATGCAGGGTAGGCTTTGGCGACAGAAAATTATCTGCAAGAGAGGCTAGTCTGTGAAGACACTTCAATGCGGGGTGATGTCCCTCACTAAATCTTGTTTAATATGCATATAAGTTGCAATACGTTAGCTTCTGATACATACGACCATAGGTAGTGGAAAATACGGGATCCCGTCTGCTCTCCCATAGTCAAGCCACTAACCGGCGGATTAGTAGTTGGGTCGGTGACGACCAGCGAATCCCCGCTGTTGTATGTTTTTGCAGGTTCCAGCAAACATGTCCTTTTTATTGCTCTAGACAACTTCACCAGTTCAATCAAATTTATCTGCTATGCTTTGTCACACTCTTCAATTTGACCTTTTAACCCGTATTTCAATAGAAAGATCTCCTTTTTCCTTTTCAATCGCTGGAAAAGTTGCAATCAACGCTCTCACGGTTTGCGTGTGGTCAATCGACTAACCAACCCATCATGCACCAAAATTCACTGGTGACGCATTATTCAAAGCTCAAGAAGCTCACCGTCACCTCCACCAACAAAAGAACTTCCAGATTGCTTCTGAGAGCTAAGCTCGGCAATTTGGTCTACACACAGTAGATGTCGGTTCGTGAGCGCCATTCACTTGCTCGGGCACCGTCACGGCTGCACTGTGCCCGCCGTTGAGCGCCCGATCAGTATTTACAAATGCATGAGGCATTATATTGTCGCTTGCAAGAACACAGTGCTGACTACCGATTTTGGATCCGGTATGCGGGAATGGGACGGATGGCTGATGTTGGGCTTAGACATAGCCAAGGATATCGAGGAGAGTCGCTTGCTGGAAACATTCATATGGCTCTTTTAATAATCTCAGGTAAGATTGACGTACGCCATGTTCAAAGCGAACTTCTTCCCAAGAGCTGGGAAAAGGGGGACTTCTATCAGTTGGGGACTTTTGTTGTCGTTTCGCAAAAGCGGACTATACTGACGCCATGACAAGAAGTTGTATCGCTCGTTTCCACATTCTTGAGGCCATTGTGACCCATGTCCGTTCAGTTAACTCACAATCCCAGCTAGCTGCGAGTAGAACGGTGTTCGTATTGATATTGACGAGACCCTGCAGGCTCCCACGTTATGCAAGCCACGTCTGCTCCTTGTTGACCTTCTGGATGTATTCCATGTCTTCTAGTAAAAGCTTATGGCATAAATGATCTGATATAAAGAGCCTCTATCCTAAAAACATCCTAAAACGTATTTCCGACTCTTCTTCCATCATTCTAGAAGACAACAGCCCTTCCCAAGACCTCTCCCCCTTGCTCTCATTATCCCCCCCTCACGCATCACTGCCACTTTGCCCTCCAAACACACAACACTCTGCACCGATCTCTAATCAGAAATGGTGATCCTCCCCCAAATCCTTGGTCTCTGCCTCAGCATCTGGGTTGCTTACCAACCAGCTGAGGAGTACTACCCCCCTCACATTACGCCCGTTAGGGGCTCCAACCTTGGCGATGAGGTTGCAGCAACTCACTGCTTCATCGAGTCTCATACCGGCAAGAACTTTCACATCAGATACAGATTCTCGCCCCTATTCACGTTATATGATGGCGCAGTTGCCATTATCCTCAAGTTCTTCATCGATGGCATTGAATGCCAACAGCTTGTGATGAATCATCGGTGCAAGAGATAAAATTCAGTGTATGTGTTAACGCAGCATCGAGATGGGGGACGGACAATGTGAGAATTACTCCCCAACCTTCTCAGAGATCGCACCTGGTAGGTCAGTCAGAATTCTCAAATGCCAGTACTAACAATCTGCAGTCGAGCTGGCCAAGGGGGCCGGGTTTATAATTCGGTCAGATTTAGCAAGGGCTCAGTTAACAGTGGCTTTAGTGGCTTTAAGCTAGGATGGAATAATGCAGAACGTTGCTACTCCGTTGAAGGCTGGGAAAAAAAGCAACATGAGTCAAGTTAGATTACCTATCCGTACATCCACGACGAACCAGCCAGGATACAATATCAGCGCATCACGGGGCGACGGGCCATGTCCCGGGAACCATGCTTTTGGTAAAAGATATAGGACGAGAGGGCTTAAAGCTAAAAAGGCTAGCCCAATGAGATCATCCAATCATCGATATGTCTCTGCTAATGTTTTATTCCCTTGAGCTTTGTATGGACGGATTTATTCAAGCTATTTTGTCAGGTTCGCATGCAGTTAGCTGGAGAGACTGAAAATCTTGATATAAACCCCCAAGATAGATAAGTACCAGCCACACCTGATGATACTGTGAACCGCGACGACAGGAGGCATTCTCTCATGCAACTCCGATCACTGTTAAGACCGTCGACAATTTACGGATAGTGTCGGCTTTCTCATTGGTGACGGAGTCAAACGTTTGGTATGAGCACGCATTACGAGAACTATACAGCGAGACACAGTGTTAGATCGCGTACGGTAACTATTTTTGGCCCCTTTTCAATGTGTCGGACAACCCAGGATGATCGAATTATCCAGTATGGATGACATTGGTTTATTGTCCCCACATCGGTTCAATGCGGGTCTTATAATTTTACCTCTTACAGGCAGCAGTTACTAGTAAGTATTTTTATCTATCCAGGCAACAGCATTTTCTCAGGTTTATAAATACACCAGTATTATTCTGGTTCTATACTCACATTCGTATCTTATTAGTCCTTTTTTCTTATGCCTTTGCTCAAGATGTCGCATCCGCCACAACCTCCTCCACTCCCGTCGCTTTATAAACCCGAGGAGCAATTTCAGGCCAGTACCGACCTTCCACCATTTGTTGTAAAGCGAGGTGATAAGGAAAATGGAGATTTGGAATTTGAGTTCCCCAAGTCTAATCCCAAATCCGGCTCAGTCTCATTGCGCGTTGTTATCAACCAGTATCTTGGTACTCCTCATGCATCAAGGGCCCATGCCGGTAAAATCTTCAACATACTTGGCCGCCTCCGCTGCCTTCAATATGCCCTGAGAAGATACAACTATGGCTTAGTCGAACGTACACCCGACTTCCTGAAATATTGGCGCCGACATACTCTGCACCTTCTATCTGGATTCGGCATCAACTCAGTGCATAATCATGGTGCTGTTCATATCGCCGGCCTTGACGACTTGATTGTGCAAATTGAAGATATCTATCAAAATGATATTCGCGAGTATGACACTCTGATAAGCCAAGGCATGACGAACTTCCAAGGATTGCTTGAACTTTTCAGACCTGATGTTCCTGTCAAGGCTTCGTCAGTGGCTGGGGGAACCCCGTGTGTCTTTCGGGTGACAGATGCCTTTTTCTCAGAGCGTCGCAATGCTTTCGGTTCGTCTTCCAAAGACTTTCATGTCACTCTAGAAACTGTAGTTGCTGTCGGTGATCACTTCTCGGTAGCTACCTTTACAGAAGTGTTCTCTGGCTGGGTCGGAACGCAGCCACGGGCCTTGTCTGACTTGACCTACCAGCCAGTTGCCGACACTGAACAAGACACCCTTCTGGCACGCGCAGAGAAAGCTGTCAGGTTTGGAACAGGTGGTGCAAAGTATCTCGCCTATGCTCCGAGTACCTTCATCCTTCACCCAGCTCGAACTCGGAACAAGTCTACTATGTCTCAGTCAACGCACAGCTCGACTTCTCTTTCAGGCGGCCGCATCATGGTCGATATGGCTAGAAGTGCATCTCTAGGTCATCACCCTTGCCAAGGCGTGGATGGGGCCACTCTAGCAATCATCCAACTCTCATCACGATATCGACATTGGATGTCTAACAGTGACCGTTCTGGTTCAGTTGATGACGATTCTCTGTATCTATGGAATGATGTACCAAAGGAACTCTTGATTACCTGCTGGCCAGCTTTGGTTGGATTCAGCTTCTCTGCCAAGGCTTGGGGCCATGTTCTCGTCGATGGCCTCTCGGAAATCAATTTCCAGAATCAGGCCTTCGATCGACTTGTCCTTTCACATGAACGCAAGCAACTCATTCGCGCCGTCGTTCGATGTGGAACATCTCTAGACGTTCAGGCTCAGGATCTTATCAGCACCAAACAAGGCGGTCTGATTTTTCTGCTTCATGGTCCACCAGGTGTTGGTAAAACGCTCACGGCAGAAGCAGTAGCGGAGTTATTGCACCGCCCGTTGTACTATGTTACCATGGGGGAGCTTGGAGTAACCCCAGACGATCTAGAGACTAGGCTCAGTGATATTCTGGCCATATGCGCTGAATGGGATGCCCTGGCGGTTCTTGATGAAGCTGATGTTTTCTTGGAAACTCGCAGAACTTCTGATCTGGTGCGCAATGCCATGGTCTGCGTCATGCTTCGGATGCTGGAGTACCATCCCGGCATTCTATTCCTTACGACGAATCGGGTGCGAAGTCTTGATCCTGCTTTTGAGAGCCGAATCACGCTGTCCATTCGTTATGAAACCCTTGGCCGCGATGCACGTGAGCAAATCTGGAAGAACCAACTCAATGATCACTCTGGGGTCGATACCCAGACTATAAACTATGGAGAGCTAGCTGACCAGCAGCTGAATGGTAGACAGATTAAGAACATGGTACGCTTGGCGCTGAGCTTAGCTATGGATCAGAAAATCATGGTCACACAAAAGGTGCTACTGGAAACTGTCAAAGTAACAGCGCTTGGACTTGAGGATATGAAAGCGGATAACACTTGGGAAAGCTTTACACATGAGATGTAGTTAAGGTGTATTTTGATTATTGAAACTGTTGGCCTTTCGCAAATCTCCTCCATAGTAAAGAAGCGCCCACTCGGCGGACGTTTCTTTACTGCCTTTGTTATCTTACGTATTTATGTATTGATAAGTGGTTCCAAGATGGAGTAACCAATAGTGGGACGGTCGCTGAATTACAAGTACTCTCAAGTCTGGGGAAACCTCCTTCCCTTCCTCAAATTCTTGAATGACCTGTACATGCACTCTTCTTTCAATGGTGTAAACTCGCTGATACTTGTCAAAGTCAGTATTCAACCATAAATAACCCGAGAGCCAAGCCCTTCTTACCAGTCATGACTGCTATAGTCCATATAGTTATGAATAGTGTCAAGTCCCGGCTGATCAGGGCAAGAATCCGCACCCTTTGGACAACCAACAGAGGCTTCCAGAATCGCAGGAGTATCATCAATGAGATCACCATCGCCTGTACAACTGTACCCTCCAAAAACTTGGAATAGACCTGTCGTGATTCCGAATTTTTGAGCCCACTCGGAGGCGCTTTCAATACGAAGACGATCTTGTGTTGCGGCTATACTTTTTTGCTTCGGATGTGTAAAATTAAAGATGATGAATGTTGTGTCTATGCAAGAATAAGATTAAGGGATTTGTTGGCTTACTATACTCGGAGGTACTTATCTTCACTCTACATGCTACAAAGTAGTGTGTCGGCCAACAACGTTAGACATCTCTGCAACATAGCTAGCAGTGACGCATTGGCCTCCAGGAAACACTGATCTCAATCCTTATGTAACTTTATCAGGATAGATTGTCAAGCTTATTATGTGCTCAGCAACTCAGTACATATCTTGTTTTGGATGTTGATATCAGTTTTCACTTTCAACCTTGCTACCAATAGTATTTGGTTGTAAGCAATTGACTGGATAACAGTTATCCCCAATTACGCGCGCGCCTACCTACAGTGCCTATCCCATCCTCTCGCAGCTATTAGGCGTTTTTTTTTTTTTTTTGCCACTGTTGTCTCTTACCTCAGCGTCTATAGTTAGCCCAATCTCCAATTCTGCATTTATCCTTGTTTATTTCTTCGAATATAATTTGATGTAATTGTAATTTGAATGACATAATATTTCCCAGCTGAGGATGGTTTTCATCAGAGCCCAACTTCTGCCATATCAGGCTGCCTCTGCTCCTTTTTGACCCTACATTCTCTAACAAACAATATGGCGGACCCTTTGAGTGTGGCTGCGTCAATCGCTGGACTTATTTCCATCACTGTAGAAGCGGTAAAATTCCTCAGTCCCTATGTTTCTGCTTCAAAAAGAACGCCCCACATCGCCGCACACGTCTACTCTGAAGTTCAGAGCACGCAAGTGATTCTGATAGGCCTTCAAAATCTCACTAAGAACCTTGGCTCTATCAAAGCCCAACACGCTGCACTCATCGGGGTTAACCAAGTCATTGCGATCCTTACAGACGGCGTCCTTCTTTATTCTGAACTGCAAAATGAGCTACGGTCTCTACCAGGGCAAGAAGATATTGACGAAAGACTTACCCTCAGAGGTCGCTTACTGTGGGCTCGAAAGGAAAGCACATTCGTCACTCTCCTCCAAAGACTGCAGAGTTTCAAAAGCTCGACGTCGCTTGTTTTGATGATCTTGCAAAGGTACGAAATGCCCGCCATGTGTCGTGTTTGTCATTGGTTGACCACCTACTTAGTGACTCAGATCAGTCAGCAAAGCAGCATCAAGAGCAGCTCTGCAACAACGTCCAAGCACTCCTGGAGAGTAATAATGCTTTAGCGCGGCGCCTGATGAACCTAGAAGACTCTTTGGATTTTCGGAGTACTGTTCTAAGAAGGACGAGTTTTCTCTCACCATTGACGCCCAGCGACCCACATACATCATCGAGGCGCCTTAGCACCGAGACCAGTCTTCGTATACCAACCCTTGCTTTCGAAACGGCCCTTAGGGCATCACGCGTGTATCGTCGCGCGAAACGATACAGTATGGACTTTTCATTCCGTAGTTCAGTCGCAAGATCCCGCAACTGGTCAATTCTCTCCGGCTTAAGTCTTAGCGATATCTCGAACATATCCGTTGTCGCACTTCCGATACATCGGGATGATCTTACCAACGCTCAGGATTATGATTTTGGCGATGATATACCAGTCGGTGAGGAGTTGCATCGGCCCCCCATCGACTGGCCTTTACTCGTACAATGCCTGGAGATAAAGCTCATGATGCTTCAAATCAGAGGAATGCAGAAGCATTTTGATGAGGTCCCAGACCCTCCCGATGTCTTCTTCCACCTCTGGGCTGTTCTTCCTCGTGTTAAGCCTATCCTCCTACTCCTGCGAGCCCTGGGCGTTGAGACCAGTATCTCTGTGGATCCACGTCAAGAGCTTTCGGTCAACGCAAAGAAAGACGTAATTCTACGCCTTGCACAGTATTGCATAGAAATATTGGATATGGACCCAAGAGATCTATTTACGTTTGATGACTTGATTGGAGGGGACTATTGCGGTCTTATAAGAGTATGTGCATTACAACCTAGGGACGAAGAGGACAGCTTTGCTAACCGAGGCCCAGGTAATCTCAATCTTGTCGACTCTTGTCAAGAAGCTACAAAGCTCTTCTTATCACTATCCCAAACATACCCTTTCCATTGCTCAGGACTTAATCGATGCCAACTCAACAGGTCTCCGAAGCCTCGTCTCGAGTCAACGCCAGTACGTCCGTCGGATCGTAGAGCTTGTTGAGATAAAGGATCAACTGGAAACATACATTGAGGGAATCTTCCCAAATTTGAGGCATTCTGCGAATGTTCACATCATGCTGCTTGTTCTGATGGAAAGGAATCTTTTCCATCCCCCAGCAGAGCATAGATGGTTTGTAGCATTCGACTACCTCTACACCAACACCAAAGCCGAGGCGGGACTGGTCGTCGATGATCTGATTAATAGATTTTGGATTACTGATTTAATACGATCAGGCGACTTTGAAGATGCAACATCTTTGTTGTTAAGATGCCGAGAAATCATGCCTGTGCGAGATGATCGAATGTCGGCCTATACTAATTTTCACAAGGTATTTGTTCCCGCGATAAGTCTGAGAAGCACGCATACTAATTCAATCAAGTATCTTCAAAACCAGCCCATTATTTCACGTACGCAGCATCAGGATAGCCTAGACGCCACGAGTCGTCTTGAGGCATTCCTCAAAAAATTGGAAAGAATGACAGAGTTGGACATTTAGGAGAGCGCAAGGAGAAGCCTTACTAAAGTGATGATTCAGCCTAAATACAATAACCTGATACTGACATTAGGCTGCTAATTGCAGGCGTGGACATAGATGACTCTGATATAAAAGACTCAATTGAAGTTCTTTCTCAAATGTCTGTTATGTTTCGAGGACTTTCGCTAAGTAAGTGTAGCATCTTGTCTTGGTAGCGACCTCAAATGCGCTTCGACTAGTGGCAATAGTACCATCCTAAGGCATATACAAATCCAACGTGCAATGATGGGCTGACAATGATGTCACATAAATATTCTCAATATTGTTTGCCAGCAAAAAAGTCAGATCGATTCATAGGCATCCACAGCTGATTCTTTATCTTTACCGTTGGCTGTTAAGTGGTTAGTTACTTTTGTTTCCCCTGATCAGATGTGAAGAATGTAACACAGTAGATGTAAAAATAATTGTCTAACCAATCTCTGCTTCGAACCAGACAGTACTGTCCAATTCCACTGTCTCGGCCAACACATTCGAGCTCAAGCCAATTCGGATATTGATTTTATCCACGATATTAGACAAGGACATCGAAGTGAACTCTGGTCCATCAGACATCATCGGTATCTCATGTCCAAAAACAGGATCACCGTATTCAAACAGAGCCTTTCGCCCCTTAGCGGTGAGTTTCGACACACACATCATGCATCTTGCGCGGACAGAGTTTTGAAGGCTCTGTATAGTAGTGTGGTGGGTGAATGGTTGGTTGTGGAACTCGTCATCTGAGGATTCTAGCTCCCATTCAGCTGTGTGTATGAGAATCCTTTGGCATGACAGACAGATCATTGTGTCAAATAAGAAGTGTGTAATATTGCGATCGTCACTCTGTCAAGCCTGCCAAGCTATCAGACTTGATGCAGTTCTTTTTGAGCTTTGCGATATACAAGCCGGACTATGGAGTTAAAATCAGCAGACGGGCATGTCACCCAATTCTCAAACACCGCCAAAGCACAAGCAAAGGATGTCGGGAAATCTACGGCCCGGATAAACCAGCCATCATGTAATGCCAACAAGGCATTCAATATTCTAACAACCGTGCATATGTACAACCACATCAGAGGATATTGTTGGGGCGGGTAATAACAAAGGCACAGACCCCCAACATCAGTTGAATGGAATATCAATATATTCTCCTCTCTGCTTAAAAGCAGTACTGAGCGTTGTAATACGAGTATTAGCTGTACTTGAATTTTCAAACACATGTCAGATAAAGCGGGGAAATAATATACTCATGTAAAGATTCTAATATATCTCACGGTGATCTACTGTTTACATCTTCATTTGCGGTTGGAAGTTTAAGATAGTTACTAGAAAACATTACCTTGTCTCTCAGTATTCCGTCGAGATCACCATACAGTCTAAAGCCACAAAGTTGATGCAGCACCAGCAAATATCCTGAGATTAAGAAAGAAAACAAATACTGAGGCCGACCTTGAGGGCTCCTATACAAGTCAAAGGAACATGTGTGATCATTCTGGACATATCTTCACCCCTAGGACAGGCCTGCATGGTTCTCTGTATTAAGAAATAGCGCCGATATAATGACGAACAAACACCCAATATAGCATTTACTACTGAGCCTTCCCTTTCATTCTGCTCCACCAACACGCCCACCCTTTTTCTTCTTCATAAAATGTGATAAATGCGACTAGTACAGATTCTCATTTACCCAATCTTTCAATTATCCAGACATTTGAGGGTAGTTGAGATGACTTCCGACGAGGGATTAGAAATAGTGACAAAACCGCCAAAAGAGCCTTTTTCGTTGCTAATCCAGATCCTGAGCTGGCCGTCGTCGCCATTATAACTGAAGGTGACTGCAGGGTTTGCACACTCGTAAACGTTTTTCGAAGTAAAAGGTTTGGCTGTGTTCTTCTGAGGGTCTTTATTGAGTGGGGGACATCGAGTGTCAATTCCTTCAGAATACAAGCGGAAGGATACGTTATTCTTATTGTCCCGGTCGATGTAAGCACCAGATAGACTGGCGGGAATTTCGTTTATTTGACAGTCTCTCACGTTGAGGTAGGGAGCGGCAAGAGAGCTTGGAAGTAGAAGGTTCAGCAACAAAAGAGGAACAAACATGGTGTCGAGATTAAGGTGAAATAAGAAAAAGAAACAAGTTTTATTCAGCGTGTTTATCTTGTATACTAGTTTGCTATCTGGATACCAAAGCACCAGTGAGCTGAACAATGGGATATTTATATAAAGATTAGTCTTAAGTGTTTCTCTCCTTGACTTACGTGCCCTGATCATATGCCGTTGCCACGTTCTAAAAACTTTTATAAGCGATCTGTTACATTCGGAACGCCGGAGATGAGTGACACGGCCTAATGTGGAGGCATTGTGAGGTAGTATCTAAAGTGTAAATACGGAGTAATGCTTGTTCTTTTAAGGTTATACCCCATGCAGAGTAATCTACTATCTAGAGGATCCACAGGATCGGATGTAATATACAAATAAGGGATAGTTCAATATCCTCTCGGGAGTGTAGATAGATCATCTCCGACGCCCCTGTTCAAGCCGGTTGTACCGCTCGGATGGCCCACAAGAGTGTGTAACGGGCCAACAGGCCAACGGGCGGTTTTCGGCACCTAGTCAGAAGTGCTCCCCACCACTAAGGCAATTAACTTTAATCCATGCCGAGCTTGTGTTGATCTGTTGTTTTATTGAGAAGAACGATAATTGCTTTTCACAACCTATCACTAAACGCAAGGAAAAAAACACAAAAACCAAGAACTAGAACCAGTTCGCATAACCTTCATCGACTTTGTATTTTGCAAGTTCCAAGTATGGACGCAAATGACCTTGATAACAAAACCCCTGAACCAGCGCAGATTGACCCCGAACCGGTCCCCGCGCTGAACGATCCCCCAATAAGCAGCTGGACCAGGCATCATAGTCGTACTTTGATAACGCAATGGCGTCATGAGATTTCATGACGGGCGCCACAGGTGTTAACATCCTCTTTCCTAACACCAAGTTTGGCGCATTTAGAAAGCTCTTTCCAGGCCGACTTTCCATCTACCCTGGCTTGTCGAAGTAAAGCAGTAAATGACGCTATAGTGGACTGGGATCTAGTAGTCTCCTTGTTAAAGTGGTTGTTCTGATTAACCACAAGGATGAAAGAGGACGAGAGATCGATGACTGGTCCGTCGACCATTCTGCGGAGGGCTTCCTCAAATTCTATTACGACTTGCTGTTAGCACAAATGTCCATTCATAAGATGAGACTTGCCTCTAATGCCAGGAGCTCTTCTGAAGTGGCTTGGGTTCTGGTGCCCAGGCTATCAGAGGAATCAAGAGTTTCAGAAGTACATATCGTAGCAGTGGAGGCGACATCTGAAGAACTATTTCTTCCTTGGAGCGTTTTTGGCGGAGGAATATAGCGTTTCTGAAGTGCGCATCGTAGAAGTAGAAGCGCTATCCGAGGTAGAGCTATTGGCGCCACAGCGAGCACTTGCAATGGCGGAGACAATGCGTAGAGCGTCAATGACTTCTGATATTTCGATAGTGGGAGGAGGAGTCATGTTAAATTGAAGAGAAATGTCTATGAGTTAATATTTCGATGTGCTGAGAGATGCCCACGACAATGTTGAGAGATGACGATGATATTGTTGAGAGAATCAGGAATCAGGAATGGGTTTTATAGGTGACTCTTTACCAGAGCGACAGTGAAGGTAGTATTTTTCTTTGAATGGCTTTTTATTGAAAGATATTTCTTTTAATCAAAGAACCTTGGTGTGGATTGTTGTTTGTTACGTAGGCAGGCGAATGCGCTGGCGCATGAAAGGCTAATAAACTGTATTGTATATGCTTCCTGCTTGTTTGTTTTCCTTTCGTTGTGATTATATAACCAAATGTTTCTCTTTGCAGCTTTCTACTATCTGGTCAATGTTTGGTCTCAAAGAAAAACCCGCAACAAACATCGCACCTACTGGGATGATGAAAGCCCATGGGTGACGTGTCTAATTGGCATTTGAACAAACTACCTTTGCAGAGCCATCCTCTCGTGTTTTACTCAATTATTGTCTTTGGCCTATTTTACAGCGGAACAGAGAGAAAACAAATAAATTAACGTCTTGGCACCTACTACTAGACATCAAAGAACAACGATTGCCAAATGAGTGAGACAAGGTTTATATTTACGTCGCGCAAGAGCCCATGCGAGGCAAAGCAAGTGTTCGTGATCAATGTCGACGGTCGGACCTACATTCAAAAGCTCCCAGTCAGCATGGACGATTTCCAGAAGGTCGATTAAGCAGAGATTACCTTTTGCTTGAATGCGACCTGCGCTAACCGGGTGTCTCTGTGCCACAAAACACAGGACGGAATTTAAGGTATTTGCCTTTGATGATTAAACCGGAGTGCATAAGGAAATCCCTCCTGCAGCGTAAAAAGACTAAAACAAAGACTAAAGTGCAATGAATTTGTCTTTTAACATGTTTGCTCCGATGCCTGCTATTCTTTGTATTATAATTAGAGTAACAAACTCTGAATATCCTCAAGACAACCTGGAACATCATGTCGGCTGACAAGAGACACCCTAGATTGTCAGATTGGCGATGGTGGGTTTTGTGCCGATGAGGGGCAGCATACGGTCTGCCTCGTCAGTGCGGACTTGTATGGTTCCCGGGAGGCAGACAAGCTGATTACCAGAAACAGGACCATGGTTGCAATGTCGAGTCATTGATTAGTAGGGGCGGCGCGGGCACATGCACTAGATGTTATATATTGAAGTAATAATACGACAGAGTCAACGCGGTATGGCCAAAATTGAGTCTGTTGTAAAAAAACCGAAATATTACAACCTGATCGCACTATTCCAATGCAACGTGCCCAGTCTGCCTGTAAGGTTCGATCCCAAGAAACAAAATTATGTCCCTCACGGCATATCTAAAGAACCTTATCAGACTGTTAAGCATAGCTCAGCTTTCACTTTAGAGGTTTACTCGGCGGATCAATCCACTGAAGGTCCCCTGTGTTAAAATTAAGCGCATCTTGGCATTGTGCGTGAGCCTCAATTGATTGAACATTGCTATCGGGAACAAGTTCCATTGCGACGTATGGCCTCTTCTAATGCTCGATACTCTTTTTAAAAAAATTATTGTTTTGATTTTTTCTGATACATTCTGGCGATTATGGCGTGCTGCAGCTCTTTGTGTTGTGCCACAGGAGGTAAAATCGAGTGTCTGATGAGACTCCTCTAATCTTGGCTCAAGGCTGTCCCTCAGCCTGGCCGGACTAACCCTCTCCCGGCCCCGAACTTCTCCACCTTTGCCAATTCACGCTACTCGTTCACAATCACCTTCATCTTCAATCATCCTCCCCTTCGCCCTCCTCGCAATGCCGCCTCCACGCCGCAACGTCCCTCCCATCATCCCGCGCTCAACAACACTCCTCGAGGGAACCCCAAACATAGCGCTACACCCGTTATAAAATTCCGGATTATACCCACCGAGAGCGAGAGCGCTCCTCTCTGTGGAATAACCGGGGCGTGTAGAGGGTGACCTGGACTCGGAATCTCGCAGTTCTACTGGAGTTCCGGGGCGACCTGGCAGTTCTACTGGAGGTCCTGGGCACCCGCCAGCGAGGCTTGGTATCTCCCTCGCGGTTGCGTTGTTGGCCGTGCTGTGCAGGTAAGTTCTTATTTCGTCTACTAATCTTGCGCTATGGCATGCATCGCCATCAACGAAACAACAGCTGTCGTCGAGTGGCAATGGGAGAGTGCCACGCGTAACTTAGCGACCGCCGATCCCGATCACGACGCGATACGATTTACCTTGCGACTCGACCCCGCGAGTCGATACGGTGCGCACTTCGAAATCAGCATCCCCTTCAGATTCAAGGATAAGCCAGCTGGGGCGGGCGTATGCCTCCGGATAAACCCCTTCTTCATCAAGTCCTTCGCCTATTCCGATGTGCCGACCCCGCCCGATGCCGTAAAACAGATCTTCGACGCGACTACATACCTTGACTTCACACTAGATAACAGAATCACCATTCTTGTTCCTAGCGATGTTGAGGAGCCGGTTGTAGCAGCGCGTGCGAGGTCAGGCAAGGTCCTCGACTTAATACACGAGCTTTCTTGTATTACGTCCCTGCGCATCTACATCCAGCAGTCTCTACTGTCGCCCGATGAGCTCAAGTCCATCAGCGAGGCTGTAGAACGACGTCAAATCAAACCATCCTCCGACCCAGACTATGACATCTCACGAATGTTCAGCGGCAGCGGCGCAAAAGTCACAACCATTCCTCCCCCCAAACCCCCTTCTTACAAGAAAGCGACGAAAACCCAACCTCCCCCGAACGCTCCGTCTAATCGCAAACGGCCCCGACAAGACAGCCATCCCGAATTCTTCAGCCAGTTCTGGGATAAGCTCCAGAAGCTGGAAGCCAAGGTTGACGACCTGCAAACCGACAACGCTAAACTGAGAGCCGATAACGCTCAGCTCAAAGACAAGGTCGCGCGCCTGGAGAAGAAGTATGAAGGATTGGAGCAGGGAGATGCGGAGGAGACTGTGATGATAGAAATACGAGATGATATCAGCTCGCTGGATCATAGAGTGACGTGTATTGAGGACGCGAGAGATGAAGACTTTGAGGACATAAAGGGAGGCGTTTTTGATGAGTTGGCGAAGCGATTGATAGGTGGATGAATGATGATTATCTTACGGTATGTTCTTGGTTGGAGTTCCGAGGCACTTTACTGATGGGTGTAGATTTATTAGATATGAGCGACGACACTGTCAGACCTGATGAATAAAACGACGAGACGAACCGCATATGTTCTCCCAATGTCCACTCCAACAAACTGCATTTACCGTAAGAGCCGAAGGACAATCAGCCCTCGAGGTTGCTGGTTGGAGTTCAAGACATGCAGCGGAGTAACTTGATCACGTCTCAGCAGGCTGTCGCCCCCGGAGTCATGATCCGATCATCCACAGCTGGATCCCACCCCAGTACGTTTGCTGCAGCCTTGTCTGTGTCGAAGAATGCGAAAGACGTTATTGCTGTAGCCAGTAAGTGTCTGGTGTCCCTGTCAGTTGCAACACCGCTGACCTCGGTAGCTACAGCAACGACTGGGCATACACGACGTCCCTGGAGGAATGGCTTCCTCCCATTCTTGCGATATCTTCCCCTCGACGATAGATCTCGTGGTTTTTCCCATCTCAAGATGGAGCAGTTGACAAGGAGAGGTGTATTTAACACACGTAACGAGTCGTACACGTATAGTCATTAATCTAGCCACCCTAACGATGGTTTCACAGTAAGGGAATTAAATCAAATGAGATAGTGAGTCTCTGACTAAGTACTACTGCCTTGTTCATCCAAACTTTGCATGTGCGAACCCTGATAGTCTTTCAGACGTATTGTAATAGCTGCACTTGCCGCTTGAAATCTCCGAAACGAGTTCATGGAAGACCCTCGAGAGGATCCTGACGCTGGTGATCGAGTTATCGTAGGATTGTTGCTCAGTGAGCTGAGGTATCTTTGACGACCGTGTGAAGAGCTTGTGGAGCGCGAGGATGAATTATTGGACTTGTTGGAACCAAGACTAAGAGATTGGGTCATTCGGACATCTGTTTGCAAGGGTGTAGCCTGGGGCGAAGTCTCCTGGACGGAGGAGTGATGTTTTGCACTATCCATGCTATGTCGAATCACGTTATCTAGAACTCTCTGTTGGAAGTTCTGGACACGTTTAATTGATCCGTTGTCCTCTGGTTCTAGTTCGGACCATGTGTGATGTTTGGTAAAGTGCTGTAGAAATTCTCTCTTGAAATGTCGCGTTGGGAGGTCTGCTTCCAACAAATCCTCGATTGTCTCCAGATAGAACAAGCTAATGAATTGTTTTGTGACATATTCTGATGCAAATTCTTTCTTCAAGTGTTGGTGGGAGACGGTTGTTTGATGAACAATCATCCGACAAATAATAGCCAGGAAATGAGTAGGTGATATACCTGATATCTCGACTTGCTTCCACCAGGACGATGAGATTGAAGTTTCCTGCTGTGCATTGCCCCAAACGAAGGCAAACAGGAATCCAGCCTCTTGCCACGTATCAAGACGACTTTCCTTTCGCATCAGTCTACTAATCTCCTGTGAAATTGCAGCATCACTTGCGTGTCGAAATAAGCTGTCAAATTGTACAAGAACATGACTTGAGACGCCTTTTTCGACCAACTCAAGGCACTGCTTACAAACCCTCAGGCACATCTGAAAGGAATATAGAAATTCTCCATCGCCAATATCCAATTTTTCAAGAAGATCGCCTGTGGTATCCCTCTGACCGGACTCTTGTTGTAAATGAAGGACGGACCACATACTAAGGGAACAATTTGGACTTGCTACGAGCTCATCCCTGATCTGGCGAAGTCGGCCAAGATGCCTCTGAGCATGGTTCTCTCGGCCTTGTATAAGGGAATAGATGCTGGACAAATAGGCGTGAAAAAGCATTCGATCTTGCGCAGATGTATATGGCAAGACTGATGTCTTATCTGCGTCCCCTTCTGCAGCTTCAAGGAGATGGAAATCTCGCAGCAGATTGATAGCCGATTGACCCATGCTCGGTGATTTGGCAATCCTCATAAGATCCAAAAACTGACGTATAAGATTCTCATCAGCGGCAATCTTGTCACTAAAGTGGATGTTTCCCGCAACACAATTAAAAGAATCTTGAAAGAGGTAGCAGCATGCCAAATAATCTAAGTACAACTCTGGCGTCGTATCACAGATCAGAAGAGTGTTTTGTTTTTGGTCCAGAACCCGGGGGGTCGAACATCTCGAAGTTAATGAAATCTGAGCTTTGGGTGCGCTCGAAATACGTATTGGACTCTTGACATCCGCTGGGTGGCACCGGCTGCTCGATCCTCTGGTTTTCCGGTGGCCCTCTTGGGCCTCCATCAAGGTATCTCCAGTTTTCTGAGATGGCTCCTTGCATGAATCCTCGTCATTCTCGGTGTTTTTGGGAATGTGGGAATCTGGACTAAGTGTATTGACAGTGTGGAAAAGAGATTCGTTCTCATCATCTGCGCCTAAAGCATCAACCTCGATATCAAATATCGCGCCCAATGGCTCAGATTCCGGCGAAATAGTTGCTTCAAGAGCCTGGACTATTGTCTGGGCCTGGCGAGGTTGCTTATAAAGACCCCAGCGCTTTGTTGCTTTTGCAAACTGACTGGTACTATATGATCTCTGGTCAGCAACCATGATCGTATATTGTACAAATGGAATTGACCTACGTCAATGTAAACCCGTGATTATCCTTGAGATAACTAAGTACCTCTAGGCGAGTCATGTTTTGATCCAAGTATAGGTGTCGGATGATGTTTTTGTACTCATCGAGAACATTTTTCGGCACGTCTTGGGCCCGGTCTTGTCGCCTATAAACCCATGTCAATCTTGACGAGGCCATGGTGCCAAGCGGCAAGAGATCGAGGCGGAAAATGATATTATGATTCGATTCGAGCGTGTAGATGACAATGCTACCAAGTCTGCTGGTGAAAAAGGAGACAATAAACTAGTCTCTTCATTCTGTTATATGTTCGATCATTTGCACATTGAGGCTACATGATGGGCAGGGGTATCGGCTTGAATTTCGGCTTCCGATTGGCCAATCGCTGCTTAGGAGGGATAGTTCACACTAAAATTTCTTTTTACTGGTGACTCTAAACCAAAAGCAGAAATTCAACTCTGGATACCAAGAAGTGGCTGTTTGATCATCTCCCCTGTTGCCTGTCTCTATACTCAATTTCATCCCTTGATTCGCGGCGCTAATCTTTAGAATGGCCAGAACCGGTAAAGATAGTAGCTTCTGTCAGCGCGGTTGGCCTCCGGGATGTTTGTTCCGCATGGACGTATCTAACGTATCTCTGATTAGGCTCTTGCAGTGAAATGAAGCGTTTCCTTGCTTGGTTAAGCTCGACAGGCTGGGGTGACCTAGTGTAAAGCCGCAAGTATGTTTTCACGCCGGAATGGCCCAATGTGTCATCGCATTGAAGATGCCTCGCAGTCCGCCATATGCCGTCGCAGAAGACCAGCTCAGTCCTTGTTCTGGTCGGAAAAAACATTCCATGGTGGCCTACGTCTACCAAATGGCAAATACAAGGAGAACTCCTACATCGTCCGCCGCGAGCACCGCTCCATCGTATGACACCCCGCCTTAAAAGGTCGCTTGCGTGGACCTTGGGCCTAGACCATGTAATCTTTGCTAACAAACCCATTCAAACTCTAGATGCGACCGATGTCGACGCCGGAAATCAAGATGTGGCCGTGGGTACCCGTCGTGCCAAGGGTACGTCACAAGTCAGGTGACCTGCCAGTATGGCAACCGCCGATGCCCTGGCTTTGCTCCAGGACATCGCCAAGTTCTTGAATCAAGAATCCGTAAGTCGAGTGCAATGGAGTAAAGAGTTCACCTATCCCCATCCTGATTCTCAAGCTTTACTTCACATCCTACATCCACAGACCTCGGCTGATAGCCTTTTGGTGTCCCGACAGGGCAGTTGGAAGCGCAGTTAGAGGGTTCTCAAAGCGGAAGAGCAGGGAATCCCCATACTTTCATCGAGGAGTCCAGTGGTGGGAACCACGAAACCCAAATGATGTCTGCGGGGGAACAAGCAACCCGGGCTTCACAAGTCGGAACTCAAGGGCCTACGCCTGCTTCAACTCACGAGAGCAACTCCGGAGGCCCAGAAAAGCCAGAGGCGGTGCTGAAGCCCAGTGACTGGGTATTCCAAGGCACATTTGCACGAACCGCATCCTTGGAGGAACGAAAGCCGCCTTTAGACCTCATCGTGTCCTCTACTTCGGTCTTCTTTCGTCACATACACCCGTGGTTTCCGTTTTTAGACTCCCACTTAGTCCTGCACGATCTCGCCGATTTACGTGAGCCGACACTCTTATACTACGCCATATTCGGTGCATCGATTCCTTTTCTTTATCACCCACGGCTCAATAATACACAGAGTGACTCGTTCTGGAAATACACTAAACGGCGCATCTTTATTGAGGCGTCAGAGGAGCCCTCCTACGCCGCTCTGGAAGCTGCTACAATCTTGACTCTTGATTTGTCGGGCATGACAAATGGCCCGCAGGTTTGGAGCCGATTGGCCGTTGTTGCACGTCTGGCTGCACAACTACGGACAGCAAGTGGAAGAGTTCTACGACAGAGTGTATCTGGTGGTTCACGAGATGGTCGGCTTGCCACTACCCGACCAAGCGCGCGACAGCGTGCGAAGCTCTTCTGGGCAATCTTCGCTCTAGATTCCTTCATTTCTATAACTACAAGTCAACCGACTTTGCTGACCGAGCACATTCTGCGCCCGTTTCGCCCAAGCCGGGAAGCCACATGGCTCCATGAACCCTCACACCCGTCTGCCTCATGTTCAGCGAGCTATGGCAGTGCCGAGCCTTCCACGTACTCAGTATCCGCTGCGTTCTTCAAGCTCTTGCAACTCCTTGACGTCTCTCGAAGCTATCACGATTTATATTTAAGTTATATCACGTTAACAGGAAATGATGAGTCCGGAACAGTCAGCTGGCTGGATTCCTTCTACAGCCTCTCTCATGCCGCCGACAACTGTCTTCGTGGCCTCCCGCCGTGGTGTCGGTTGCTTCTTAACACAAATACAACTGCCTCTTATGCAAGTCAATATTCGTATACTCGAGGAACCGAACGGTGTGCTACAGCCCCTCGCATCCATGATGTACAGCCTCCAGTCATTATGATCCATGTATACGGCCATGCCCTTACTATCTACATCAATAGTCTGCTGAAATTTTCTGACCACCAGACCCTCACAACACATGATGCTAGAGTCCGAGAAAGTGCCACAGTTTCTTGTGCGAATAGCGCTAGAGCTATTATTGATATAGCGTCAATGTTTGTCAAGACACACGGAGACCGGATAGGATGGCCATTCTCATGGTCAATATGGACGGCTGCACGTTACCTCCTAACGTCGGCCAAGGCAGCCGGTTCGGTACAGCTTTCTTCCGGCTTCTACATCCTCCTAGACTCCTTGCAAGAGTTGGGGAAGTACTGGCAGATCAGCAAGAAATATTAGTGGCTTCTATATCACGCTTCCGAGAGCTTCGTGACAACGGATGTTGATAGACGAAGCCTTACATCTTCTGCAGGGGAAGCCCTTTCACGCAGGGCGGGCGAAACTCATCCACCAATTAGCTCATCCGAAAGGCCACGTAATCCTCATAGAATACTGAGCATTATCACTGACCTGCGAGTTCCAACATCAGATGTTGAAGACCAGTTCCGCGTTGATCCGGTCTTCTCCATTCCATCGACCTCCGAGGGCAGCGCGACTGGTGCTGACGGCACTTCATCCCCAGCTGAGAGCCAAAGGGAGCCACCTTGGCAAACGGAGGGTGTCGCGGCATCAGACGATACCCCTTTTTTGAATGAGCTTGCTTGCAACGAGTCTCTCTATATGTCGGATTTGTGATTTAATACACCACTGTTTGCAAGTTCTGGCTACCAGCAATTCTGCCAGGATGTAGATCATGTATAAAACGCTTTAAATATTGAAACTATATTAATCCCAGCATCAATTCCCATTATCCTTTATGAGAACTAAATTACTTTTACTTGCTGCGTTATGTTTACAAACATCCTTTCCTCTAAAAGCCAACTCGAAAAAGGAGTAAAGCTCAACAAAGCTGTACGCTAGGATGGTTGGCAACATCAGGATCCAATGCAATAGTCCTCTTGCAACACCCCAAGCACCTTTGTTATAATTGCTCTTGCCATCACAAGGCACAGGGAGATTCCAGCGGACAAGGATGGAGGCGATGAGCAAAAAGGCATATTGCGTTCCCAGGAAGATGAAGCAAATAGTCGAAAAGAGGGAGTCGCTGATAAAGAGTGGATCATGTTCAGTAGCAAAACCGTTGATCAACTGAATAATGATAGGAGAAACGACAGAAAAGATAGCGCTGGCGCAGAGAACGAGGCCATAGTAAATAAAGAAGCGAGTCGCCCAGCTGATAGAAAGGTACAATCCAGGCATTCGGTAGGTCTTGACGATAAAGTAATGAAACACTTCGCCCGCACCAATGGTCCATCGGCGAATCTGGAGTGCCCACTCGCGTATCTCGTCAGCATAGTTAGCGCCAGAGGTTGGGCCGTTGATGGAAATGAGATTCAAAGGCCTGATGCGGATTTCTCGTCTTGTCATGATGGTGTAGCGTATCAAAGCAATGATATCCTCCATTTGGTAGGCTGGATGAGTGAAAGCGCCCTCCTCGAGTAACTTGACACTGAGAGAGTAGTGGGACATGGGATTGATGTTCCAGGGGATCAAAACTCCCATGAAGAAGAAGGTTCGCAAAACACCAGTAATATCGACAAAGAAGGGCATCGAGTCGCGCTTGTAGATGATGATGGACTGCCAGATGGAGGAATGACGATCCGCAGAATCTAGCTTCAGGTACTCGGTTTCCAGCTCCAGCATGTATTCGGGATCGAAGACGGCGTCGCAGTCGCAGTTGGTAAAGATATGCTCATGTTTTTCATAGTTGTACTCAACATCTTGACGGAGAATCTGTAGGCCCTGGCGACAAGCATAGTTCATGTTGGAACACTTGCCACTGATTTCGCCGGGAACGCCCGAGGGATGGAAGGTAACGATAAGACGGAGGAACTGATTCTCGTACTTCGCATAGACCTCATCGCGTTTGATCTCCTTGTCAGGCGTCCGGCATTCCATGCCAATGATGACAGAGAGACAGGACTTGGCATCTTTTTGCTCTACGAGTGAGTCCAAGGTGGTTCGCAGCACGCTCATAGGCTCCTTGTATAGGGTCATAGCAACTATGTGACGGATGTTTGCGGAGCAGTTGGCCGTAGCGTCAGATGATTCAACATCTTGAGCTTTTGCAAGCTTGAGTTTGTTTCGGCTGTTGATGGCTAGTGTTCGACGAATGGCGCAAATGGTGGCTACTAGCCAGATGAGTTGGAAAAGACCAATGATAATGATGATAAAGACGTTGGTCACTTGGTTAACATAGGGAGTAAATGGCATCCATATTGGGAAGAGAAGAAAGGTAAAGATGATAAGAAGAAATAACAGGTTCCAGCGGACATAACGATTAGCTGCTTCCAGTTTTGCAGCGTCAATACCAGTGTCAAGGCTGTTACGCGAGGAGGATGGTGATGATGAATCCATTTTAGGAGAAGCTGTCCTTGCAGATTCTTAGTATTACTAGGGGCGAGGAAGGAATAAATACTAAAATCATTACAACTAAGCAAATATTTTTCCAACATTAAATCTCCCATCCTTTGTTATTCAGCTCTCAGTTGAAAAGCTATTGGTTTGTTCTAGCCATATCTAATAGGAAGAATTTTCAGCTGTCGTAAAACACAGTCAATAAAAATCCGCAGGCCTCATTACCAAGGGCAAATTTGTCGAGTTAGCGATTTAAGCGTGCCTGTAATGGTAAGCCCATTCAGCTGTGGCGCATTAGAGTCAATAAAAGCCCACAGGGCGCAGCGCCAGGGGTGGATAGGGTAAGGCGCGCGATAAGCATCAGCTTTAAACCAGCATCAACCCTAAATGACATGTTGACCAAGCACAAGCGAAGAGCTAAATCGTCGATTTAGCTATGCTAATAACAACAGACCCATCCAGTGTTGGGCCTGCGCTAATGAGACGCGCCGTACACCGCCACTTGTTCAGGATTCGGCAGCGGCCAATTAGCAGGGAGCATCTCCTTAAGCAACAGCAATGAACAGACGCGTTTCTTGAAGAACGGTCTCAGATCTTTGTATAATGAATTATACTACTTATTCTTTTCCACTTTCCACGTGCCCGAGGTGCAATCCCTGTAGGTCTGTGAGTAGTTTGGTATCAATACAACACATCCCTTTGGCACCCTTACAGCTCTACCTTAGAAACTGCAACATCAGACTTGCGAGGAGCATCACCACTCTCCTCAATGGAGCTAGACTCCCGAACAAGGCTCGGAGCCTTGAGATTCCTTCTCTGTTTCCAAGTAAGACCAGGTGTCTCGAATATAGTATCGATCTCCTCAAGGGTATATCCCTTGGTCTCAACGAAGAAATACCAGACAGCAACAAGCTATCAAAGACAATCAGTCAGTTGGGTTCAACCACTTCAACAAAGGCACGACGGCAAACTTACCTCGAGGAACGTGTAGACAATAAATGCAATGTAATACTTCCATCCGGCATTCTTCAAACCAATTGGGTTTACGAAAGAAGAAAAGAACCCTGCGGCGTGCATAATACCCGTCATGTAGGCAACTCCACGGGCTCGCACCTCGTAGGGAAGAAGCTCGGCCGGATAAGCCCAGAGAGGAGTCCATCCAAGGTCATAAGCGCCATTGCTAAGGAAGATGGAGACGATGACACCAATCGCGTAATTCCGTGTGCCGTGTTCGGTGTATACTGCGTCGATTGAATTAGCACGCTTTGGTCAAACTGAAATGTCATCACAGTAAGTACTCACACGCTGCAAAAGTGGTCCACAAAATGAAGGCAAAGAACATTCCGGCAGTAGAGATAATGAAGAGCTTGCGGCGACCAATCCTATCAACTAAGAATGAAGCACCAAGTGCCAAGACAAAGTTGTAGATAGACAAGCAGCCGTTGACTGTAGTTTGCTCAATGGTCTTGGTGATTCCAATGCTGTTCAGCACGGAATGGAGATAGTATTGAACCAGGCCGTTGCCGGAGATCTGGACAGACTGTTAGCAGAGGATCTCTTGGAAGGTTCACCTCAACGTTCTCACCTCGAGGAACAGACCACAAAACGTGACAAGAATAAGTCTTCTCCTATTTGGCTTGGTCCGGATAAGATCAAGATAGCTGCCCTGCTCCTTATACTGTGCATCTTTGAGGATGGCTTCCTTTATCTGTGTGTATTCAATCTCCACGATGGGATTGCTCTCATCACCATTGGCATGATGCTTTACCAGGAAGCTCCGGGCTGCTGCGCCATTACCCTTGGAGATGAGCCAACGAGGACTTTCGGGGATAAACCAAAGAAGGCTGATCTGGATGACAGCAGGGACAGCTTGAAGACCACTGGGAATACGCCAAGAACGGGAGTCCTCGATGAATTGAGTACCATAGGTTGTCCAGGCTGCAATAATGGCTCCCGTGTACCATGCGGTAGGAAAGTAGGACAAGATGGTTCCACGGTGCTTTGGAAGGGCCAGCTCGGCAAGGAGCAGCGGGGCGCCTACAACAGTGAAAGCAAGGCCGAAACCGATGATGAACCGGGAAATGACGAATTGGGCAATGTGCTTAGAGGTTGCCTGTAGGATCGCGCCAAGTAGAGTCCATGAGGCACCGAAGGCAATGGACTTGCGACGTCCGACTTTATCGACAACCCAACCAATGAAAGGCAATGCCAACATGGCTCCAACCGTCTGGATAGAGTTGAGTAAGCCCAAAACTGGTCCTTCGGGATGGTCAAATTCTGCAGTTGGGGTGCGGAGTCAGTCTCTTGTAGTTTACCGTTACGATCTACCCGGGAGTCGAACGTAGTGACACTTACCTTCTTGCCACGAGGGCAGCAACTGTAAACCATTCATGATCATGCCATCGAAACCTTGATATGAACTGCTGAGGATGACAACTGGCAGCCAGAGGTAGAGTTTCCTCAAGCCGGCATCATTCCACCAATGGGTGGATGGACCAAGTGCATCTGCCATTGTATACAACGTTTGTTCTGGAGATTTGCTGCTAGATTCAAGTGACAGTTGGAGATTTACTTGTAATGATAAAGGATATAAATAAACAGAGAAAGTAATAATTACTGTGAGTCTACTTCTCTATTTATTGAGAGTGTCATCAAGTGGTTAACCATATTGCTTTATCATGTTTGCTGTTGTATCTGCTAGACTGGACCCCGTCTCCAGCACTCTGGGACTGCAAGTGGCACACCAATAGACACGCCACTAACATATTTTAGAGCGTCACGCAATAATGAGGCTGAATAGTGAGCAGTGCAGAACCAACAGACATTTCTTCAAAATCGCCTTCAACCACAAGACTAACACGCCAAGAACAGGGTCGCGTAGTCTAGCAATCTTCTAGCACCAGAGAAGATACGATGCGTCCAGGGCAGCAAGACGTCGCACTTCTCATTGTCGCGGAAATCAATGTTGAGTGCGTAGTCAAAAAGCTCCGACCATGGTCAGCCAAGTCCGAAGGGGAGGATAAATTGCCATTTTACTCCGAACAAGGGTCGGACATTTTAACAGCTCCACCAACCGTTGAGTGCACATCCCGATCGCGCAATGCCGCGACGCTCTGTAGCGATACTCTTGTATGAACAGGTAATCAATTGAAACTCGGAGATTAATTGACCTGCAAATGGAGTGAGCCAACCCCTCTTAAGGCACCCAAGTCGAGTGATTCTCTAGCGCGACTCCAACCAATCACCAGCATCGACGTGCTGTCCCAGTCAACATCACTTCTATCTGAATCCAGTCTAAGTCACTACCAGCTTGACTTACAGCAACGCTGCTGAGGTGAAAATAGCGAGAAGACTGAGGGCTTGCTGGGAACTTGGCTCATAGTCTCTACCGATTGATCTTGTTTTATCATTTGTTATCCAACTTTGGTCTAGCTTCTACTACAGCAAGCAGCATCGAAGATGTCCACGCCTACCGAAGGGTCGGTCCTCGAAACCCAGAAAGATGCTGCGATTGAGGTATCGGTCCCCAAAGGCCTCGATCCAGAGGGTCTTGATGCCATTCGGGTGCTTCTTCAGAGTCAAGCTCTAGGCGGCAATGATACACCAAAACAGATTGGCGTATCTTTCAAGCATCTCTCGGTGACAGCCCCATCAGGAACCCAGGTCCAGGTCAAGACTCTGCCTCGAGCCATCCTCAACACCTTTGGGCCCGACCAAGTTCGATTTATTAGAGAACAGGTCTTGGCACGCATCAGCCCTCGAAATTCTGTCCCTGAGGGGAAGACAATCCTCAATGGATTCTCGGGCGTTGTCAAACCGGGGGAAATGCTTCTTGTCCTGGGACGCCCAGGTAGTGGATGCTCCACGTTCCTCCGCACTGTCGCCAGCCGATCTAACCTGGCCACTACCGGTGACCTCGAGTACGCCAATGTATCTTCTTCTGTCTTCAAGCGTGACCATGCCAGGGAGACCATCTATCTACCTGAAGAGGACAGGCACATTGCGTCCTTGACCGTCAGGCAGACGATCCAGTTTGCTCTCCGCAATTCTCTCCCGACAGATGCTCGCAACACGAAGCTCGTGGCAAGCCTGGTTGATGTTATCGCCAAGATCTGCGGCCTCTCACATGCTCTCGACACTCCTGTTGGTGGTGCATTCTCTCCCGGTGTCTCGGGCGGAGAGAGGAAACGGTAAGAGAGAAACCCCAACCGCATCGTGAATATCATGCCTGACTTTCGACCTTTTAGTGTTTCCATCGCCGAGGTCCTAGCAGCTGGCTCCTCGGTCCAATGCTTCGACAATTCGACCCGTGGCCTCGACTCTTCAACGGCTCTGGACTTTGTAAAGGCTCTAAGAGCCTTCACCGATATCGGTCACAAGACAACTCTTGCAACACTTTACCAAGCCGGCGAAGAGATATACCGAAATTTCGACAAGGTTGTCGTTCTCTCGGAAGGATACGAAGCCTTTTTTGGAAGCACGTCCGAGGCCTGGAGCTATTTCCATAACCTTGGATTTATTCCCATTCCTGGCCAGACAACGGCTGAGTTCCTCGCAACAGTGACAGACCCCGACGAGAGGAAGGCTATTCCCGGGTCAGAAGCCGATAGCATCAATTCTTCTGCCGATCTTGCCGCAGCCTTCAAAAGGTCTAACCACTATGCACGCCTCGTCAGTGAGATCGACGAATATCGAGAGAAGCAGGGTCAGGCAGATGCTCTACTTCCAACCTACTCCTATCGCTTATCGCTGCCTTCTCAGGTAAAGGAAAGTTTGAAGCGAGAGTATCAACTCGTCAAGGGACAGAGGCGGGTTTACTACATCAAGTGGATCACGACCATCATTCTCTGCCTTGTTTGCGGCAGCGTGTACTTTGACATTGAGAACAATGCACAGGGTGCTTTTACGCGTGGTGGGATCCTGTACTTTGCACTAATCTTGAACGGATGGTTGCAGTTCCCTGAGCTTTTCGACGCCTACACAAACAGGCCTGTACTAGAGAGACAAGGTACCTTGGCCCACCCTGACTCTACATATCTTGAGATTGTGTTACTGATGATCATGCTACAGCCAACCTCCACCTGACGCGTCCAGCTGCAGTTGCGTTGGCCCGTTTCCTTATTGACCTGCCGCTCATCGCCTTCCAACACGTTCTATTCACTTTGGTGTTTTATTTTCTTTCGCGGCTTCAGGTTGAGGCTGGCAAGTTCTTCTTCTTCTACCTGACGCTCTTCATTTCGACAGTATGCTTCAGCAACCTCCTCCGCATGTTTGCCTACTTTGTTGGCACGTTGGATGACTGTAAGATCTCATCACCTTCCGATCAGTGACAGCACTAACGCGGTACTGTAACCTCTAGGTTTTCGCTACGGAGGGTTTTCCTGCACGGTGCTTCTTCTGTTTGCCGGCTTCCTGATCCCTCCCAATGACATGAGTCCAGCTTTCGGATGGCTGCACCATATCAATCCCATGTTTTACGGATTTGAGAATGTAGGTTCCATGATCGAACCAGGCGTCTCCCGTGAAGTATTAAATACTGACATTTACTTCAGCTCTTTAGTAGCGAGTTCAGCAACCTGGACCTCTCGTGCCATGATAACCTCATCCCAGCACAGGGTATTGCGGGACATCAGACTTGCGCAGTCAGAGGTGCTTTACCTGGCCAGATTAGTGTGCCAGGACTACAGTACGCCGAGTCTTTCGGATTCTCTTACTCCCACAGATGGCGAAACATTGGCATCATGATCGCCATTGGTCTGGCCTATCTCATCGCCGGCATCTTTGGAAGTGAGTTCATGAGCTTCGCACCCAATGGCGGCGCTCCTCTCGTCTTTGCTAAGCGCCGCAAGGCTTCGAGTCCTGATTCACATGATGTTGAGAAGTCCGCTCCCTCATCCGGCCATGCCAGCGTTCTTTCAGGTCGGATTGGGCAGGTTGCCCTCAAATGGAACCAACTCAGTGTCGACATTGGCGATAGTCACATTCTCAAGAACATCTCGGGGTACGTCAGGCGGGGGGAGCTAACTGCTCTCTGCGGCGCCAGCGGAGCAGGCAAGACGACACTTCTCACGGCTCTGAGTCAGACGAACTTTGCGGGCAGTATCGTAGGTGGAGAGGTTCTCGTCGGTGATCAGCCGCCCAGTTCGAGCTATAGGAAGACAGTTGGTATGAATCAATCCCAAGCAGGTTTCCGTGGAATGGTGGCTAACGATGGTCGTTAGGATTTGCGCAGCAGATGGATCTCCACGATGGAACAGCAACTGTTCGGGAGGCTCTCGAGTTCTCTGCCCTTCTCCGACAGCCGAAGCATTACTCAAAGGCTGAGAAGCTGGCGTACGTCAGCAAAGTCTTGGACTTACTTGACCTTAATGACGTTCAGGATGCTCTGATTGGAGAAGACGGTGGTGGTCTTGGTGTTGAGCGGCTCAAAAGAGTGACGGTGTGTTTTACACTCTCTCCCGATTCCGGCCATCAAAGCTAACTGTTGGCTTACTTAGATTGGTGTTGAACTTGCCGCGCGGCCCGAGATCTTGTTCGCCGATGAGCCAACCTCCGGACTGGATTCTCAAGGTGCATCTCGCATCGTCCACTACCTCAAGACACTTGCTCGTCAAGGCCAGGCGATAGTTGTCACCATCCACCAACCGTCTGCTCTGGTGTTTTCCCAGTTTGACAATCTACTGGCTCTGTCTTCAGAAGGCCGCCAACTCTAGTAAGTTTCCATCTCCAAAACATGTATTCCGCCAGTGAGACCGATCTGACCAGGATGTAGCTTTGGCAAGGTCACTGAAGCTCTGTCGTACTTTGCTCGCAACGGTGCAACGTGTCCTGAGGGTGCAAACCCCGGCGAGTTCATCCTCGAGACTGTTGGCGCAGGTGTCAACGCTCGCACGTCTGACAAGGGCTCCAACTGGGCGTCGACATGGGCTGCCTCCCCAGAGGCCGCTGATCTTGGGCGAGAGATCACAAATAATAGTGATGCTTCCAAGAATCTTTCGCCTGGCTTCGGCGAAGAGGTCACGTCCGAGCATAACGCCTCTGTGTTTCTGCAGACAATACTTCTCACCAAGCGGATGCTGCTCAACCAGTGGCGTAGCCCGCCGTACATCTACTCCAAGATCTGGGTTCATGTCATTAGCGCTATTCTCGTCGGCTTCACCTTCTTCCAGATCGGCACTAGCCCGCAGGATCTACAGAATCGGTGAGTTTCGCTTCGACTTCTACTCTCTTTCTCAATCGCTAAAAAGTTCTACAGGATGTTCAGTGTCTTCTTCATCCTCTTCCTTTGCAACGCCATTGTCAACGTGATTTTGGCACGTTACTTCTTTGCAAGTCTGTACTGGCAGTTTCGCGAAGGGCCGTCTCATGCATATGGATGGATTGCTTTCGTATCTTCAACCATCCTCTCAGAGATACCCGGTGCTATCTTGGTCACCGTTCTGTACTTTGTCATCTGGTACTTCCCAGCCGGTTTGCCTTTAGATCAGGCCGGCTATATCTTTCTATTTCTTCTCACATATGAGATTTTTCAAGTAGGCGACTCGCAACTCATTTTGGTTAGTGGCACTCCTCTGACACTTGCAGGTCCTCCTTGGTCTCTTCATGATGGCCCTTAGCCCAGATCTTGGCGCAGCAGGAAATGTTCTCGTTTTTATTGTCTGCACTTGTAACTGGTTCAACGGCATCATTGTCCCTTACAGCCAGATCCAGATCTTCTGGCGTTACTGGGTAAGCCAAAGCATTTCCGCATCGAGACTCTCTGGCATTCCATCTGACAAAGATATAGCTCTACTACTTATCCCCATTTACGTACCTTCTTGGCGGAATGGTGACGGCCGTGACCTCATCTGTCGATGTGTCGTGCTCATCAGCAGACCTCACAGTATTTACTGCGCCTGCTAACGAGACTTGTTCTTCATATGTATCGGAATGGGCTCTATCCGCCTCCGCTCAACTGCTCAACCCCGAAGCCTCTGGTGATGACTATTGTCAGGTATGTCGTTGGACTACTGGGACTCAGTTCTTGGACCAATTCAACCTTGGAGAAGGTCAACTCGGTGGACAATGGGGTAGTTGGGGAATCTTTGTCGTGTTCACGTTCAGTAATCTTGCCTTGGTCTACTTCTTCACTTGGGCCACCAAGGTGAAGGGGTGGAAGCTGTTCTACTTCTTTTAGATAGCGTCTACTCGGTCTTGCCATTGGGTCAAGCCGCTCAACCTGGTCTTTGTCAGGTAGCACATATCATGAGCTCAGTCAGACCTGAGGAAGCAGTTTCGCGTTTTTCATTCATCGTCAATGGCAGTTTTAATATACTCTTTTCATTCACATCCATCCTCCTCTTCTGGTAACATGGTAGAGTTTCGTTTGTATACTGACATGTACTGTTCTCCATCACCCGTAACTCTGTTTGGTCCACACTGTGATGTCATCAGAAACAGCGAAAAGTGAAAAATGAGAAAGACTTCTTCGAGAAACTGTCGCATCATGTATGGGTATGTGGTTATACTTATTTCACTTCACTCTTGTCTCAAGCAATGCATCTAACGAATGTATGTTTCTATGCAGACCACGCAATATTTATACTACAGACTCAGAATGCTATTGCACCAATCTATCGCAGCGCCCATCATGCGCTGATTGCAGCTCTGAGCGGATGCTCCTGTCTCAGATGACCCTCCTCCTCCACAAATGGTCCCAAGGGACTAATAGCTACATCAGGTACATGCGCCTTTCCTTTGCCTCGAGCAACAGCATTCGCTTTGACCATGACCTCGTCCCATTCCTTGTCCGCCTCACTCAGCCAAGTGATTGCTCCTCCAGCACCGAGTTCCAATTCATTGCCAGACTTGACGATCGTGCGGATCACAACGGATTGGTCGACGGTACCGCTGGCACAGATGTAACCGATACTTCCCGAGTATATACCCCGCTCGCGTTGGCCTTCGAGAGAGTCGAGGATCTGAACTGAGCGAAGCTTTGGAGCGCCGGTCATGGAGCCAGGCGGGAAACAGCGCTCGATAACCTTGGTTCCTCCTACCGATAGGGCAACATGGGACTGTATTGTTGTGACAAGCTGAATAACAGTCAGTCATGATGCAGTCAAGTAACGCTTGGATAGCGCCGTCTTACCTGATGAACAGTTTGATAGGTCTCTACATGCAAGAGCTTTGGCACGGAAATGGAGCTTGGTGGTGAGATATTATGAAGGTCGGATCGAATGAGGTCAACGATCTACACCAATTAGGTTAGAAAGTCTCTAGCAAAAGCTTTTTGCTTACCATCAGGTTTTCGGCTAGCTCTTTGACATCTGTCGCAAGCTGATGCTTCCGTCTCTCATCCTCGACTGGATTAGAGTCAACAGCCAAGGTGCCCTTGATAGGCTTCATCTCGGCAACACCATTGCTATCGATGGAGATGAATCGTTCAGGAGATGAGGAGAGGATGGTCCTGTCATGGGCGGCAAAGTGAATATAAGCAGAATACGGTGCAGGGTTTCGTTTCCGAAGGTCCAGATATAAGCTGTAAGGATCAACTTCTGGGCTCTTGGCTTTGAACTTTGTTGTCAACGTGAGCTCGTAGGTCTCCCCCTCTTTGATGGCCTCCTTGGCTGCCCAGATCGTGTTGGAGTAGGATGCCTCATTGTCGAGTGCGACGAAGTTGGGCAAAGGATGCGCTTCAACATAGGGTGGCGACGGTGGCGTGTCAAATACCTCACGTACACGAGTCAGATAGAGGTCAAACTCGGCCGCGTCGATACCTATCTTACTCGAGGCGCCAATGGCATTGCCGATTGGATCCTCTTCACCTCGACGTATTAAACTGAACAGTGTCCACTCTCCGGTATAATTATCGAGTCGCAGCACGGTGTTTGCGAAGAGCAGCTCGCTATCACTGTGCTTCAAGCTGACATCCTTCTCGTCGGGTGGTGTGAACTGGTAGCCAGGTAGTGATTCCCTCTTGAGCTCATAGCCAAAGTAGCCGATGAGCCCAACCTGGAGCAAGGGCTGGCCAACATCTGTCTCTTGATCCAGCGACTCAGAAGGGAGTGTTTCGGTGTTTGCCACGATGGTCTCCTGTTGGAATTGCTCCAGCCACGACCAATACGAAACGCTCAGCCTCTCCGATTTGATGTTCTTGCCGTGCTGGTAGAAAGATACGTGTCTCGACTTTGTTGAATAGCTCAGTGCAAAGGAAGCCCATGATAAATATGAGTTGCGAGAGTGTGAGTCTCTAACCTACAGCCAAGTCAGAATGTGAAAGGTCATTGACCATTAGATTGGGCGCACGTACCTTGGCGCTATCAAGCCACGCCTCACCGTCTAGGGATCTACCCCGAAACAGTGTTTGAAACACAATCTCTGCAGATGGACCTTTGCCAACCCTAGCAGACTTGACATAATAAGGTGAGACCACGCGTGCTGGATTAGCCTCTGCAACCAGGGCCTTGCCCAAGTCGGTTTGCTCAACGGCATTCTGCTGAAGAATATGGTCTGGCAGCGACGCGTTCTCAAGAACCCGACGCTTGGTCCATTGGTTCCTCGGGTTACTAGTCACCCAAAAGTCCAAGACGATATCTCGGAAGTTTGAGAGGATCTGCTTCCCGTGAGCAGAGCAAACGCTTTCTGGATGCCATTGCGTTCCAAAGACAGGGCGTTCCCGATGTTGAAGTCCCATTAACACCTTCTTGGAGGGGTTCTCTGGGTCGTATGTCCATGCCGTGACTTGAAGCTCTGGTGGAACATCTGGACGGTGTCAGCAAGAACACAATGTGACGGTTAAATATGGGAGAGACAAGGTACCTTCAATGTCCAATACAAGACTGTTATACCTTACCCCATCGAACTTTTGCGGCAAACCACTGAGAATACCTGTGCCTCGGTGGTGGATCTGACAGATCTGACCATGTTTGATGTTTGGAGCATGAATAATATTGGCACCAAACGATGTACCAATGCCTTGATGTCCAAGGCAGATCCCCAAGATGGGGATGTTGACTTCTCTTATAAGCCTAGCGTTGAAGCCAAAGTCTGCTTCGCGCTGCGGTGTGCCAGGTCCTGGTGATAGGATGATAGCATCTAGGTGAGGGAGAATTTCCGATTTGAAGTGATCCCTGGAAATGAACAGTTAGTCTTTGCTTACAGTTGGAGTCTTGGGATCTTTGTTGTTCTACTTACCATGAGAACTGGTCGAATCGAACAATAGATACACTCCACTCTGGATAGGACTGTCCATCATGACCCTTCTGAGTACCTTGGAGCAGTTGCAAAATGTTGTTGGTATAGGAGTCGTAATGATCAATAATGAGAACTTTGATTGTGCCCATTTTGGTAATAGTGTAATGCAGTATGAAAGTCTCCGAGATGAAAATGAATTCAAATAAATGTTACTTGGCATATAACAAGAACGGCGGGTGTCTTTTAGCAGCAGACCTGCTTGACTTCAACTTGATGCGACTAGCGCAGGTTATTATGCAAGCCGACTCAGCAAGAGCAACTCGATATGGAGATAGACGTTGGAATCGAGAGCACATACAATCTTACCCACTCTATTTCCCTGGAGTCCTGCTAGCCAAAGAGAGTTTCAAACTTGGAGCAATGCGAGCCAGTAGCTGTCTGTTGTCAGGATCCTCAACGGGCTCCCATGTTTAGGTTCCCAGTCGGGATGACTTGAGAATCAGCCCGTATCGTGTCATTACTGCTTGCGTCGGGGATGCGCAGCATAATCCTCAGATACTGATGTCGTCAGCTATGGTTCAAGTGCTTGTAGTTGGTTCGGCATATCCGAGAGTGCATAGCGGCATTCTGTTTCTTCCTACAACGGCAGGCAAGGGGCCTCGCCGAGGCATGGAATTACAACGGTTAGAGCATCACGTCAGTCTCAGATATTTGATATAAGCATGTATTCTGCCTCTTCCTGATATTCACTAAAGCAGTGTTACTTACATTTGACCTTGCCGGAATTCCCCCGCGTGCTATCACGACATTAAAGGATGATGTTGCGAGACGTGGCGAAGAACAATATCAAGTTTAGAATCATCAAAAACACTGATAAGAGGAACAATTCTGGCTAGTCTATCTGCCGGCATGCGGCTGACATTACCAATCCTTTACTTTAGGTTACGGAGTAGGGTAGCCTAACAGGAGTCTGCATGCAAATGTGTTTCAAAAGGCGTAGGGTAGTTTTGCCCCCACTCCCGGGTACGGAGTACAGATACGCATTTCCCGATACGATTAAGCGCGGTAGGACTCTTTGGCTAATTGCAGATCCCTGTAATCACGCTATAACGAGCTAACTTAATCGGAAGGAGATGCCGTGCTCAACCCTCCCGTCCCTCTCGGAGCTATGTAGACGACCTCTGCTGTCTTCTATCCAAGCCCGCTCCCTCTCACCATCGCCTCGGAGGAAGTGAGAGATGCAGCCGGTTCTGTTTTCGCCGACTCGTCCTCAGGCTACCTCCCGCCGGGCCAGAGACGCCTCGAAGCAGGGCCCCTGGCGCTGCTCCAACTGCCCCAAGGAGTTTGCTCAGAGTGAGTACTACGCCCTGTCGTGCCTTGTTTTAGTCAATCCCTTTGAGCAGATGATGGTTCGTGCCTGTACCACAAACAATCGCACTCCTTGCTCTACCTATAATGCTTTTTTTTTCTTTAGTTGCTTAGTAGGCTAATTAAAATTTCTTTATCTCTGAAGAAGAATATCGGTACAAGCATCAACAGCGCTGCATTCAGTCGTCCCAGCGGCAAAAGTTATCCAAGCAGAAGTCTTGCACAGCCTGCGCAGCCTCCAAACTGAGCTGTGATTTGGGTACGCCGTCATGTTCACGCTGCATCAACAGGAACAAGACGTGCCGGTACGTCTCGGCCAGCAATCCCAACGCCACGTCTCAGCAGATTGAGGCAGCTCAACGGCCTCGTGGGCACCACATTCGCGCCGATTCGGGGCAGCCCTATGATAACGATAGCGTTGTCGGAGATAATTCATCGTTGTCAAATTACTCTACTCGTCGTCAATCAGAGCTTGAGCTTGAAGCTGTCATGCAGGACGCGGGGGATCAGAGCCGCTCCTCTGCCACCTCGAACAGCCTGTCACTTGCAGCTCTCCAACATCAGCAATTGTCTGTACCTACATCTCACGGTATAAATATCAATGGGTGGAATGTGAACACGCAGACAAACAGACCAAGTGTTGGGTTTGGAGATCCTATGTCAAGTCCGGGCCAGCTTGAGAGGGACGGCATTTCATTATTCAACTTGACGAATGAGGCGGAGGCCGCGTCTCGATGGCAGCAAGAAATACCTTGGTTCTCACAGAATCCGTTTCCCTCCCCCGAACTACCTATATCGCCAGAGCTTGAAGACCCTATGCAAGGAAATGGCTTCACGGGAGCTTCCGAGGATCTAAACTTTGATCTCCTGGGCTCACTTGGAATCTTGACTCAGAATCGGATCACACCAGGCCAGATATCTCAACCGGGCGGATTTTCAACCATGCTTAATACTCCAGTCTCATCCGACGGCCACTATCCAAGAACAGCATCTATTGCCGAACCCCACAGTAATCAGAACTCTCCACTTGATGTTGAGGCCGACACCGAACAAGGTAAGACTCTGCACGGCGCTGTCAAAGCTGCGCGTGGTACGGACTTGCCAAATACGGCCGCAACGCGTCCGCAGTATGGTATTAGCCAAAACCTGCAGTCATGTCCTTTCCACAGACTACACAAAGACGATGATCTTATCAAAATGGTCAGCAACTACCCAAGTGTCATGTTGCAACCAGGAGTATATCCCCCATTTGTACATCACAAGCTATACCGATGTTCTGCCGGCGACGTGGCAGAACCGCTAGCCAAGGCCTTTTGCTGTGTTGGGGCGTTCTACGCTTCTGTCCCTGTCAGCGAGACATTTGTCTACTCGCTCATAAATGAGGAGACCAATAAGCTTGTCAAAGGATTTGTAAGTAAAAGGACTACCAAGAACTAGTCATCCAGTCCCATTAACAGTGTTCAGCATCAAATACCCCGTTCTGATGCGGACATGCTGGCGGTAGTCCATGCCATGTGTATCTATCAGATCCTGGGGTTCTTTGTTAGCGTAAATCCAGAACAGACGCGTGCAGCCGAGTCACAGCAGATGTTTTTCCTCAAGGTAAACAACCTCTGTTATGCCTGTTAAAGTTTGACAAGAAGCATAAGCTAAAAGTGTATGGCAGATGACCAGACGTCTCGCCCAACAGTATCTCCGAACCTCAACAGTCAAGGACGGAGAAGAGAGCAATTGGCGCAAGTGGCTCATGGACGAGACAATTCGCAGAACTGTTTTCCTTGTCAATGCCATAAATACGCTTTCCTGCCGTATTCAGAAGCAGGACCCGAACTACTTTGAGCCTCTAGACAATGATCTCATTCACAACTTGACTCTGCCAGCACCTGAGGTTGTCTGGAAAGCCTCTTCGGCAGAAGAATGGACTCTTGCCAAGTCTCAACTTCCTTCTGACGATTTAGCGCGCACAAAGGTTACTATTCGCCAGGCTGTTGATCAGATCAAGAATTCAGGAAGACTTGGGGACCGAGGCACTCGAGCTAGCCAGCTACAGTTCGACGTGTTTGATGACTTCACGAAGCTCGTCATTGCTACAGCAGATGTACAGTAGCAGAATCTGGGATTTTGCCCCCAAAGCGTAAATTTTAGAGCGGCTCATTTCGTCGATGTAATCCATTATGGTCCTGTCAATGCTGTGCTTCCTATGTTGATGTTAAATGGCAGCCTGATGTCTGAAAGGTTACTTGGGAATGACAAGCTATTGTATATGTAGTTAATCTATAACATCATTGAAACACCATGAATTGCAAAGATTATAATTAACGCCGAATAAATTATGCAAGATAATGTTAACATATCCTGTTATCCACAGATCGCTGAATCCTATGCGAGTACATATGTGTAGAAGTCAGACAATGCATCTGGTACTTCTCTCCAACGACGTCAGCAGACTACGCCGGCCTTTATAGCTAGCTTAAAGCCTTCTCATTAATCCGGTCCAAGATTACAAGGCGTTCCGCGAATCCCTTACCAGCCTTGCTCAAAGCATCTATATTATCCCTTTCTCTCGATAGGATAACATTCTCAGGATAGAATTTTCCCAGAAGCGCTAGCTTGAGAATGGGGTCTGAGGTGGGAATAATATGGATTGTGTTTCCATGACCGTCCTTTACTCGGGGTGAGATGACAAGTCCAGGTCGCGAGAGGATATCCGCTGCATCGTGGACAATTGTTTTGTGGATGCCACTGGCGCCTTGGGCCGAGAGTGCGCTGAGAATAGGTGATGATGTTGCCTTTGAAGATCCCTTGTCCGCTTTGACTTCATATGCGTAACGCCGGCCGCGGGCGATCTGGCCGAGATCAACAGACACAGACTTCCCCGAGTACAGCGTCAGGCGTAGCTTGACAATGCGCCGAAGAGCGTCTTTCCCAGCGTCGATGGCCAAAGAAGACTCGGTGACTCTGGTGTCAACTCCTAGCAGAGAGGGTAGATTCCAGCTTCCGTCCTCAGAGACGGCTTCACTCGCTGCGAGCTCTGTTCTGGGAGCGTCGATGTATTCCTTGTGCTCGTAGTCAAACAATACCTCGCTCTCCACGTCATAGACATGGGCTGGATGATAACGTAGTAGGTGAAGAGAAGTAGACCCAGACAAGAAAGCTGGCAAAACCAGGCCTTGGGAGTACTGGAAGCCGTAGCCACCTCGAGGGAGATGGCGAGCCGTGAAGACCTTGGCGAGATCGACAATGGCAACATGCTGGATCGTACCTGTTAAGCAGTGTACAAGGAAGAGCTTCCGAGGCTCCTCCAGATCGCGGATGCCTCGGCTCGAGTCTCGGGGAATGACGAGAGGCACCTTGTCGTAGTTCTCGAAGGGAATCAAGCTGTCACGCAGGAGAATCATGCGATGAAGCCACTCGTTATAGAGCTCCATCAACTGGGAGTCGCTTCGAGGCCCAAGCAGAAGGCCTGCAACCGCTGGAGTCCAGAGATGCCCCTCACAGGGGCTTCGGAGCCGGATCTTGGGATTGGCATTGGTAGGGTCGATGCTGTCGTGGACGTATCCAACAAGAGTCTTTGCAATCTTGTTTGCTTGGATCACAATCTCCCTGCGCGCAGTATCCTGGGACGAGTGGACCAGTGGCAGTGTAGACTCTCTGCCTGTAGTTGCAAGAGAAGCGGCCAAACCATTGACGAGAACAGTGCGAGCAGGGATATCGTTTGGTCCATCTGGACCAAGTCGAGATATGATGACATCGAGTAGGGGCGACGTGGTGGCGACCAACTGTCGGACACTATAAACTCCGGGCGGAGTATAGAGCGCATTGTTTATGATGAGAGGATAGCGCTCAGCTGTCGAAGAATCGTCATTGTATGGAGGAGACGGGGGAGATGTCATGGCAACAAGTCCGTCTTTCTGAGTCCACGAAGGGTAGACAGTATAGCCCAATGTGAGATTTGCAAGGTTGGCGAGTCGGTAGGGCACGGCGGAGGAAAGGGGAGGAGTGATAGCGGAGACCATTGTACGGGCCAGAAGCATGTGGATAGAGAGGATCAAGGTTAGGCAGAGGATTCGAGGGAAAGCAGAGCAGACGAGGAGAAGGGGCAGGGCTATGATAGAGGACCGAATGATGGACTGTACCGACAGCTTGGTCGGTTGCTGATGTGATGTGGCTGTGTCCGAAGCGTAAATATAGTCCTAATCCTGGATGCCCAGACTGACTTTTGTAAGATAAATAATATTTTTCTTTCTTTACTCTTACGTCTGGATATCGTTCTAGGGAATCGGCCGCGTGCACGAGAGGCTATGTGAGGGAATGACCAAGATGATTGATGAATAACGCAACGAAAATGGAGATTAATCTCAGGCATTAAAACATCCCCGCGTGAGGCTTAACACAACGGGTCCTCGGGGCGTGTTGTCTGTCGATGTCCGATGGCCCTGACCAAGTGTTGGTCCTCGCTATGCCCCTTAGTCCTGCCGTTGGTTGAGCCAAATACTGCCCTCAGTGCTTTTTTTTCTTATTCGCAGGTAGTCTCATCTGAGCTGAGTCAAATTTCGTGTAGTCTTTCCTGATGCTGAAGCTGTTGTTCGCTGTGCTCATTCCAGGCTAAGAGACAATGAGTAAGGTAGCTTAGCAGAGCGAGGTTAGTGAAAGCGCCATAGAGAGCTTTGCCAAAATGGTATCAATTGTCACCAGTAGGAGGTCTGGCGCAATCGACAGGGGTTCGGCACGCAATTGTGGGCTTAGTCTCGGAGATTTATGGCAGTTCAAGGTTGCTCAACTCCGAGAGCATCGGAGTTGGATGGCATGGTGGGGCTGCCCGGAAATAGAAAGGCAAGCAAATCACTTCTGGTAGAGTTATTAGATCTCATGCAGGATATCTGCAGAAGCATTCATACGAGGGATTACGGCAATGTATTTGTTCTGCCATTGGATACAGATTATGCGCTTATGAATATTGCCAGATACAGCCGACAGCTCAATCAGGGTGATAGTTAGTTCCGATTGCGATATTTCGCCATAATTATTTTGAACCAGTAGACAAATGCAGTGTTCTTATGTCAATTTCCATTAAATACAGGTTAAAAGGTCATTGCTACAGTAATAACCCCTATTAATCACTGGCGGATAGACTGACTGACCGCTTTCAACTCTGTACCAAGCAACCCCAATTGCTGAAATGTCTACTGCAACTGTTAGTGCTGTGGCTGGTGCCGTGACAACTCCTACGCCCCTGGCACCATTCTCAGGTACAGAAGGAAGCTACATGCTACCTCACCATGCCCAAGAGATTGAGAGACTGCACCGCCAACACCTCTTTATGAATACTACCACGGGAGGTCAATTACTCGTAGTACCATCTATCCACGAGAAGAAGTCCTTGCGCGTATTAGATTCGGGTGCTGCCGATGGTAAGTCTGTGTTGCCTTGGCCTGTCCGTGATATTGACATTCGTAGGCTTCTGGCTACGCGACTTGCCCCGCCAGCTCCCATCACACGATCTGGAGCTTTATGGGGTTGACATTGGATCTGATCTCTTCCCTGCGCCAGATGAGAATGCAGTTCACAAGGTAGAGCTTCGGAGTCATGACGTCAGAACCCCCTTTCCACATTCGTGGGACTGGTCCTCCAAGTTCGACGTGATCAACCAGAGGCTGCTTATCTGGGGTATCCAGTCTGCCGAGTGGCCTCGTGTCATCTCGAACCTTGTTTCGTCTCTAACGCCTGGCGGCTACATACAGCTCGTCGAGGCTGAATGGATTGACCCCGAGAATTTAGCAGACCAGAAGACCAGGCCTCAACTGAGGAAGCAAGCTGCTTTACAGGAGTGGTCTACCGCCAGCTTCGGTATGGACATTCATATTGCTTACAAGCTCGAAGGGCTCCTTCGCGACGCTGGCTTGGAGGATGTTCGCAAGGTCCAGTTTAATCATGGCTATGGCGCCCTCGCAAGATCCAAGGACCAGAGGAATGTGTCAGCTGAGCTCTGGGTCGAGTGCTTCAGGACCCTGGATGAGAAGATACCTGGTGAGTCGAACGTATCATTTTCAAAAACGCCAGATGCTAATATCATGGCTTTACAGAAGGTGGCATTCCTGGGGTTGCAGCGAACTCGAAGGAGTTCCATGAGTTCCTCGATGCTTTAGAGGTCGAGATTAAGACGTACGGCTATCAACCTAAGCTCAATTATGTGTATGGACGAAAGCCCTTGGTTTAATGAGAGAAGAAAGCTAGATCCGTATAGATGTATGAGTCTTTATTCTATCATTCAATGAGATCCACCTTGCCGAGATGTTCATAACAGTGACACAAATTGAACTTGATGTCTTATATTGACCCATGTACAGACGTTTTGTCCCTATATCATCTTACACAGAGTCAGAGTTGTTAATGGCCAGAATGCTATATACAAAGACTCAATATTCGTAGCAAGTCGCGGTCTCAATGTTGTTAAGAGCTCTGCTCTGTATGATGACTCTAAACTTGCTATTTATAACATCTAGCTCTTACGCAAGTAATGGCACATATGAAAGTTGCTACTGGCTTAGAGATATAGGTTTAATTTGCGACAGCCGCTAGGTAAGTATAAGAGTGGATGTTGCTCAATGTTCAACCAAAGTTCTTCACAAACTCAGCGAAGCGTTGCACCAGATCCAACGCCTGCTCACCCGATAACCTAGGGTCACATAACGACTCGTAGCAAGCCTTCAAACCTCCCTCGTTCTCACAGGATGGACCACCTAAGCATTCTGTGACATCGTCTCCCGTTTGCTCCAGATGGATACCCCCAAAATGACTCCCAAGACTCCGATGAGCAGCATATGTCTCCTCAAGCTCAGCCAACAGGACTTCAACCCTCCTAGTCTTGATTCCATCTGGCGTAGTGAATGTGTTACCGTGGCACGGGTCACACATCCAAATAGGTAGATGGCCACTGAGCTGCACTGCTCTGATGATGGCGGGAAGTACCTGTCCGACCCTACCATGTCCCATGCGAGTGATGATGGTTACCTTGCCATACTGTGCAGTATCGGGAGCCAGAGTGTCAAGGAGGGCAATCACGTCTGCTGCTGTGGCTGTTGGACCGATCTTGACGCCGATAGGGTTTCGCAGTCCACGAGCGTACTCAACGTGAGCGCCATCAAGTTGACGAGTTCTCTCACCCAGCCAGATTGATGTTGCTGACAGGTTATAAGACTCATGCGTAAGAGCAGATTCATAGGGGAGATGAAGTGCCTCGTGCGACGTGTAAAGATGACACTTGTTGAATGCCTTCCCAGGTATTGAATTCGCCAACCCAGTGACATGACGGATGCTGTTTTGCGTCGCAGCGGCATAGAAGTAACCCAACATGAGCCGCTTTGGGTCTGGATTTCTATCCTCGAGTCCCTCAGAGTTGATTATGTGGCCTCGGAATGCGTGCACCTTGTCGCCATTTGGGAGCACCTCGAGGGGGTTTGACCTTGGCTTGGCGTATTGTCCTGCAATACGTCCGAGTGGTATGACAGGCTTTCCTATCGCATCTTCGAGTATCTGGCTCTGCTGATGGAGCAGGTCAACCTTGCGATGGATGATATCATGCTGTATATCGTGGAAGCTCTCTGCACAGTCTCCTCCTTGGATGATGAAGCCACGACCCAGAGCAACATGGTAGAAGCGCACACGAGCCTGCTCTATCTCTAAGCGACTAACAAGAGGTGGCAGTTGCTTGAGCGATGCACACACATCCTCCAGGGCATTGGTATCATTGTACTCTACGGCCTGAGCAGCGTACTTCGACCGCCATGAGTCTGGCGTCCAATGGATGGCCCCATTGCCATTCGTCGTGATTTCCTTGACTAACGCTGAAGCTGACGACTTTCGGTTCCGGTAACCGGTAGAAAGACGGAGGTTGTATGTCTAATCAAGGTATCTTAGCAGCGGCAACGGTAGGAGTTGGTTCCTGGGTAAAGATTTTACCGGTATCTCAACATGCATCGCGGGTGTATGGAACATGTCCCGTAGTGGTTGCCACTTGTCCAATTGTGCGATGGTTGTTTATCAATGGGTTACTCAAAGATTGTATGAGCCTCTGAGTGCAAAAATATATTGGCACAAGGTCGAAGAGACAAATGATTTCTGAGGATATCGCTGATCTCAATAATTAAACATAAGAAATAAATAAAGGAGTCTATTTCTAAATGTAATCAACCAGAGATCTTCCTGGCATACACTCGGCTTGGGTTTCGGTCAATAGCAGCGAGCAGAAACGAGCCTCAATCGTAGGCCTACAATGTCACGATTTTGCGTGATTTTGCCATGAGTTGTTGTGTTCCCAGTTCGTGCCAGTTACATTCCGCTGCTGACCAAACCGTGCCTTGCAAGACGTGGGGGCTTCCTGTAGGATGCTATCGTGGCAAACAGACTATGCTAGAGGCCCCGATCCGCTAATGCAAGGCTTGAAGGAGAGTTTCTGCGGGTCGGAGTTGGAATTGCATCGATGTGGCAGACCGAATCGTCGGGGAGGTGTTGCTCGGACATAATTAACCATGGCACTTGGCCAGAAATACGGCTGCATATGCACGTCGAGTCACAATCCTGGCCAACGCTTTCTTCAGACGTGAGAGGGATTGTATGCAAGCGGCATAGTGAGCTGGGCGGGCGAGGTTTGCGTTACAGGAACTGCCTTCCATTTCACACTAAAAATGTCCTTGCTGGGTTTGACCAAGAGTAGTGAACTAAGTATCCATATCACGAGTTCATAGCTTATGAATAATACTGTGAGGTTACATCAACGTTAATTGTTTTCATGTCATGATTTTCACAGATGATATTGAAATAATTAAATAAAGAGACTATTTAAAAATATCGCTTAAACATCATGCACTACCTGCTTGAAGCAGAGGAGCATTAGCTACAGCCTCAGACGTCTCGCGTTGCATATCATCAGTCCAGGTCGTGGTGTTTTGGCCGTTTTTATGCAGATACGCCAATCTCTCCACAACGTGCTTTCCTGCGTAGACTGCGCCATACTTCTGCGGGTTCGCGGCAGTGCAACAAGCCTTGATGGGCTCAACTAAGGCCTCTCGGTTAGGATGGCCAAACCAGGCAATGGAGTAGCGTGCCGGGATAATTTCAGGAATGTTGCCGTCGGCATCAGCCTTGGGAACCGGCTCCACAACGCGATGCTCGGTAGAGATGAGGATGTCGTTGAACCAGCGGGACAGCAGATCTCCAACTATTCTTGGTTAGTCATTTCCATCTTGCATAGAGGAATCTCTCCAGGGTTCAGTAGCTTACCGTTAATAATGGCGCATCCGGGAATCGGTGGAGCATCGATGTACTTCCCGTCGGCTCGGCGCACCTGCAGACCCCCACTCTCATCGTTGAAGAGCAGGGTAAGGGTACCATAGTCTGTGTGTGCCGAGGCCCTGGTCCTTTCTTTGAACGCAGCTCGAGTTGTCTCAGGGTAGTAGATGACACGGAAGAAGTGGTCCTTTTCGTCAACATGAGGCTCAAAGAAGCTCCCGTCGACACCGACTTGCTCTGCTAGAACACGAAGAAGAACAAGGTGGACCTCATGACACTTTTCAAAGAAGAAGTTCATGTCGTCCCGGAACTCTGGCCAGTTCTCAGGCCACTGATTTGGCCTCGTTGGGTCGTTCTCCTTCCCAACATCAAAAGCCTCTTTGAGATCAGAATGACGAGAATCTCCTGAAGTTCGAGCGGGAGAAAACCATCCATGGAAGCCCTTGGACTCCCCCGTCTCGACCTTTGCCTTTTCTGATACGGGAAGAGCGAAGAACTTCTTTGCGTGAGAGAAGAGATTCTCTCGAGCAAAATCAGGGATAGAGTGGTTTGACAGGTACACAAATCCAACGTTGACAAAGGCGTCGAAGAGTTTTTGCTTTTCTTTAATGCTGACTTCCAGGACTCCTGGCGACCTGGAGATCGAGGGACCAATGATCTTGGCAAAATCAATGACTGGGAGACTGGCAGTTTCTTTGGACGCCATTTTCAGTAGATTGTTTGACAAAAACGAAGTCGTTGTGGTAGAATTGTATGAGAGCTTGGTCGTTTTAGTCTAAACACTGCTGTATCTGTTAAGCCTTGCTCCAATTCTCAAATTTGGACCTATGACCGATTTATGGATTAAGACTAGAACAATTTCTTAAACACATACTCAATCACCTACTACAAGAGCCTCATGCAAATGTCTGCCCATTCAATTGGAAAGTCGTGTATGCATCCGTCATTCACGAGCCATGTCTGCTTTTAGGTGGTAGAGACGATCCGGGCCGCATCGGAGCTGGTACCCTGTCAGCATACCCTGAACCAGTTCGGCACCAGGGAGGACACTGCAATTGTCACGGCGAAGTAGCTATGAACCCTTGGCAAAGTTTATGCATATATCCCGTATATCCATGCAAGTCCGACTAAAACTGCGCTGACTGGTCGCGTCATCGAGGACCCCTATGTCGCGTAGACGCGGAATTTGGGAACGTGAGCTGCTTATGTGATGCTAGAACCGCCACGTCATGGTTTACGCTAACCTGGGGAAAGGCTAGTTGATCTTCACGAGCCGTTTCGAGATGGTGAGTGATATGCATTAGCTCTTACAGGGCTCGGAGCGCGCTGGAAATATACGAGAATAGGAAGTTGGCATCGCAATTGCGTCAATTTCAGTTGTATGTTGAAACACAGTAAGTAGGTTGTCGGCATGTAATTCTGTTGATGTGCTTTTCTGCCAGGAAGACGAGATTGTCGAAATGGATGGGGTACATACCTCTCAAGCCAGAGACCAAGGCTCGCGTGGAAGACCGAAGCAACTTCAATATTTAATGCCTTGATTTGAGATCAATCAGACGGTCTTCACATTTCTAATTCAAGTCACAATCTCCACTACCCCCAAGATGGTCTTTGAGTCAAAGTTTCCCAAGGTTGATCCGCCCTCCACGGACGTGTTCAACTTCATCTTCAACACTGCTCGAGAGAAGTATTCCAAAGACAAAGTCTTATACCAGGTCCACAACACCGGAGAGACTTTAACTTTGGAAGAGCTCGAGAACAAGAGCTTGCGACTGGCTAGCGTTCTTGTCAAGAAATACGGTATCAAGCCTAATAATGTCATTGCATTTTTAGCCAACAACTCTGTGAGCCATCTTTGCCTTCCTGTCTACACAGCTGATTTAACTGACATCTAACAGATAAATTATCCTATTGCTTTCTTTGCAGCACTAGCAGCTGGAGCTACAATCTCTCCAATTCCTGTTCAGCAAGGACTTGATGCTCTGGCAATTATTCCCAGACTCGAACAAGCTGACGCCAAGTTGATCATAACTGACTCGACGCTGGCATCTATCACAAAGCCGGCAGCTGAAGCGTTTAATGGGATTCCTCTGATCAGCTTGGACAGCTCTTCTGATGGAATCAGCAACATCGAAGCTCTGCTTGCCGAAGAAACGGAGCTCTTCAGTGGATTCAGACTCTCCACCCACGAGGAAACTGAAAAGCACTACGCCTTCATTTACCGTACAAGTGGTTCATCAGGCAACGTCAAGTCGTTCCTCACAACTCATGCTCACTGGGCAGCCAATCTCCTCACAACCCGCCTGACCGTACCCTCCGACACAGATCCCGAGAAGGATGTCTGGCTGTCCTCTCTGCCTTTCGCTTATGGAATCAATGCAAAGCTGAACCTCGGTCTGAACATCCTTCTTGGTATTCCTGTCATTATTCTCACTCAGCCTTTTGACCAATCTACCTTTCATCTCATCGACAAATATGCCATCACCTTTCTGTTTGTCACCCCACCGCTCGCAGCCCAGATCGCAAAGTCGGAGAAGGTCGGGGTCACTTACAACAGCATCAAATGGCTTCTATCTGCTGGAGCTCCTGTCCATACCAAGATCCGGGATGCAGTTCAAGACAAGTTCAATGGTGTTCGTCTGACTCTTGAATGGGGTACTACAGAGACTCTCCTCATCGCCCTCCAAGTCGACGAGGCTTCATCTGTGCCAGGATCAAGTGGCACTCTCGTCCACGGTTTCGAAGCCAGGGTCCTCGATATTGAGACTGGCAAGGACCTTGGTCACAACGAGCAAGGAGAAATTCTTGTGAGGAATACCCTCGCTCGCTTTGCTGGCTACAAGGACAATGAGGAGGCTAATAAGGACTTTGACGCTGATGGTTGGTTCCATTCTGGTGACGTCGGATACATCGATGAGAACTCCAATGTCTTCATCGTTGACCGGTTGAAAGAGCTACTCCGTGTAGGCGACGGTTACGGTACCCACGCCTCAGCAGCTGAGTTTGAGGCTGTTCTCTTTGACCATCCCGCCGTAGCAACAGCCGTCGTGGTGGGTATCCGTGACCAAGAGACCCAGCAGGAACATCCTACAGCTTTTGTTGTCCTTCAGCCCGATGCGACACCAAGCCACGATTTAAATGCCGAGGAAAGGTCTTCGGCTTTGGGCAACCTGGCTAGAGAGCTGGAGGGATATGTTGAGACGAAGCTGGGCAAGTTCAAGAGGCTCTCAGGTGGGGCATTTTTCGTAGAGAAGTATCCTTACGTTGGTTACAAGATCAATAAGAGGAGACTGAAGGAGCTGGTACATGTTGGTCCGTCGGCAGATAGCTTTGCACGGTGGATCGATGCTGCTGCTTAATAACGATTAAGTTGGGCACTATATTTAGACATCAACATGCTGAATATTGGATTGAGATTGAGATTACTACTTCACATAGTAGTTACAAGAACTCTGTGCACGGACCGAGGTGGATTTAGTCGTATCTACCGACGAGTGTCTTGTTCACGAAGCCCTAGTGGCGTTCATTAAGGGAGCAGCGACTGAGTCAGGCCTATTCTTGTAGCCCAGTACGTAGCTTTTGCTGCTATTTGGAATTGTCATTCAGACAAACAATACTAGCTCGTAAAGACTTGTTTTTCTGGAGCTCGCTGTTTAGATGCAAACTCCGCAACTGACAAATGTCGGAACCTTTTTTTACCCGATTGGCGAGGATACCCTTGAAGCTTCCAGTTCCATTAGTAAGAAGCCGCAAATTATTGTCTCAAAATCAAAAGGCCCGTTATATTATACATTGAAAGACAATCCCATCGAGGGTGTTCAGATCCTGCCATCACTCATTCGTCACGACCAAGGTATATCAAGATGGATTTTCCGGGCCTTACAAAGGACCTTACGCAGATATCTCCCCCAAACTCCCGGAACTAAGCCAAGAGGGGAGAACCGTGCTCATCACAGGAGGGAGCGGCGGCATCGGGTTAGCCATAGCCAAGGCTTTCATTGCCGCCAAGGCCAAGCGCGTTATCATTCTGGGCCGGCATGTCGACAAACTCGATTCAGCGACTGTCGAGCTCTCAAAGGAGGCGGCCACCACTGGGTCACCTACCGTGGCTGAAGCGCGAGTGTGCGACATATCCAGCCTGGAGTCGACCTCATCGCTCTGGACCCGCCTTCGAGCGGACGAGATCGTCGTGGATGTGCTCATATTAAATGCCGCTGCCAATGGCGCGATGAAACCTCTGCTTGAGAACGGCAGAGATAACATCTTGCAGGACTTTAACGTCAACTTTCGCGCAAATATTGACTTTACTGAGTATCTTTATAAGCAGGAAGGGCAGGCAGTGGGCGGACGGAAGGTATGGGTTCTCACTAGCCAAAAGGAATTGCATTCGCTTACATAATGCTGGATATCACTCACAGGTCGTGGTCGGACTTTCTACTCTAGCAATTTACCAATGGAATATGGTACAAGACCGGCCATCGTACGGACTCTCCAAGAGCGCTGGCACGCTGGTCCTCCAGCAGTTGGCCCGTGCTATCCAGCCAGACGATATGCAAATCTCCATTGTCCATCCCGGTGTTATCTTGACTGAGGGGATGAAGGAAGCTGGTGGTACTGAGTCTTCGTATCAATTCGATAGCGGTGAGTTTCGAACCGTATCCTTGTCGGATTATAGCCTCTATTATTCACTCGAGATGCTGATATGTCTCATTAGTGGATCTCCCAGCGCACTTTGTTGTGTGGGCCGCTAGCCCACAGGCGGAGTTCTTGCATGGTCGCTTTGTCTGGGCCAACTGGGATGTAAATGAGCTTAAGAGTCACGCGTTTAGGAAGCAGCTCGAGGAGAACCCTAATTTATTAACAGTGGGAGTTGAGGGGCTGTCCGAGAGCAAAAACCTCCCAATTGTGTAAATTTCCTCAATAGTTATTTGCAGTTGAGACATATGGCTCAGAGCTTATATCACCTCACAGAACTTAGATGACTGCTTCGACTCAAGAGGCGGTCGTGCTCGAGGTGTTTGGTCAAGCAGTAAGTTCCATTGGGTTGGACCAATAAACGGCTTGACACGGTGACTTTCTTGACTACCACGCATACCTAAAGTCATAAGCATTGACAGCTATAAGTTTGGTGGCAACGGCGAAAGAGGGCCACTTGCTTGAGACTTTTGCATAGAAGTCTAGATATATACTGTAATACTAACTACTTATAACCCAATCTATTACTGCTTTCTATCTCAAAGCTTTGATGTCCTTAATCTCAAGAGTTCGTCAACCATTAATTGACAGCAACCGAGGTATTTTGTTGGATCGACCAACGACGTCAGCTGCTCTGTGCTTAAATGCTTCGTAACTTGCTCAATCTTCTGTAGTGATTCTATCAAGGATAGGTTTCCCTCGATGGCAGTTACGCATGCACCGTAGACGACTTCATGAGCCTCCTGTCGTCCTATAAACTCAGCCAGTTTCATCATGACAGCCTCAGCAACAATGAGCCCTCGTGTTGACTCAAGGTTGGCCTTCATCGCCCCGGCATTGACCTGTAGGCCTGATAGTGCAAAGTTTGTTTGAAAAAGTGAACCAACCACCGAGATGAACGCGACCGGAAGTGCAGCCCACTCTAGGTGCCAAGGTCCCGAGGCACGCTCAAAGTCTGATACCATACCATCTAATACCAGCCCTGCTTGTGCCCGAAGGATCTTAGATTGTGCTAGGATGATCTCGCTCGAGATGGGGTTTCGCTTCTGAGGCATGGTCGATGATGCTCCTCGATGAGGTACAAAAGGCTCAGCAACCTGGGAATCAATTAATGTCAGTTCGCTCTTACAGAAATAGATGGCGATGTTCGCTTACCTCATTCAGCTCGTTAGACGACATAATCATAAGATCAAGCGCAATCTTTCCCAATGAACCTCCAATCAAAGCCAAAAAGTTCACGACCTCAGCAATGGTGTCTCGAGCGACGTGCCAGGTGATAACGGGGTCTTTGAGACCCAAGATGGCAGCTAGCCTCTTTCGTACTCGAATACCGTCATCTGAGCTACCTAGCGAAGCCAAAGTACCAGCAGCGCCGCCGAATTGCACCAGAAGACACCGTTCCTTGATTTGTTGCAGGCGTTCAGCGTGACGTCGAAGCCCAGAAAGCCAAACACCACATTTGTAGCCAAAAGTGATGGGTAGGGCGTGTTGTAGATGTGTTCGGCCTGCCATTGGCGTGTCTCGGTACTTGGAAGACATTGACTCGAGGGTGTTTATTGTTTCACCGAGGTGGCGCTCCACGATTGCGATGCCGTCCTTGATCTGTAGTTGCGAAGCCAAGTCCATGATATCTTGTGTTGTAGCGCCCCAATGAATGTATCCGGCTTCTCTTGTTAGCTGCCGCACTCCTTAATTCAGACGAGTGGTTGTGTACTTACATTGCTGATGAGGTACCCAAGAAGCCATTTGTTCGACAAGACCAAGGATGGGGTAACCGACAACCTCTGCCCTCTTTGCAAGCAAAGGCCAATCGATTTTCGACACATCAGAATGCTCACGGATGACTTTGGCGATTCCCGAAGGAATCACGCCTTGGTCTTCCTCTGCTTGAGCCAAGGCACATTCTGCCTCGATCAATTTCGAGACATATGATCGTTCAGAGAAGCACTCTCGAATTTCTTCTGTTCCGAAAGTGTCTCTGAACAGAGAAGTATCATGAACGGTTGCAGCAGCCATTGTTGTGTGTTTGAGGTGCTAAAAGCTTGAAAGTGAGGCTAGAAAGCAAGGAGCATGAATCCTTCTGGGGTCTCATGACAAAGGACGTCGAGGTTTAAGTATACACTCACTCATCATGACAGGTCCACAGCAAGACCAGTACCGAAGGCCGATGGCCCGCTGGAATATACCAATCACTTTCCCTATCCCGATACTGTCGTCCCGCTTTACAATAATAGTGGGGAACGGGATACAGCGTTGGGCTCGCTTAATGCGGGATAAGCATGACTCGCGTGGGCGGGATAACGGAATAGCGGGATAGCGGCTTAAGGCTTACCCTATTATCAGCATAGATCAATTGTCCAACGGTTTACCTTTGTGCTTCTCCGCATTCACCCCGCGACTAATCCTTCTCCATGGGGTATACAGCGGGAATGTTGAGCTTGAAGGCTTAGGCCAAAAACTAACCCCAGAGATTTATAAAAACGTAGAGATAGCTCTCGGTTTGTGATCCATTCCCTTGCTCTCCAGACTTGACAATCTAAGTTCCTGAATTTTTTTCATCTTGATCTACCTACAGTAGACATCTCTTTGCCAGTTCTTTGCCAGTTCTTCTGCACACTTTGTAACGCAGTCATGGCTGTCTTTTCGGGGCCCCAGATGTCCATCCCTCCAAAGGACGTGAAACCTGACGCAGGCTTCGACGCTGTTCACGATGAGAAAGTCATCGAGCAGAACGGAGTTGATAGTCATCGCGGAGACTACTCGGGTGCTGCAACCAAGACTGATCCTGCTGAGATTGCCTTGGTCCGGAAGCTGGACAGGATGATCATGGTGAGACTTGGATCCAATGATTACCGTTGTCTTCACGCAGAATTGCTAACGATTAAGCCTATTCTCTGGGCCATGTACTTCCTCAACTACCTCGATCGAAACGCTCTGCCCCAAGCACGCCTGAATAGCCTCGAAAAAGACCTGAACCTCAAAGGTGTCCAGTACAACACCGCAATCTCGATCCTGTTCGTTGGTTATCTCCTGATGCAAAGTATGCTCTGCCATCACATCATCATGACTCTCGAAGCTAACTCTGGCACTTCACAGTTCCCTCAAACATGTTCATGACACGAACCAGACCGTCCATCTATCTATCCTGCTGCATGATTGGCTGGGCCGCCGTGTCAGCTTGTACCGCAACTGTCAAGAATTACTCTGGCCTGATTGCTTGTCGTTTCTTCTTGGGTTTTGTAGAGGCTGTAAGTACTTGCCAGCTTCCACTTGCGCCTACAACTGCTAATGCATTATCACAGCCATTTTATCCAGGCGCCCTCTATCTACTATCGATCTACTACACTCGAAAAGAACTCGCTACACGCATTTCGCTGCTCTACACTGGCCAGGTCGTAAGCACCGGCTGTTCAGGGCTTATTGCGGCAGCTACGTTCTCTACACTCGACCAAGTCAAAGGAATTGCTGGTTGGCAGTGGTACGTAAACAACTTCCAATCAGTCACAAGGTTTAATTGCTAACGCTTAAACCTCCAGGCTCTTTATCATTGAAGGCTCAGTAACAGCTCTTGTCGCGGTATTTGGCTTCTTTCTACTCCCCGATGACCCTTCCGAGACTCGATGGCTCACGCCTGAAGAGCGCGAACTTTGCATCAAGCGAATTAGTCGAGATACTGTCGGCCAGCAGGTTCGAGGTACAACTTGGGAAGGTCTCAAGCAAGCTTGCAAGGATCCTCGAACCTGGCTTTTCTGCCTTATGCAGAACCTCCATATCAGGTATGTTGCTTCGAGATGTCACCTTTGCTGGCTGGTCATGCTAACTGCATCCCAGTGCATGCTCTTTTAACAACTTCTTCCCGACCATTGTCCGTGCCATGGGATTCAAGTCTACTACAGCCTTGCTTCTCACCGCACCTCCATACTTTGTTTCTGGCATTCTTGGTATCCCATTCGCATGGTCGTCTGGTCACTTCAATGAGCGGACCTGGCATATCACAGCAGGCCTGTCTCTGGCTGTCATCGGCTTCGTCATGTCATGTGCAACTGTTAACGTAGCAGTGCGATATACAGCAACTTTCCTTTATGCTACTGGCGCTTACTCGGTTGGATCGGTTATTCTGGGCTGGGTAAGCAATACCCTCTCTCAAACTCCTGAGAAAAAGTCGGTTGCGTATGCTCTGGTCAATGTTACAGCCAACTTGGCCTACATCTATTGCGCTTACCTTTGGCCCTCATCAGATGGTCCCGATTATCTTATGGGATTCTCCACCATGGTGGCCTTTGCTGCCACGAGCATCATGTGTGCCTGGGCTATGAGATTCTGGTTGAAGAGACTCAACCGCAAGATCCTTGAGTCAGAGAACGAGAGTGTTGCTTTTTATGCCTACTAGATAACTCTGATTTAAAATAAAAGGGGTTTGAACTTGGGCCTATTGTTAACTTGAAGCAATTAATTAACTCGTTTGTGTTAAATGAACCTTGGATACCGAAGGACATAATAGTACTAATTATAGTGAATCTATAGCTAAAGGACCATAAAATATAAATAAATCTTTGCTTTCTACAAGCACTAACACCTTTGCCGCAACAAGTGCGACTACTCATATAACCCATTTTCATGGAGTTCAGATCCTTCCTCATTATATGCCGGTGCCGAAAAACCTATACGACCTAATAGGCCATTCTGCTCCACGTTACCCAGCTTAATACTTACCTTTTTAAGTAAACGAGAGCGTTCCAAGCCATCAAGCATGGATGCTTTGCGTAATTCCTTGTCACATTGATTATCTAAAGTAATCATCGACAATGTTCCTAAAACATCTGGTACCAGCGTTATAGCTCGAAGAAATGCCCCAGAGAGAGATATAACCAAGACGATAATACTGATGACTAGCATTATGGCAAACCAAGACTTATTGCATTCAAGAATGTTATTGGTTATTCTTGTCTCTGCGGTAATCGCTGATACAGCAGAAAATGGTAATTCTTCCGTTACTGGCATAGCACCTGTAATGGCAGATGGCTGGATGCCGGCGAGGAACAAAGTATTAAATAACTGCGAGAGTCTCTCCTGAAACTTTGCTTTGCCAATACTGGTGACATCTTCGTAGAAAACGCCGTCGGGAGGAGCAGCCATTGTGTCATTCGGAGATAGTATAAACCCAAGAAGAGGCACCATGTCGCGAGCGCTCCTCATACGAAAAGCAGAGGCCATCGTATTCAAAAAGTTTGAGGGTGCGTTGCTATAGCCCTTGTCAAAGCCGGTGAAGTTGCGATTATTCCAAGGATCCTGAGGATTGCCATCCGAGATGCCGGGGCTAGTGGAATGACCAGAATCTGGCTTATAGGGTGATAAGCGTACTTCAATCGGAGAGCAGGAAGTGTCAACGCAACCATATCTTACGTCCACATAAGTCGTATGTAAAGTGCAATCAATGTGTGCGAAGGTCTTGCTAGTGGCTGACTCCCAAATGACCCTACGAGCCTCTCGTGGCACTAGCCTGTGAGAGCAAATTCCAAGACAGGTGGATAGAGCTATTTGGAAGCCCTTGGCCACAATAGGTCCACCATCTCCTGTAAACGTATGATAATGCGCCCATGTATCATTGGAGTTTTCCAGCGAAGGAGGGTCAGCTGTAAAATTGGTCCATGGAGGTGCTTCGTACTGTTGCCATTGGTCACGCTCCAGGGGACTCGTATGAAAAGTCGGGCAATCCAGATACATATAAGAGGTACTAAGTGTGAGAAACGTCGGCTCGCTAGGTAGTCCTGGGTTGACTGGAACACCTATAAGAGATGAAAATGTGACTTCGGTAGCATTGTCTGGTAATTTGATCCATGCATGGCTCTGATAATTGTCAAAGGCTTCGACTATTGGTATACGCAGGTTTCCCCAGCTATCTTGTGGCTTATTATAAAACTTTTTCGTCGTGATAAGCGAGGACGTAAAGAGGGCATGCGCTAAAATCGGATAGCTGGTGCTGCTGCCGGCGTTCCATGATGACACTGGGTCTAAAGCTTGGAATTGATGATTTGTCTTGGTAATCCTAGTCCCTGACCGCAAGACTCGAAGTGACGCCTGGCCACCAACTGGAGAAAGTGCCCATAGTACGATAAGAGCAATGGCCACAAGATTGAGGTTTCTCAATTGGATCTGTGTAACGATGGCTCCTATCAGAGTAGTACTGCTGGAAAGCGTTTCAATATGACCTATGATATGAAGTCAGAACCTTGGGGTTAACTCAATGTAATAACATCTAAAATATTACCTATAGTAGAGCCCCTTTGTAGTTCCCATGTTGCCAGAGCTTTTAATGCACGACCAACAATAGCAGCGAAGAGGATAGGGAATATAGTCGGGCCCTTGAATAGTGTCAGTATTACATCTGCTGAAATAGGGCCTCTAAATTAATCTGTATTGAGTAACCTACGTAGAAAGTGATATCAAGTAAGTATTGTGCTCGCGAGCCCTTGGTGAGAAGCTGGCCATTACTTGCCATTGCCAGGCTAGCGAACACCACGAATACTATGCTAGATAGAACAAGCAAGCAATCAAGAACAAGGCCGACCCAATTGAAGCTTGGTCTTTGCGGTTCCTTCCGATGTAAAGAAATTAAAGGATCCCACTGTTGGTCATTTTTTCGGGTCAGTAAGGAGCGAAACATAGTGAGGCAGAATTTGTAGAGCTTGGCTGCCTCGAGCTAGGTATAGTGAAAAAGTTTAAAGGGAATAAAACAGCTAACTTTTAGATTGGATCTACATATAAATATCTTAAGTTAGCTATTCTTCTTTCTAAAGTAGCTTGAAGAGCTTATGTTATACCCCGCCATAACAGCAAGGATAGAGCAGCCCCCTATTGCGGGGTGCTCTGTTGAACCCAATTGGTTTGCAGGGGCTGACTTTATTTTAGCCGGACAAGGTTTCTTCAACATATCTCTGCAACATGCTCAATTCGGTGCTGAAAACAGCTGCTAATCCCCGTCTGCTAATTACAGAAAGCCTTGCCAAGACATATAAAACACACTAAATGATAAGGCCCAATAAGAAACATTGCATTCTACAAGGGCTAAAGATTATCAAGGACTATGTCTTCCTCACTCGGATGTGATTGATTATTAGCTTAGTTATCAGTTTCAGCTCTAATGCTTTCCACATCACACTCTTGGGGAATATCCAACCACCAACTAACTAGACACCAGCTGATATAGTTTATTATGTTTTCTATAACAATAAAAGTATATTACAATTAGCACTTGAAGATACGATATATGCAGAGCAGGGAGGCTTAAACTGAGATGGTCTAAGGCCTGACAGGGTAAGCATTTCGCGATGCACAGAGACTTGTTATGCATAAGGCAATCGAAAGGAAACAGCCGTCCAATCTATATAGAAGAGCACCACGGACCCAGATGGGGTCCTACAACAAGGAAGGGGTGGCTATTATACTATAGAGAAGCATAAGACTATAGCCAGGTATTCTCGGAAACGGTAATAGGATATATAACTGATTATCCGATTATGCAATTTAGAATTTATCCCTGTACAACTACTTCTCAAGTCTATTATGTCCGAGGTAACTTTTATTTCTCCCTCCTTTACTCTATAGAATAAATGCTCAAGTCATTATAGCTAGTTGCTTTAAGTGAAAGGGGCTTCATTTTCGTCATCGATGGACTACCCTCTTCGCCCTTATGAATCCTTACTTAATATGTCTCGTCGAAGCTAAAATATCTTTTAAGACCAGACTTTAGATAGCAAAAGGGCCTCTATGAAATTGCCTTTCAATTGGTTATATACATCTCCCCATCCTATACTCCCGATTTCGCTTAGTCAACCGACCCCGCACACGAGAACAACCTTTCGTCATTTTTCGGACAGTGCAACTGGATCTCTCTAGCCTTCACAATGACTTCAACTCACGACGAAGCGCCCTCAGACTCGTCAACTAGTCGAGTTCCAGGTCAAGTATGGTATGTTGCCACCACTCATTGTAATTTATAACCACTTTTTGGATGGCTTATGCTAATACGAGTTGGATAGTGACCGTTGTCGACGGTATGTCCTATATTGAAGAATCCAGCTTGTTTTAAGCTACCTCAAGATTAATACGAGAGTCTGCAACCATCGCTCCCCACTAATATAGGCCTTAGAAGAAAGATTCGATGTCATGGCTATGAACATGATGTAAGCAATATGCATCTTCACCCTCTCTACGTGTTGCTGATCCCATCTTATAGTGTTCTCCATGTCTCCAAGCTAATGTTGTCTGTGTTACAACCGCCAAACTGAAGAGAAACAGGAAGCGCAAAAGGCAAGACGTTGCTTTCCACCATGTGCGACCCAATAGCCCTCTAACACATCGTAGTTTCTACGAGACCGAAGGCATTGAGCAACGTCGGGAAACACCACCGGATGTTTCTCAACATGCTACAGACACCGCTTATCCTCTACAAAATCCAGCAGTTCCAATCTCTCGGACGAGTACCCGACCGCTTTCTGTCCAGTCGGCTGCTCAAGGAACAGCACTCCCTACGACGTCCAGCTCATCTAGCCATCAAATGAGCACCGCCCAAGTCCCCTCTCAACACGTTCCTTTGAACCCAATGAAGGAGCCTGTGATTGGCCATATGGGCCGTCTTGTAGCGGATGATCGACAAGCACCTATGTTTGGCGGTTCAACTACAGGGGTCCACTTCATAAGTCAAGCTGAACAGCAGCTTCAACTTCTCCACATGCATAAGGATGCACTTCCCAGCTGTGCATATGGCTTATACCTACATAGTCCTTGGGGAGCTTCAGTCCACAGTTCTGCGTCGCCAGTGGTGGATATTATCGCTCAACTTCCTCCTAACACAATTGAGATTGTGGAAGCGACAGTAGACAGATGGACGCCATTGTATCCTATTGTTCACAGGTCATCGACAATTGATGCCATCCATGGGCTACTGAGCTCGTATCAAAGTCCAGGCTATGATGTTGTTATCCTTTACCAAACACTTGCTCTACTTGCATTAGGAATGATTGGCCAGAAACGAGATTGTATACAGCAGCACAATCACTTCTTGTGTGCCTCTGAACCCTTTTACATGATTTCCACTACTTTGTTGGAAAGAGTTATTGGCCAGCCATGTTTGCAAAGCTTGCAGGGTCTAGTAATCACACAGATATATGTTCAGCTGTCAGGGCGCTATTCAACAGCATCCCACATATCCGGTCTAGCTACCCGACTGGCTCAGACTTTGGGATTACATCGACATTCTGATCGATTCAAGTTTGACCCCCTCGAGACGGAATTGAGAAGGCGGGCATGGTGGTGCCAGTATTCCCTAGATGCGTATGCCAGTAACTCAAAAATTTGCCCTGTTGCGTTGTTACTGACTCCTTCCTCAGGTTCTCAAGCGCTTACCATGGAATGCCGCGTCTGATTCGCGATCAAGATGTTGATACCGATTTCCCGACAAGTGTCGATCATAACCTCTTGTCTCGCACTCATGTCGAATTCCCTTTACCGGGTGAGCGATCACAAGTGGATACAGCCATTAGTCTGTTCAAGCTTGCTCGCATTGTTGGCCGTACTCTCGAAGACCTCTACACTACAACCCGGCGCCGAGGAGGCGTTGCTAAGATTGCACGTCTACAAGCTGAGCTTAACATGTGGGAGCGGGTTGTTCTTGAACCTGAGCTTGAATCTGAGCCGGCCACGTCGGTGACTACCAAGTCTCTAGAAGCCACGTTTCTGAGAGTTGCACACTGCGTTGCTACAATTCACATACATCGACCGGCTTTGTCGTTTACAACTGCAGACCCCCAATTCGTTTCATCCCTCAAAGCATGCGGGCAGGCTTCTGCTAACCTTGTTGAGTTATTGTCTTCTAGTCTAGGCACGCTGGGAACAAATCATGCCACAGGTCAAGTCATGATGGGCGACTGGCCAGAGACTATGCTTGTCACACTTCTCTATCCCAATGGAATACACATGTTGTGGCAAGCAGGGTTAACAATCCTGTTCACGGGCTGGAAAGGGTACCCTGTAACAGTCGATCAAGACGAGAATCTGATTCGAATATGTATTGCAACTCTGAGGGAGTTTCATAGACATACAGATGATGTTGGGAACCATATTGGCCAATGCGCTGATGTTTTGGAGCTACTTTGCAAGAAGGTATTCTCTGAGTTGGAAACACTGCCTGATCTTGAGCAGCTTCAGTGGAATATTTGGGACTGGCCAATAGCATCAGCGCTGGAACTTGTAAATACTCTTGATATAATACCCTTGGATTTAAGCTTAAATCTATATCAATAAATATAGGACTTTTAAAGAAAGGATTCTATTTTATTTATTTATATTTTATATCAGTCCATTATTGCACAATTGTCTCTGTCTTTCCCTCTTTGCCATTTTTGATATATACTTTGTCTAGTAGCCAGGTCTATTTGGACTGGAAGCTCAAAACTACACTGTACTACGGGGATCCTGGAATTTGCCCGCTGAGTACCTGGTAGCCCCAGGTGTAGCCCATCGGCGACAAACCCTAAGTCGAATGGACCATCAACGTGGATGTAAGATGGAACCACCTTAATCTGAGCTAGTGCCTGTAAGTTCAAGAATATCATGACCTCCAACGAAGGTGGTACCTCGGTTAGCGAAGGGGATGATTTGATACTCTTCCTTATGGGACTCAGACTCGGCTCTATTAGCCAAGACTTGCTGCAGGAGTGCACTCGGAATTATGTGAGGAAATTCATCGGCAGGAAGAATACGAATCCGCCCAGGCTAATGCTCTACTCCCCGTGTTATTAGCGTTCTTTGTATATAGTGATGGCAAGTCTCCCAGTGACGACGGGGCAGAATCTAAAATGGGTTATGAGGACTTTTGCTTATTTCGGAGTTAAAAGACTTTACGGTTGACTCCGGTTAATCAATTGCCTGGAAAGCAATGTCAAGCTTCATTCAAGCCTCAGATTAAGATCTTGACGTCAACAACGTACGTCCCATCGTGGGGCCGATCAGGCCACAATGAGACAAAAGCATAATTATCAAATCAACTGAGATGTAGCTTTAAGGCTTGAGTCCAAAGCTTTCAAGGAGACCATCCCCAACCCAGTGACAACAGTCATCTATTCCCTTCGTAAGCGCCATCATAATAACCCCAAGTTCGTCCATATCCTCCGGTTTCGCAGTGGCCATATCAGACTCCCAGTGAGCGAAGCGTATAGGCAATGTATGACATTTAGCAACAGCCGACTCCCACTCAAATCTCGAAGTAGCGCACCAAAGAGCCCTTTGACCGAAAAACGATAACGTCGGAAACTCATGGTGAGCATCGTCCCAGCCATTCCTGAGAAACGAATACAACCCGTGCAGGCAGTATCCTGTTATGACAGTGCGTCTCAAGCTCTCAGCAAGACTCCACGTTTCCCAGGCATCAGAACCTGGTGTCCTCAGTTGACTGCTCATGATTTGTGTCGAGTCTTCAACACTTTTCATGCGCTGTTGTAA